GAAATTATCTCAGTGGAAGAATAAAAAATGAAATTGATGGAATGTGCTGGAAAGGGAGGCTGTTGAATACCTTTCAGAGCAGTGACTCAGACTGTCCTAGAAGGAGAGTGTCTCTTTCACAGGATAATGTGTTGTTCTTAAGCGAAACAGAAATTGCTCGACGATTGGGAGGCAGAATGGGAAAGCTCCAGCAAGCCAGAACTGGAACTGCCTAATATCCTTTCTTAGGGGAAAATAATGCAGGACGATCCAGTTTGAAGCCATTTTTTTAATTACTGAGTTGCCTTCCCAAAATGATGATACCAGATCTTGACCGTGGAGGTAGTCCTAGCATTTCCGATTACTTTGGGCACGATTCAGCCAGAGTTCAGCCGCCTCATCCCACTGGTTTTCCACGGGAAATGGATAGCAGCCTGGGGAGACAGAGTGTGGACATCTCGATGAGCAAACCCCTTCGCAGGAATGTATTAAATAATTGCCTCTGTGTTCGTTGGACCGTCTGCATCAAATATAAAGAACCCTTGAGAAGTAGCAGCTCTAAATTGCTTTATTTATACTTCATGTGCTGCCAGGATAGTTCACAGCCATTTCATGAATATCTATTTCTGTCCCCAAAAGGCTCACAAACAATATGCTAGGTTTTAGGAAAGGGAGAGGGGAAGGCGCTCACAGTAATAATTCCTTTCCACTGTATCATTTTCCCCTCCCTGTTATTCTCTTTCTTCTAAATTCAGCTCTCACAATGGATGCTTTGTTCCCATTCCCTTCCCCCTCCGATTCTCAGGCTAGAACGGAAAAGACGCAGCTCAGGGGGAAGTGAGGAAGCGGACAGCCCGTGCTTTCAGAAAAAGGACGCGTTTTATCTGGTCGTCCACTCGCCATCATGGAAGGCCCATCTGATGGCAGAGAATGTGACGAGCCTGTTTGGCTGTCCGTCTGTCCGTCTCTTTGTCTGGCTTCTTCACCCATTGACCCAGAAAGGTCGTGGTCACTGTGAGAGGGTGGTCAAGCCCACGGGGGAAGAAGCCGCAGCAGGTGGAATTGGTGTGGCGACGCTTGGATTCACTTGTGTTCCTGCTGTGCTCAGAAACGAGCGATGCTTTTGTTTGCGTTGGCAAACAGCATGCTAATTTCTGGTTGCACCCTGGGTGCCAGACGCTCTCCACGGGCACCCCCAGAATGGCTATTCACACAGCCGGGCGCTTACCATAGCCCCAAAATGGGATGGCTAAATTCTGCAGCATTATCTTTCGCAAATCAGCGCGTTCTCACCAGATGAAAATAACTGCAGTTGTATGATGTTTCTGACATCTAGTAATTAAAAGTTGCAGTACAACGCTGTAGGAATGAGAAATTATGTAAAAATAGTATGGGATTGAGGCAAAAAACATGCAAAGAGAATTTGACACTGCCATCTTTAGGTAATCTTTTGAATAGCATGACTTAACTGGGAATAAATTTTACCTGCCTGGGTTATCCCATGAGATTGTGCGCAAGTAATTGAAGTCCTGTAGGAGCTGGCTGCACTGGAGTGCCAGGGGCACTTCGCAGGGTCCACGGCCTTCCTCTGTGCAGTTGCCCCCACGTACAGAATTTTGAGAAGGAGTCGGAGATGCTAAGCTTGCTGTCTGAGGGCACCGTGCAAATTTAGCCGTGTCTTCTCGGATACCTGTAAAGAATTTCAGCTGAGCAGACGCTCGAACTCTGGAGCGGATGCTGCATCTGCTGTCACCGTGTCATCTCCATGGTCGATTAAACTAAGCATGGCACTCCTGAAAAGATCGATAGCCACTGCGCTGTCTTTAGCACGAATGATTTCTCATCACAGCTCGCCAAGGATTTGCTTTTCAGCTTGTTGGCATCCGTGTGTGTCAGGCCTGAAAGAGGTGAACAAGGGTCTCTTAATTTCTCAGAGTCTTTGCATATTCTGTGTGCTTTTTTTTTCTTTTGCTTTTACGTAGAGTTTCATTGTAAAGAGTCAGGAAACATAACAAAAACTTTCAGATTGTGCATGGAATTCTTTCCGAGAACAGCCATTTGCATATCCAAACTACTAACTCCTTGTCCATTCATTTAATTTCATTTCTTTGGGTATTTTCATCCCATCCAATACCTTGTGGGTCTCTGGAAGGCTACCCTTCCCATCTTGCAAGTGTATCGTGGAATTTTCCTTGGAAGATTCTGCCCACTTCCACTTGGAATAGAGCTAAATATGTCCCATGCGTGCTGAAAATCTTCCCACTTAAGCCCGTGTTCCACAGCCGGCATCGAGCAGACATGGGGTATAATTTAATTTAATATGATTAGCATATTAATTGAGAGTGATGCTTTCATTATAATTTCCCCTTAACCCATTGTTTCTAGGCCGCGACTCTTGGGAAAGGGCAGGATAGAAGATGAAATGATCGAATAAATAAATGGGCCGAGTCTGCCGTGCTCTTTGTTCCGGGAACCCTTCACTCCTCAGTTCAATCCAAGCTGGGTGAAAGGAGGAGTGAGGTTCTGCAGGAAATGAAGCTGTGCAAAGCATCAACAGCATCCTGTTAGGAAGCATGCTAAATTATGATAATGAGTATGATAGTTTACAGCCTTTATCTTACTTGATCCCTGCAACTTTAATAATAGCTTGAGAAATCTCCATATTTTGACTATGCACATGGAGAACAGAGTCTGATCCATGGAACCCTCGTCAGTTTGTGTCGAGTAGAGATTTCTTCACCCCGATAGCCACGCTGACCTACTGAGAACCAGAAGCGATTTCACTCGCTTCCCAAAACAGCTGCCTTCATTGGTTTACATCACGGTCCTCAAACTAAGGCCCGTGGCCTGGATTCGGCCCTTCATGCCCATTTGACTGGCCCGCCCCACAGGCCCGCCGGGGGCCACGTGGGCAAGGGGCTTGCCCGCGAGGAGGTCGTTTTGGACTCGATCTCCTCGCGAGCGAGCCGGCGCCTTGCCCCGCGCACCCCTATCCCCGCCTCGCGTGCGTGTGCGCGTGCACCCTGCCCCCTCACCGGCCCGGCATCGCCTTGGCGGCCCGCGCCCACCGCTGGCACCTGTCAGCTGGCCCCCTTCAGAAGAAGTTTGAGGGCCCCTGGTTTACATCCCAGTTTGGATTCAGGATAAATGCTACAAATGTGTATGAGGCGATCTGGAAATATCCCTTGCAGGACTGTGTGGAAAGAAATGGATGGAGCCATTAATGTTGTGGTGTCAGTGGCACAGAGAGTCGTGAAATGCTCCTCCTCCATGTTGCACGCCCATGTCGCAGTGCTTCCGTTCTCTACGGGAGGCCTACACACGTGATGCTCAATGTGTGGGTGTAAATAATGTGCCTGCTTTCAGCCGTGTGGAAACAGCTGCAGGTCCCACCAGGTGAATCGGGACCCCAGCAGAGACGGAGGGGATGCACCGCCCCCCCCCCCCCGCTGGCCACTGATGATTTCATGGCCCTTTCAGTTATTATTATTATTATTATTATTATTATTATTATTATTATTATTATTATTATAACATTTCTATGCCGCCCCTTGCCGAAACCTCGGGGCGGCTTACAACATGATAAAATACATTGAAATACAATAGTACATAATAAATTACCATTAAATATAACAATACAATACAATTCAGTTGGGAGCAGTTGCATCCGTGGGCCAAGCCATTGTTCCAGAAACAACCAGGATTTTTGCAGGACTGGTTTGGATAGAAGAAGGGATTAAAACGTTTTAAATAAATTAAACAAATCAACTCCTGTGTAGTCTAGAAGCAAGCTGATGATTAAACCTCAGGAGATGATGGACTGATCCTGACAACAGACTCAGCATTGGCTCTTCCATCGAAAGAGCAATCCCCACCCTCCCTCCATGCGCTGACCTACCCCCAGTGAGGAGCACAGGGCTTTCTGGCTTCTGTGAGTTTTTGTTCCTTCTCATCGGGTGGCCAGTGTATTTGAGCTTCGGCTTCAGTGTCTGGCCTTCTAAAGAGCAGTCAGGGTTGATCTCCTCTAGGACTGGCTGGTTTGATCTCCTTGCCGTCCAAGGAACTCTCGGGAGTCTCCTCCTGAAAGCTGGATAGGTAGGCATTAGCAAAGGTACCATGATGTTATGGTACGTCTGATCACAACCTTCCACCTGTCTTACTTCTACCGCCCCAGAGCCCTGGGTTGAATGTGATACTGAGAGAACTATAAGATATCTCTACTTAATCTAGTTTTAGGTTATAATCCCATTGACTAGGGAATGCGTTCCATTGAACAGAGGGGAGACATGAACTCCCTCTGTAAGGACCTCCAAGGCTGCCACAAAGAGGAAGGTCAAGATCTCCTCTTGCTGATGCCAGAGGGCAGGACACGGAATAATCAGTTCAAGTTGCGACAACCTGGTTTCAGGCTGGTCATCAGGAAAACTCCCTCACAGTCAGAGCAACATGGCAGTGGAAGCAGCTGCCTGGAGAGGTGGGGGGCTCTCCCACGCTGGAGACATTCAAGGCGAAACTGGGCAGCTACCTGAGTGGGATGGTGTGACTTGGTGTCCTGCAGCAGCAGGAGGTTGGACCTGATGGCCTCCTGGCCCTTCCAACTCTGCTATTCTGTGATTACTTACTTGTGTTTGCACTGCAATAATCACCGCCCCCCCCCCCCCCCCAGGAATCTTGGGAAGAGCAATTATGCATTGAAGCAGTCCAGGGGATTGCCAATGGAGAATTCCCTGCCTCTTCACCAAGCCACCCTTCTCAGAATTTCTTAGAAAAAGCCACGAGTGTTGGAAGAAAACTGCATCTTACCATCGTAGACTTGAAGTGATTGTTACCACAATTTGTGCAACAGCTGCTTACATCTCTGGACCAGTGTGCACTGTCGGAGTTTGCGGGGAACCGAACTGATGCTTGGCCCTCTGTCCTCATTTGCTTGTCACCTGAGAACGTCTTCACCTCTTAAAGTTACAAAGAAGGTACCTGTAAGTAGCACCGTTGCCTGGCTGACCGGTGATTTTATTTTGTAGATCATTCTTGTGAGTTCTTCCCACAATGACCTGGACCAGAATCTTTTCATTAGCACCGACGAAGCAGCAACCTTCCAAAAGCAGCCTATTTCTTTCTTTGTGGAAATGCTGATCTTTCATCCAAAGCAAGAGGATAAACTGCTTGCCTACACCAAGGAGGGACAGGTAAAAAGCATTAAGAAGGGTCATGCGGGTTTGCTGTCGAAATGACACGGTGAAACGTGTTCCTGTCCTTTAGAGGAACAGCGTTAAGTACGAGGCAGTGGAAAAATACGGGCCACTGTTTGAGGTGACATCAGACGGGGCTGCGCATTCACACACGCAGGCCATCCAGGGCCATGGTGTTCTCCAGGGGAGGAGAACGCCTGTGTGAACCAGCGAGTGTGCCCTGAGTGTCAGTGCTGCTGCTTCTCCATCCTGGTTCGTTGAAGTCAAAAGGAATCTGTTGGAAGGGCCAGAGGCTAATGACTTGGCCTGTTGGTTCTTTGCCAGCGGCCTGGAGAGGTGTGGCTCTCCCACACTGGAGACACCCAAAAAGAAACCGGGCAGCCCTCTGAGTGGGGTGGTGTAAGCTGGTGTCCTGCAGCAGCAGGGGGTGGACCCGATGGCCTTCATGGCCCCTTCCAGCTCTGCCATTCTCTGACCCTAGGATTATCTCCAGCCCTTTCTCGCTTCATGCCAGATGGCTTTCCAGGAGGACCAAACCAGAACTGGACTGACTTTTGTTGGCTCTTGTTCTTCATTCCCAGCTCCATGCGTCTATTGACTTAGGAATCAAATGGACTCTCCTACAAGAACGTGTCTCGAAAGACCATATTTTTTGGTAAGGGCATATCGTTCTGCTCCAGAAATACAGGAATGGCAGGATTAGTAGTGAAGAATTATAGCAGTCAATAGCATTGCACAGCACTAATCTATTAATTGGGTTTATAGCTCTTTCTCAAATATTCAGAAGAGACGGGAAACTTAAGAGCTGGCTTCTCCCAGAGAGAGACTGGGCAATTTGCTGTAATAACCTCATTTTAGTTGTCTGAAAGATTGTTCAGGATGGCCTTCAGCTGCCTCACTGTTTCCTCACTGTAAAAAAGGGCTACCTTTGGGTTTCACTGCTGAAGAATCTGTCCTTCGTGTCCTCAGAGCTACACTTCTGTTCCACTGCAAATGTTCCTTGTAACTGTCTTTCTAAAAGGTGTATGAGCTGCCGTTGCTTTTGCTCTTGGCCCATCTCCAGACCTCCTAGCAAGCTTCGTGCCCCCACATGGCATCAGCCAGACCCGGCCATGTTTCAAATCCAAAGTCTTAATTTAGGCAACTGTCTTTTTTAACTTCTTTTCTAAATGGAGTGTTGTGGATTTCAGGTCATAAACATTATCTGAAAGGTTAAAATGTCTCTCGTACCTGGAATAGTTTTCTCTTGGTGCCATTATTGGGACCTATGGAGATGAGTCCTCCATGGGAGTGAATGGAGAAAATTGTTCCACTAATATCAGACAGCACTAAATGCTAAATTTTTGTTTCGAGGGGATTGCTTTGATTCCAAAACTTGTAAGTACCGATTCTTGTTTCTCGCTCAATTTTGAAACCAAATTAAAGAAAATTGGGTATGTGGAGTACAGAAGGGGTGTAGAATGGGAACAACATAAATCGTGGAACACTGTTTCCAACCGAGTCCGGTAAGATAAATAAATCAGAACATGCTCGGTTGTGAAGACCAGGGTATTTTTTTGTCTCTCCGAGTAACTCAAAAGTGCCAGAAGCCATTAGCTTTTTGTGTTAACTAGAGCAGACTTTTTTTTCAAATCCCCACAAGAAACATTGTGTAGCAATAGCTTGTTCTAAACAAATTGTTCACTGTAGTTACATATTAGGCTGTTGTCTAGATGATGAAGCGAGGGGTTTCTCGTGAAAATAATGGGAGCTTTCCATTTTATTTTTCTCCCAGGGCTGTTGACGGAGTTGATGGAGACCCAGACGTTGTTCATATGGAAATTCAGGATCCCGACGGAGGTAGAGATGGCAGTGTTTCGTTTTTCAACATTTCTAGGTAGAGACACACGACCCTGGGAACCACACTTATGGCTTTTCCCATGAGAAGCATCTTACATGGCAAGAACACATATTGGAATTAGTACCTGTGGCAACGGCTATCGCGAGAGCCAGGATCCGGGCGTTTTGGACCGGGGAGACCTGAGACCTGGACTCTTGTCCCTGCCTGGCCATGAAGCGCATTGGGTGACGTTGAGCCAGTCACTCATGCTTCACCTCTTCCCTCACAGGGTTGTTGTGAGGGCAAAAATGGAACGGGGGAGGTCTGTGCGATGTGTCACAAGATCTCTTCGGTTCCTAGGTCTAGAAAAGGCTGGAGGACGACTTTGGAGGAGGCATTTAGAGAGCATTCAGAGGATGGACGGGAGGGGAAGGGAGGAGACCACAGGGCTAACATACGATATAGTTTGGTCCCCCTCCTTTTCCTTCCGCTCATCAAACTTACCCTCTTGAGGGCAGTTCTTTCATTTAAACTGAGCACATTACAGAGCAGTTCGTACTCTGAATTTGCGGGAGCGCCATACCGACTCAGTATTTCCTGCCCTGCAGATGTTTACTATATGGCCTGCCCATTGCAGAACTGTTCTGATAAAGCACTGCAATCGCCTTTTGCTGGAAGCATCGACAAGAACTCCTTGACGGTCCAGGATGACTACATATTCCTTCAGGTAACGTCTCCCAAAGAAGGTGCCTTGCGAGGACCCGATCCCCGCAAGCCCGTGGGTGCTGCGCTCAGAGGCAAGTGCCACTGTGCCCAGTGGTGTTTGCCTGACACGAAAACGACACGACTGACTGGCTTGTTTGGCTTGTCGAACTCTCTGGATAAGCAGCTTATCCTTAGGTTAAGAAGTAGCTCAAACCAGGGAAGTAACTCGAGCTGAAGCGATGGACGTTTCCTCCCCACAGCCTGTTATGAATTAGAACCACTCAGAGTTTCTTATGATCCTAAGGTATTCCTCTTGCGTGCCACTGAAGCACCTTTGTGTATGTAGTCAGTTGACATCCTTTCTTCTTACCGAATTTACATAAGTAGATGCATTTTGAGCCCTCTGACTGGGAATACTTTCCCCTTCCTTGCTCACAATTAGATCCCTCATGGCAGCTTTTTAGCATGGTCAGATTTGTACCGACAGGGCACTGGAAAAGCCTCTCAATTATCCAGGAGTGGAAAACTGGATGCCCTCTGGGTGTTTTGGACTACAGCTCCCATCATGCTTGGCAGCCATTCCTGCTGAGAAGAAGAGGTTCTTCTCAGGCTGCCTTGCGCATTTATGGCAGAGGAAATTTTACTGGAATATCCCTGGTCTGGCGTGCCAGTCCGACGTCTTTGACTCAATTGCAGCACTGGCCAGAGGATCATGCAGAGTTCTCCGTGTTCAAAGCTCAGTGCTGATGTACCCCCTTCTTGTTTTGTTTCTGTTGAAATAACCCTTTATAAAATCATGCCACCCCTTTTTCTTCCACAGACCTCGTCAGCAAACCAAACAAAATATTATGTCTCCTATCTTCGGAATGCGTTTGTACAGATGAAATTGCCAAAGTATGCATTACCCAAGGTAATCGCCCGCATCGCATGTTATTTCTTTCCCTCCTTCCTAGCGGGCCACAATTTCACCTCTTCATTAAGGACAGGACGAGCTGTTCTTTCTCTGAGAGGTTGTATAACATCTGTGGCCATTGGTAGAAATAGTTTTCTCGGCTCCCCACGGCAGTGGTCTTGAAGCTCAGTGGAATCCTACGCGGCACGTTCCTTGTGGCAGATTCGTTCCCTGCGTTGCTTTGGCACCTGAATTCCTCTATTAAGCTGTCGGTGCCCTGAGGTGATTGTTGGGGGCCTTCCTCACTCAGTGTGGTCCCACCCCCGAGGCAAGGTGGGTGGAGACTAAGATGTTTTTGGTGTTGGGGATCCCTCTCCTCCTGCGATGCTCACCTGGCACCCATCTTGCCTTCTTTTAGGGCCATGCAAAGACACATGTTGTCAGACTCCCCCCCCCCCCTTTAAATCTCCTGCAATGTTTTTCTGTTAAGCTACACATGTTGGCCAGCTGTAAGTATACACTTCCAAAAGTGTGGGCACCTGCAAACGACCAACAAATATAATCATAAAAAGACAAACTTTCTTTGGACCTTCCCTGAGTCCAAAAAATGGTGTGAACCTGCAGCAGGGGCTGCAGAAGGCTGCTTGGGCACTGGTGGAAGGAAGGGCTGTCACCAGCGGAGGCGCTGGCGAGGAGAAGCAGCCAAGACGGCCGCACTCCGAATCGCAGCGGTCCCTTGTAGTCGCGCTGCAGAAGCAACACAATATGCCTTCGCACAGACTCTTGTTCTCTTCTAGGACTGGTTTCAAGGGGGGGCTTTGTAGCTTGTCCTGCCCCCAGTGGGCCGTCTGTGCTCTCGGGTCCGTGCCGCATCTGCATCACTCTCTGTTTCAGGACCTACAAATTATCAGCACGGACGAGAGCCAGGTATTTGTGGCCATCCAGGAATGGTATCAGACCGACACGTACAACCTCTACCAGTCCGACCCGCAGGGTGTCTCATATTCCATTGTGCTGGAGAACGTCCGGAGCACCAAGCAGCCGGAGGAGAACGTGCTGATTGACATTCTGGAGGTATTCTGCCCCCCCCCCCCGCCCCCCGGCTGACTTCTCCATCCCATTCCTTTGGCTTGAGTCAAAACGGTTTCAGTTCCGCCTCAGATGCATTGGTCTGCGTGCGTTTCCCTGGCCTGCAGTTAAAATAAAACGTGATATTTCCTTTTACTGCTTCCATGCTTCTCCATATTATCACATGTTGTTATCAGAGTAATTGTATTGTTCTTGAAATTGAGTGGTTTTAATTGTGTTCTGAATATTTATATGGAAATTGCTTAGGGATTTTCTTAATATTTAGAATTAGAATATAGAAATATAAGCAAAAAATAAACAGGTGCCTTAATTAATGGCAAAATCTGAAATGAGACATTTTCCAAATTCTCCCTGGAAATGGAGCATGTGTACCCCCAGATAGTTGAGGAGCTGTGGACCATTACAGTTGATCTCAGGAATGGGTAACTGTCAGCTTTATGTGCTTGATTTAGACAGCTTTCAAGGCTGTAACAGTGGACAGACTGATCGGATTCTTAGCAGTGCAACAGTGCGCCTGGCAAAGCCCCCTTTGCAAGACCCGATATATCCTCCTATTTTCCTTCCAAGGAAGAAATGTTTTACCCCTTCGAAATCCTGTCTAAAAAGGGGGAATTTCCTCTTGGGTAGATCAGCAGATCTGTCAAAGAGCAATTGCCCCTGTAAATGGGAAGTTAGCGAGTCCATGAGATGCCTGCAAAACCTGAAAATTGGCTGGAGGGCGGTTCAGAGGAAGGTAAGACAAGTACGTGGTGAGCCCCCCAAGGCACTGCTGGGCCACCCCTTTTGCAAAAGAGACTTGGCGCAATGGATCGGTTGCAAAGACAACGTACTAACTTTCCCACGTCTTCTGCTCACGGCACAGGTGAGGGGCGTCAAGGGAGTGTTTCTGGCCAACCAGAAAGTCGATGGGAAGGTTGCCACCCTGATCACGTTCAACAAAGGCCGCAGCTGGGCTTCCCTCACTCCCCCGGCCACCGATATGAACGGTAAACCGACCGACTGCAAAATGGTGAGCGTCCCTTCCCCGTCCCGCACACGGCAATGGCGGAAGCACTGCGTCCCCGTTCCCCATCCGGGCTCCTGCAGCGTTTACCCCAGGCAGAGTGTGCCAGACCATCGGTCTGCTTGGCCGGAGCCATTCTCGCCCAGCCTGTCCTGACCACCTGCAACACGCAAATGATGCTCTTGGCCAACCCTGCAGGGTCGTTTTTGGGAGCCCAACAAGGAAACATACGAAAAGTGCTTTAACCATTTGGAGCCGCTGTTCCAAGTTGCCAAGAATCGTTCCTTTTTCCTTCCAGTTTTTTTGCTTTGTCCTTTGCGTTGTGAAGGAGTGTGGTCTTTTTGCGACTCTCTGTCCCCTTCAGTCGGTCCGTCTTCATTCCACCCCTTCCTTTATTGCCTTGCATGGCATCTCTAACAGTCTTTTATTTCTATGATACTCAACTTTCACTGTGTCTTTTCTTGCCCTGTATTCCCAGTGTGCTTTTCCCCTGGATCAGGGTTTATGTTCCACCACAGGAAGGATTTTAATTTTTATCTGAGTGATGGTAACATGGCAGTCGGCTGAGCCAATGAGTTGCGATGGGACAGGCTGGCATTTCGTCTGCTAAGCCACCCATGTCAAGTCCGCATCCATCTAAAGTTTGAGTTGATGTGAGCGTCTAACCCGATTGAAGGAAAGACTCACATGCCCCTTAGAGACAGGAGTGGCTTAGAAATCAGGAAGACCGAGATCAAGAAATCCGGGTGAGGCGGCAGCCCGGGAGGAAGGGGAACTGAGGCTCCGGGAACGAGGCTGCTGAGTGCTGGAGAAAGGGAAAGAGCCGTCAGCGGCTGGAAATGAGGATCGGAAGAACGAGAGGACACGGGGTCAGGAGGCTGGGCAAAAGGGGCCCAAGAAGAGAGGGAGAAGGCAGGCAAGGGGCGGAAGCGTTGCTTGCGTGGGGGCAAGGCAGAGCGGCCAGGGAAGCCGCATCTGCTCAGAGCCACGCCAGGCGCTGTCGGGAATCGCCGAGCAGGTGAGCGAGGCAGCGCAGGTGCAGGCGAGCAGCAGGGCCTTGGCCACAGGGACGGTGGTGCCCGAGCTGAGAAGAGGCGAGCCGTGAAGGAGAACGGGGTGCGTTGTCCTCAGCGGGCCCGGGTACCGGGGGGGCCGTGGGGCTGTGGGCAGGCAGAGGAGTCTGCTCGGGCCCAGGAGCTGCGGGGAGACGGAGCTGCCGCATCCGCATCCTTGGAGGCTCTTTTTAAGTGGCGCATAAAAAGGAAGGTTCCGCCGAGCGCTGCCTTTCCGCATCAGCCAAGATCTGTTTTGTCTTGACCGCGGCGGTTGAAGGCCCACTGGTCTTGGGGTTTGGACCTGGAAGCTCTAAGGCAAACGGGGAACTCCCACCCACCAGGATCGTCCAGGTCCGACTCCCATCAGCCCTGGCCAGTGGTGATAGGAGCTGTAGTGCAGCACCTTCTGGAGGGCTCCCTGTGCGCCCCCTTCCTGCCTCCAGGGTAGCATTTTGCAAAGCGCAGCTGAAGCTGCAGCAAAGCCGAGTCAAGGCGTAGCCCATGCCGGGCTCGGGCCGGAAGACCCCACGGGTCTTCCACCGGTGGGCTGGAATCACACGCCCCGGCCCCTCCTCCTCCCGCATCGTCTTGCTTTTGTCCACCCGTCGTGCTCCTGACTTTCCCAGTTCAGCATCCACCGGCGTGGCCCTCTCTCTCTGGGCCTCGTGGCTCGGAGGAGCTCCTGCATGGCAATTCCACTTAATGGGATTCTAGCCCCGGAAGAATTCCAGAGGTGGTTAGGCTCAGTCGCTGGGGAAAGGGGCCCGGGCCGTGCTTGGAAGCTCTCGGAGAAGGCAACTGGCGAAGTGTAGCAGTTGGAGGGAATATCTTCCCGTCCTTTGAGAATGGCTCTTGACATTTCAGGACCTGGTATCATTAAGGTAAATACCCTCGTGGTTATTCCAGGGCTGGGGATGCTATTTATAGCAGTGCTTTGGGCTCCCACGCTTTTGCGTGTGATAATTCCGCCGCAGGTGGAGCTCAGATGTACACACAGATGCTTTGTGCTTTAAGGTGGATGCAGCAAAGCCAGCAGAACCAGCCCGAACCAAAAACAGCCCTGGAAGGTTGCCACTCATTCTTGCCTGTTCTTCTTGTGGGAAAACATTGGCTACTTGGCCCCTGGGTAGAAAGCCAGAGTCCTTCGGGTGCCGTCGCAGCACCACCACGATCAAATGTGCGTGAGAGAGGAAGTCCGAGACTGCACCTCCCGGGTCTTTTTAAAGCCGAAAAGCAGATGCAGCAGGGGATAATCAAGCCTTTCCCCCTGCACCATTTTTTCTGATCAAGACCTACCCTCTCCCAGTGCTGTTACCAGCCCCCCTGGGGAGAAAAGTTACAAAACGGGCACCTGCCCTTTCCCATAACAAGGCTGAGAGCCATGGTGCGTGGTTGTTGATCGGTTAAGGAACGGGCTGAAGGGATGGTCTGAGCAGCCCTGCTGAGCCAACTGATTCTGGGCCTTCCGCAGCTTTCGAAAAAGAAGATTGCAGAATTGTAAATCACCTGCATCTCGTGCTGCTGCACGATTCCAGAATGGATGCCGAGCTCAAAGGGCAGGGAGACTTCAGCAAGCTCATTTCTGCCCTCAGAAAGCACTGGCTTTTCATCCGTGTTACATGCTGCTTTGAGGAAAGACTAGGATCAAGCCCAATACCTGCTTTGAGGGATGGGTTGCGGCCCTGCTTGGAGGCCGTTACGAGTGTACTAACAGATGCACTGGAGAAGCCCCAGTTCTAAGCTCCGACGTGCCATCTGGGGAGTGGGAATGACGGAGATGTCGATTCTTTCGGCATTAGATAGCTGGTGGAGGACATTAGCAAAAGCATTTTCCAGCCAGATCCTCTAGTCATTCCCAGTGGCAGTGAAAGCTATTCAAGGGCTTTCTAAGGCTGGAAGAGGGAATTGCTTGTCCAGGGAAAGCTGCCCTACTTCTCCACAGCTGAGAAAAGAGCGCTTGGTGATTTGGGCTGGCAGGATTTTGGAGAGGCAAAGGAAAGTTGGGCGACTTCTTCAAAGATCTCTAAAACACAACAGTGCTTTTCATGAAGACGCGGTGAAACCACCCCAGGAGGCTGTCTACTCCCATTATGTAATACAGTTAATAAATAAATAAATACATACATAATAAAACAAGTAATGGCTTCCGTATAGCCTGAAGGGCCAGATCCTGCCTACTCTTGGAAGCTAAGCAGGGTCAGGTCTGGTTAGAATTTGGATGGAAGACTTGAGTGTTCAGTTCTATTATTGTGGTTGGAAATTGTCCAGAGAACATTGGTTATGGGCGGTATATAAAAGTGGTGGTGGTGGTGGTGGTGTCTCCTTATACCTCCGAAGCAGTTAAACTTGTTTCTCCGCAGGGATCGTGTGCCGTGTGCCTGTAGTTGGGGGCTTCAGAGTTAGAGGCGTTTCTGCCGTTCTGCTCAAACTAAAGACTTGTCTTGGTTGTTTCTGTAGCCTGATTGTCACCTGCACCTGCACCTCCGCTGGCCAGACAACCCGTATGTGTCAGGCATGGTTCACACCAAGGACACGGCGCCAGGACTCATCATGGGGGCAGGTAAAGCACGTCAGACCGAGAGGCGGCTTTCCTACTGCTTCTGGTGCCCATTGGTCAAAAGCGACCTGGTAACGCCATGTCACCTTCATTCCATTTCATTCCATTTCATTTCATTCATGCTCCACCACAGACGGCCTTTCTGTGTAAACAAGTTGACTCACTGCCACCGCCTCTGCTTCTCTGGGGGTCACGGGGTGTTGTCCACAGGATTGGAGAGGGGGGGTTGGGCAGGAGGAGTTCCCTGTGAGGTCTGGCGTGGAGGAGGTGCGAAGAGGTTTGGCCACAACTGGAAACCGTGTTGGTCTTGGGGGAAATGGCAGCGAGTAGACCGGTCGTACTGCGATTATGGCCATGATGTGAACACAACGTTACATTAAAGGGAAAAAATGATGTGATTGCGACGGTTAGTCGGGAGAAAGGCAGAATCAAAGGCAGAGAAGGAGCTGTGACTCGCCCCAGATGCTCGGACTGCCAGGAAGGGCACAACACAGATGTTAGAAGCCAAAGGAAGTGGGAGGCACAGTGGAGCCATTGTTCAGCTCGGGAGAGAGTCGGAGCCGAGATGAGGCCAAGAATAAATTGCTCGCTCACTGCCTGGCTTCAGATGTCACAAAAGAAATGAAACTGGTGTGGTCTTTGGCCAGATCAGTCCTTTCGGATGAAAGATCGGAAGGGATCGTGCTGCTGTGGTTGGAGTGGTTGTAAATTCAGTTTCTTGGGAGCCTTCCTCAGGAAAAGCTTTGAGTCATCTTGCACCAGGGATGCTTAAGAACGCTCACATAAGTCAGGACAGCAGGACCCGCGGAGGTGATCCTGGAGACCCGGCCAGAGCGAGCCATCCCAATTTCTCTGCTGTGATGCCAGAACGCCCGGGAAAGCAGCGACTGGAAGGCCGCCACAGCAGCTCGGGGCTTCCATGAGTGGCACCGTAGCGTCGATGGCAACTTGGGACAAGCCCTAGCATGGGAATGGGCCTTGCATGTGTATGTGCCATCCCAAGGATTTGGGACTGGATGTTTGGGGGAGCCCATAACTAATTCTGGCAGCCTTCCCATGTCGAGCCTTCGCACGGGCCCTGCGGTGCCATTGGGACCTTCTCCTTAAGCAGGAAAATGGACTCCGGAGGTTGCCCTTTCAGTTGGCCTCTCCGGGTGAGACGCGATTCAGTCACAGTGAGGGGAAAGGCCTCTCGTGGTGGATGGAACTGGGGCAGTTGGATGACCCGTCTGGCCTGTTACAGGCAACTTTCTGTGCTCCTCTCTTTTACTGACGTCAGTCCACTTCCAGCGTGGGGTGGGCAGGAGAGGCCATGGAGCCTCACACTTCCTTGGAGGAGCTGCTGCCCCTCAACCGGAAGCGCCTCTTCAGGCGGGCAGCCCTTCCTCCCTCGAGGGAAGGGTCCCCAGCCTCAGGCAGCAGGTGTGAGGGGCTGGGACAGGTTCGGGTCCACTGGACACAACAGGCAGGAAGGCACTGCTTCCTCCTCACACCTCAGAGGGAGGATGCTGCGGTGAGCCGAAGGTCCCCTCTTTTCCAAGCAAGGCTCGCGCGGGAGCGGAGGGGGCCTCGCAGCTCTTTGCTGGGCCTTAGATGGCATCCCGGCAGCGCCTCTGGGTGTCAGGCAGCTGTGAGGCCTCATGGGCAACTGGAGGCCCATATTCCACATGTGAGCCTCCGTTCCGCATGGGCAGAATTCAGCTACAAAGCCGGGAGCAAAGTGCAAATAAGCCATTTCATGCTTTTAAGAGACCCCTCCACTGAAAGGGGAGAGGAAGGAATTCTTCATGGCACCAAGAAGTAATTACTTCAAATCAGAGGAGGCAGGTCTCGGTGAAACATTAGGAATCGCTGTCAGCATTGCTCTTCACATCAAAGGGGCATCTGGCAGGGATAGTAAGAGTCATTCAGATCCGGAGTGTGGAGCGCTGGTGCTTTACATTCCTTGCGCATGGTCCTTTGGTGCTGCTTCGCATGTTACTGAGGTCCTGAGACGCTTCTCTTGTGATGCAGCCCTTCACCAATTGTCACCCAAACAGAGGCACTTCTAATCCCTGGTTCGGTGGGCTGGCAGAACACAGGAAAGTGCCTGCGCATGCCCAGTAACCCTGGCCCATTTTTACCTTTGTTCTCAGGAAATTTGGGTGCCCAACTTGTGGAGTATAAAGAAGAAATGTATATAACTTCTGACTGTGGCAAGACCTGGAGACAGGTAAGGCAGCGAAGGTCGTTGTCCAGACATAAATGCAATTTATGGAGCCATTTCCTCTCCTTGCAAATATGCAATTCGTTCTCGGGCCCCGCGATGTCCCGCGATCCTTCACCCCATTGTGGGAGTTTGCAAAGGAAGCTGGCGGAGGGACGCGTGCCCCACACTGGATGACGCCCCACTGCGTCACAATTTTGCCGTGATCCGCTCTTTTGGAGCAGGTGGGTGCTTGCCTTTCGGTAATGGGTTTGCTGCTCCCACCCGGGCATCTCAAATTGGATGAGGGCTGCAGTTTCTCACAATTTCTAGTGTACAACTGGAGGTGAAGGCTGTCTGGAACTAGGTTATTCGAATTGTGTGTCCCGTCGCAGTCCAAGTCTAAAGATACGTGCACGAGAGCAAGAAGCCGTGACTTTCTGTGAGCCTTCCTTCTAGTAAATATGCTGAGCATTTCAGCCTCAGTGAGTGCAGTGTTGATTTGTCTGTGATATCATGGATGGGCTCAGGTCCGCAGCCTCTCGGGGCTTTCTGAGAACTTGCAGTCTGTGTCCCGGATCTCCACTGCTGTACGAAGCAGGCTTTGGGGGCCACGAAAGGACGCGAAGTTTCGCCATGATCGGTTCTTGTTATTCTGCTGCCAGGGACAGGAGAGGAGCTAGTACAGAGGTGTTTCTATCTCAGGTGCCAATAAGTTACTTCCAAATCATGAGAAGTAGTAGTTTCTCTGTATTCCTCACCAGTCAGACCCCACCTGGAATCCCGTGTCCAGTTCTGGGCACCAAGATTTAAGAAAGAGGCAGGAAACTTAGAAAAGGGTCCAGCAGAGGGCAATCAAAATGACCCAGGGTTTGGGAACGCTGCCCTGTGAGGAGGGACTGAGAGAGCTGGGCACGTTCAGCCTTGAGAAGGCTGAGGGGAGACATGAGATCCCTCTAGAAGTGCCTCCAAGGCTGCCACAAAGAGGAAGGTCGAGATCTCTTCTTGCCGATGCCAGAGTGCAGGGCATGGAATACTCAGTTCAAGTTGCAGCAACCCAGATTCAGGCGGGACACCAGGAAAAGCTTCCTCACTGTCAGAGCTATGGGACAGTGGAAGCAGCTATCCGGAGGGGTGGGGGGCTCTCCCGTACTGGGGACATTCAAGGCGAAACTGGGTGGCCCTCAGTGGGGTGGTGTGACTTGGTGCCCTGCAGCAGCAGGGGGCTGGACTCGAGGGCCTTCCTGGCCCCTTCCAACTCCAGTATTCTATGATTCTGGGATTCTAAGTTGGCCGACCTCAGACACAGTGCACCTTCTGGGGGCCCCTTTGCTTTCCAAAAGCGTTCGTGGCCAGCCCGGCAGCAGTGGTGCATCTCCTGGATCCCAGTCTCTCCTAGCAGTCCCCAGAGCACTTTTCTTCTGTTAAGGCCATGATAAAGACGCCCTGCTGCCACTTCCTGGCCAGGTCCGAGGCTGGGCAGGCTAGGACGAGGGAGGTGGTGTGCCCTTAATACGCGAAGGAGATTCTTTTGTTAAAGCGCAGACGTGTGGAAGGCAGTTTAGCGGTATTTCGGGGTCTTGGGAGAATTGCAGCATGAGGCACTGGGGAAAGAGTGGGCTGGCTGTTGCTCTGATCCCCCAGGAGAAGAAAAACAGCCGCTTGAGGAAAAATTCGGATTGGATCCTCTGCTGGTAACAGGCTGGGGAACGAGAGATGGTGTGGCTGATGGGAAACCGTGGGAACTGGGGTGAAGAGGGGGCTTTCACACTCCAGACTTTCTACCTGGCTAATGCTAACTATAGTTTTGTGTGTCGGAAAGCGTTCTATTTGCAGAACATTTGCAAATAGGAAGGCTAAAAATATACATAAATAACTGCAGCAAACTGAGTTATATGCTGCATGGATTCCACGTGTCCTGGAAGTGTGTTTTAGATATATTTAGGCAAAACTATTTCCTGTCCTCAGCTCTGTACAGAGGTTTATTAGTTTGAAAATACATTTCTAAAAGTTACAGTGCTTGAAAGGCCAGGCTTGGGGACATGTTTCATTATCAGCCTTTTAATTAAATACATTTGCACCGAAGTCAACAACATTGGCAATGCCTCTTTTTGAAAGCATAGTTATTTCCTTGGGATTTCCTCCTTGTTCCAGGTTTTTGAGGAAGAGCATCACATCCTGTACCTGGATCACGGTGGAGTGATTGTGGCCATCAAGGACACCTCCATTCCGCTGAAAATACTCAAGTAACTGTACCATAAATTTTCGGGGATGCAGCATTATTCTGAAATGAGGTTTTTTTCTTCCAAGGGGGTCAATTTACTATCTTAACGTTTGCAGATTATTTTATTCATTGGAAATTAATTTAAATGACTTGTCTGTTTCACTTGACAAAATCCAAGGTGATCCTTTGGTTGTGCAATGCACTAATTCACGCTGGGCGTCTGGAATTTTATAAAAATCAGAATGCACAAAGTACCCGCTTGCTTCTGGCTTGTGCAGGGCTGTTGCAGGTGGAGCCCAGAGGGATCTTCAGTTCCACCCAGGCGCTCTGCACGTGTTTCGGCAAATAGATCAGGCAAGGGGGGGGGCGCGTCATTGCAATTGTGCTCCTGTAGAAAAAGCAGCCCCTGGGACAGCTTTTCCCTGCCCTGTGCATACACATAATTGCCGACGCCTGGTGTGTATTGCCCTTTTGGAATTGGCCTCTGTCCCAGGAGGGTGGAAGAATATGGCCCAGATATGGACAGAATCCATTAAATCGGTGTATTCAGGACCTAACCCAACCATACGGGGGGGGGGGGGTTTGAAGCAGTTGTGTGGAGAAAAACACTCTCAATTCCAGCTTGGGCCGTGACCCTCCCATCGACAGTGGGCAAGAGAGGTGCTATTGGTGAGCTTGAAGTCTGGGACCGAACGACGTCCGTGGCAAACAGGCGCGTCTGTGCCTCCTACCTGGCGAAGCAGGGCAGGCTCCCAGACACACCGGCTGCGTTCGGATGGCACGCTGAGGTCCCTCATGGCTTGTTTAACCCATGCCAGGCCTTAGTGGGAACAGCTCCCCTTTGCTTTTGTAAGGGCTGCTTAATCCTCACCTAACCATGTTTAGTGGCTGTTCCACAGCTGCACTGGGGATTAAATGGCCCCCCGTGGTGGGTTCTTACACAGGAAGAGCCAGCGTGGCATCGTGGTGAAGAGCACAGGACTGGGACTCAGGCGACCTGGGTTCGAGTCCCCGCTCGGCCATGGAGCCAGCTGGGGGACTTTGGGTCAGGCACAGACTCTCAGCCCAACCTGCCTCACAGGGTTGTTGTTGTGGGGATAAGATGGAGGAGGAGAATGATGTAAGCCGCCTTGAGCCCGCTGTAGGAAAAAGGCAGGATATAAATCGCAATATAAATAAATACATAAATAAACAAGTTGCTTTTAAAGTAAAGTACAGCCTTTCCTCAGGCTAGCTGGGTAGCACGCACTGATTAGGCCTCTAAAAGGAGCACACCAAAAGAGCTTGCGCACAGGGGAAGATGTTTAGGGGGATGCATAGATTCTGGCATTTCACATTTTGCTTTCTGGAGAAGCAATGTCCCTGTTTTGAAGAAATAGCAGTGGGATAAAAACCTCAATCATTTTCCTTGCAGAAAAGACGGTGGGCAAGAGCAGCTTTCTCTCTTTGCCACTTAGCTATTTTGGACTTTTCTGTAGTGTAATGGAATGATTGCTACTAATGATGAGCCATATTTTAAACCCGTTCAGAGCTGCAGTAAACAGACGGTTCCTTTCTAGGTTCAGCGTTGACGAAGGTCAAACCTGGAGCACTCACAATTTCACCAGTACCTCGGTTTTTGTGGATGGCCTTCTCAGTGAACCCGGCGACGAGACTTTAGTCATGACGTAAGTAGCACTTAATGGACCAACGCACAAGCTGTGCGGGAAAAGCCGCACAGTCGGCAAGCGGTCTTGAGAAGAGACAGCCTGGGACAGCCTAAGCTTGGAAGGTGTTCTTCAGTGAGGCATGGATGACAGTTAAATGGACGACCGGATCCGTCGCGATGCTTTTGGGGTTGACCAAAGGCGTCATCGGTTGGCCTGGGTGCCATATATCTCGAATGCAGAACCTTCTGGGGTTGCTGGCCACACCCCACTTTGGGCCAGATAATGTGACCCCACCGCTTGAGGCCATCTCCTTTCCTGTTTCTGTGAGGTGGACGGGGATGGACAGCCTAGGGGCTAAGACATGCCGACCCAAGGAAGAGAGCTGTTCTCCCCCGTGCCCCCTCCACTGCTCTCCGTTACACCAGATCCGTCACACACACACACACACACACACACACACACACAGCAGCAGCCCTGAAGGGGGCAGAGTTCCGGGCTGGCCAGTGCTGGGCTGCCCCTCCAAGGGATTCCAGCAGGGGGTGGAGCCGAGGGATGGAGGGACCCCAGAGGATGCCGAGGGTGGTGCTTCTGCACCCTGCTGTGGATGGATAATGGGCGGATACCTTCCTGGCGGCACACGTTGCCTTCGTCACATGCAAAATAGCTCTGCACGAGGCAAACTGTGACTGCTGAGCCTTTTGAAGATGCTCCACAGAGAAGCAGAGGCGAGTGGAGGGGCCACAGAGGAACACGGAGGGAAGCGGAGGCCTTCTGTTGGCTGTCCGACAGGAGATCTGTTGCTGGTCTCTGCTTGTGGGATGGGACAATTAGGTGCTTGTGTATGAAATTTGGCAGAAGGTAGCATTAGCATAGGTTGAAAAGACATATAAATAGATACGTGATATTCCTTCACGTTGTTCACTTGCCTTTTATTCCCAGGACTTTAACTGGAGCCTCATTCTGAAGCTTTCTTCTTTCTCTTTAGAGTCTTTGGACATATCAGTTACCGCTCAGACTGGGAGCTCGTGAAGGTAGATTTCCGCCCATCCTTTTCTCGAGAATGCACTGATGAAGACTATGAATCATGGGACCTAACAAATCTACAGGTACAATATCAAAGAAAATAGCCACTGCTGTATTTGGTGACAACAACCTGATTCAGTTGTAATGCAAAAGCTCCGTTGTGAACATCAACTCAACTACTCCCCCGCACCACCTTCCATCTTATTTATTTATTTATTTATTTATTTTTCCGATTTATATCCTGCCTTTTTCCTACAGAGGGCTCAAGGCAGCTTACATCATTCTCCTCCTCCATCTTATCCCCACAACAACAACCCTGTGAGGTAGGTTGGGCTGAGAGTCTGTGACTGGCCCAAAGTCACCCAGTTGGCTCCATGGCCGAGCGGGGACTTGAACCCAGGTCGCCTGAGTCCCACTTCCGTGCTCTTAACCACCACACCACACTGGCTCTCTGCATTCTTCTGCTTTCATTTTAAAGTTTCTAGTCACATTTTAGAATTACAAAAATTATCCTTTCCATCAGTTATAGAAAACTGTGCTTCACACTCACCATAGTTCGCTAGCTAGCTAATAAATTACCATCCAATCCTGGTTTAATATTTGTTTTCTTAATTAACTATGGTTTATACAGACCGTAGTTTATATAAACCATAGTTTATACAAACCATAGTTTCTCATATCGGAATGAACTGAGAAACTATGGTTTGCTATGGCAATGGAAAACTTCTGATTTCCTCCTCTCATGGAGAGAGGAAGTGTAGGGAAGTCACCTGAGTTTAAAGATCACTACAACAGATACATGTAACACTTTGCCAACATAACTGGGAGTGCGTCAAATTTAACTCAGTTGGACTTACTTCTCAGCAGAGGCACATGCACCATAAACCATGGTTTAGCATTATGTCTGACTCAGACAACGTTTCCATGTCTAGATCATTGTCTTGTTTATTCCAGAAAATAATTTTAACAAGCTGTGCAGTGCAATCCCATGCATGTTTCCTTAGAAATATATTCAAACGAGAAGTGCTGGGCAGTGAGTGAGGAATCTGGTTTGAGCGGATTCTGTGGTTTCAGCTTGCCGGACGCTGGTGCACTTTGCAGTGGTTCAGCACCTGGCAAGCAAGGCTGGGGTTCTTGGGGAACCCCAGAAATCAAGCTGTGCTAGCAGCATCATTTCTCATCCGTCACAAGTCGCGAGCGGGGAAGAAGCGTGGCTGCCGAGAGTGGCCGCTTGGGAAGGTTGCTGGGTACACAACCAGGGCTTGCGAGCGTTTGCAGGCCTCCTTGTGACGGGACTCGCGTCGCAGGACCAAGCCGTGCGTGAGAGGAAATGCACGGATGCCGGAGGGATGGATGCCACCAACCCTCGTCCTGTGCTGAGTAAAATACTTGATGGATTTCGCATGGCGCGGTGCTCATGAATCAAGATGCTTTGCAGATGCATGAAATGGTGATCTCAGTGAATATATCCTGAGAAGGATTTCCAAAAGCATGCAAGCTTTACGAACTGAGCAAGAAGTTGGTGCAGTGCTCATTAAGTACACGATCTATTTATGCAAACTCCAGTCAAATGAATACCAGATCAAAGGATCATGTGGATGACCTGCTCTTGACCTGCAGGAACTGTTAACGAGGAAGCCTAATAAGATCCATCTTGATCAAAATAATGATCCATGTCGATTTACAAATAAAATCAGTTTTTAAAAAAATCCTAAAGATGTGTTTATGCCTGGAGTTGGGGAATTGTGCTTCTCCCGACAAATTCATGAGATACTTATATTTTGCACATTTGAAATGCGTTGAAAATTCTTTCAGTAATTTATGCTAAATGTGTCGCTGCATCTCATTCTGAGTGCATCCTGTGCTCAAGATTTGGGAACTGCAGGTGAGCAGAACACTTTTTGGAGACCAGCTCTGCATTTCTGGAGAGCTGGTAATTGAGGGTTTATCACACTCTGTGTTTAATTGCGCCTTACATTCATCAGCGAGGCAATTATTTTTAGCTCCGATAGTTAGGAATATCACGACCGTGCTTCCCCCAGTCTCTGGTCACACTTTTAAATGCTAATTTTAACACGAGCAATTGCTCAAGGATGCAAATTGGGGCACGTATTCAAATGCCATTGGAATTTGCATCCTATTAAAAGCCATGCTAAGCAGACCTATCTTGGCGTATTGCAGGAAAACGCTTGGACTGGTGTGGGAAAGGCTCACACGGTCCGATTCCAGAGTCTGATGGATGCAGTTAGTTTCCTGGCAGCGGTTGGAGGGCTTCGCTTTCGCACCCCTGGCCGTTCTGCTGAGTCCCTGGCCCCTCAGGAATGGCTTGATGAGTAGGCAGGACCTCACGCGGCCCATCATCCCCCGCTTCGCACAGCTCTGCCTGCTCCTAGATGCTCTGAAGAAAGTCAGTCTAGGGAACCCCCTTAAGCCTCAAGCCATGAAACTCAGCATTACCAGTGGCTCTCCAACGCGGAGGTTCTCCTTCTCCTTTGGGAGACGGCACTGCGCCAGCCGTTGCCAAGCGGCCGAAAAATGATAGTCCATGACCCCTCTGACCAGCTCCGGCAGTTCTGTCGCTCCAGTGGCACTGAGCTTCATGGCTGAGCCAGGATTTGAGCCTAGCCCTTCTCGAGCTAAATCAGACCCGACTCACTGTGCCCGTCTGGAGCTCTGCAGCTCAGAGAGCAATTCCACTGGTGCAGTTTGCTGCAATTCTTGCTAAATTTAATAAAGGGCCCATGGCTCATAAACTAGCTATAAATTATTATGATTAGGGAAGGCCATGGTTTTGTTTTCTTGTTTGTGTGTGTGTGTGTTGGGCTATGACAATAAACATATTTCATTCATTTACTTGCAACATTTATACATCACTTTTGCTGGTTTTTACACCAAACTGTGATTGGTCCATTGGGGAAGGCTTGATAAAAATATGGAAGCCTTCAAGAGGCCCCAGAAGCAAAGCAGCATCTCTTGAAGGTATCACAAGCATCTCTCTCTCTCTCTCTCTCTCTAGTTATGCACACACATATATATACTGATTACAGAATCTTTTATATCCTCATCGAGACAATTTTCTGCTCCAAATAATAAGATGCATGATTTAAGATTTTTCGCTCATACATTTCACATTTCTCTAGGCCACAAAACCAAGCTACAAGCTTCTGCACAATTTTGCAAACTCGTTCCAGGTATAGGGAAAATAGAAAGATGCCTTCTCCGATGTCTGTCCATTCTGAATTAAGAAAGATCAATCCATGCAAGCTTCACAGGAAATGCTTGCTAACTCTAAAATGGAAGGGTTCTGTGGGATTCGGAAAACTGTTGCAAATGTCTGAGTCGGTGTGGCGCACATACCTGGAAGTTATGAGAACTAACCTTTTAACGTGCAGGGTGACCGTTGCATTATGGGTCAGCAGAGGAGTTTTCGGAAGAGGAAGAATTCCTCAAGATGCATTAAGGGAAGAAGCTTCATGTCGGCACTCACTTCCAAAGTGTGCGAATGTAGCCCTTCCGATTTCTTATGGTGAGCCTTTTCTGCTGGTCTTTGAGGGGGTTTAAACCTAAATGGTCTACGTGGGTTTTGTGCAGGATGGAATCTCTCTATTCCTTCACTAAAAGATGTGACTTTGCTCTTGTTTGTAAGAGAATCATCAAGTTGGAAGGGGCCAGGAAGGCCATCCAGTCCTATTGCAGGTCACCAGCTTACACCACCCACTCAGAGGGCTGTCCAGTTTCACCCTAATGCCTCCAGTGTGGGAGGGCCCCCCACCCCTCTAGGCAGCTGGTGCCAGTACCGTATTGCTCTGACAGCGAGGAAGCTTTTCCTGCCATCTAGCCCGAACCTGAGTTGTTGCACCTGGAGTTGATTATTCATATCCTACACTCTGGTATCAGCGAGAAGAGATTTTGACCTTCCTCTTTGCGACAGCTCTTAAGTTACCAAGTATGAGAAAGCTGCGTGACCCACAAACTTGGCATGCGATCACTTCCCAGTTGGGCACAAAGGATGCCAACCGGGCATCTTGTTCCCCAGGCCACCTCCCATTTGAACTGCTCATATCAGAGATTTACAGTGCAGTCAGTTTTGCTTACAGCTCCTGAAACCCCCCTTATGTCCGTTGAACAATTAATTTTTGCCATTGTTCCGCAGCGATTATGGGTTTGAGCGTTCCACTAAATCGGAATCTGACACATGCTTTGCTGAATTCTGGTTTAACCCCGACGCTCCTCCCGAAGACTGCATCTTGGGGCAGTCCTACAGAAGCAGCACGGGGTAAGTCGTCTTGCCGCAAGGAGTCGCCCTTTATCTCGGCTCCTCGTATGAATTGCCTTCCGTCAGAGGAGTCTCAAGTTGTGCAAGAAGCGCTGTGCAGGAAGAGGTGTCCGGGCCAAAGTGCACCCCTCCTCTCCACTGGGCAACTCGTCCTTCTGTGGCTGGGCCATGGATGGTCCGTGCACCGTGCGGGATGTGAGTTTGTACTCCTCCCTGGCATCTTTGCAAGAATGATGGGGATTCTTTAGGGTGCGAAGGCATCGTTGTGCCCACCACAGCCTGTTGCAAGCCCAGGGAAAAATATTTCGTTTCGAGACGAGAAAAATCTTAGCTGATTCTTTCGAGAGCAGCATATCTCACATTTAAATAAATTGACTTGTAGAGAATGCAAGTAATTTATTTACTTGTTAGTTACATTTTTATATCACTCACGGTCAGTTCACAACAATATATGTATAACAGTGTATTTTACACAATGAAGACTGATGTATTGTTAGCACAGAGAAATGCATAAATATATTTGGGATCTAAACATAGACAGATTTGCTTGGGAATAAGTGTCATTGAACTCCGATGCACCCAGGGAATATTTCTTTGCTTTCTGATCCCTAAACTTCCTAGTCCTGTGGGAGGTGGTTAGATTTTCTGCCACTGCAGTCCGATAGCACACGTTGCACTGGATCCAGACGTCACCATTCCGAAAATAGCTCCAGTGAAATCCACGGAAAACCAGTTGTGTCTGTTCGGCTTTGTTTTGCTTGCTCGCTCATTTGTTTCCATTCTCTGCTGGGAGGTTTACGCAACCCATAAAAACAGATGATAAAAGTACAATAAAAATAGCCGCAATTTGGCTTTCATTCCTGTTCTGTGTGTATATATGTATTATATAATTATGGCATTTATGTGCCCACCCTTCGCCAAAAAAGGTTCTCTAGCTTACAGTTGGAGGCAGAACAGTAAAATCAGTTCAAATACAAGTTAAAACAACCAGGCAGCAAAATTACTAGCAAACAATAGTGAGATATTGTTGTTCGTTTTATTTATTATAATAAAATACATTGAGATGTATTCCTGTTTTCCCTTTCTGTCAGTTATCGCAGAGTCATCTCCAATGTCTGCATGGGAGGCGTGGACTTGCAGCAAAACGTTTCTCAGCACCTCTGTCCGCTAACTGCACCCAAAGGATTGCAGATACTCATCAAAGGGGGCAGCCCGGCCGTCAGACCTGGGGAAGACGTCACTTTCCTAGTGAAGCAAGAGCGGGTGAGTCACCTTCCCCAGTTTCGGAGCCATGTGCCTCCCATTGGAGGGAGCCTTTTTCCGAGATTTCCGGCCAGTCTCTCTCTTGTGTGATGGGACAACTCGCGTGACCAGCTTTTGGTCTGGAACGCTGCGTAAGCTTTTGGCAAGATTAGAAGAAACCAGCCCACCGCTCCCTCTGATAGTGGAAGCGTGGCTGTTTCTTAATCCTGAAGCGCGTGTTGGCTCAGATAAATCTGGCAATATGTGTTGCCATCTGGCGATTTCAGGAACCGGCAGATGAGTTGCGGCAGGGTGTTAGAAGAAGGGTAAGATTTGCTTATTCAGGCCACTGAAATCCAGGCCAATCAAGGTATACTTTTCATGGTCTAGTTGTTTAAGGCTCTTGGAACTTTTCTGGGAACGTGAACAGGACAATCAGGATTGTCCTTATCAAAAGACTCACCCATTCTTCTGCCTTAGCCCAGACTTCGGACGCCCGCATGCCTTTTATTTCCACCCCAGCAGAGACCGAGAGAATGGTCCCTCCGGAGTGCACAGATTTTGACCCGAGGAACAAACCAGGGCCTGGAGGGCTTCCCCACACCTTGAGGACAATCCAAACCCTCACAGTTCCAGTCCAGGCCAAGCTTGATCAAATCCCTGTCACCCGCTACCTAAAACACAAAGGGCATCCCCACAGCCAAATGCTGAAGAGCCAGGGACTGGATTTTAGCACTGTCTCGTTTTTCCTTGAAACTGGTTTTCATTTCTGATCTGGGTTGTTTAATATCTTTTCAATAATTGGGATAATTCCCAGCACAGGAAAACACTGTAAGTACCGAACTAACGTGGCTTGTTTCCTTTTGTCAGTTTTTGCGATTGGGCCAAACATGTTGCTTTTTCCACAGGGAGACATTTTGAACACCAAATACCAGGTGGACCTTGGCGATGGTGTTAAGGCAACGTACATGAACCTCACCTTGACGGGCGAGCACATTCAGCACCGCTACGCAAATCCCGGCGTTTACCGTGTCTCCGTTGTGGCAGAGAACGCTGCTGGCCGAGACGAAGCGGTTGTGATCGTCCAGGTCCATCGTAAGTCGTGATCTCTTTTCGGTCCTTTCTCCCTAGGCCTTAAGTAGCCGTACCTGGATTGCAGTAGTGCAAGTGCTGGTCAGGGGCGTGTCTGTCCTGGATCAGGCCCTGTGGCCTGTGAAACTTTGCTGTGAAGCCAGAGGGCAGCTTTGACATGGTTGCGCTCGAGGGAGGAAGCTCAATCCTAGCCAGGTCCGTGGGGCGTCTGTTGCTGAACCATAGCCTACCCCTCTTGATAAGGGCTTAATTTTCTCTTGCACACGTGCAAGTATAAATAAATTTATTCAGTTCAATTTGCCGGCACACACATTAGGAAAATGTCGACTTGACAGTCAGGACACCTGGAAGGGCAAGAACGATCGGGATTCCAGTCACTGCTCAAAAACTGTGGCTCAGTGCCAAGCCAGCATCCTTTGGATTTGTGAAAACCACACCTGAAGTCAAACTGTGTCAGGGGATGGCCTTGTGTCCTTGTATTTTTGCCTTCTGATGCGGTAGCTCCCTGCCTAGAAGCCCCCTGCGCCGAAGTGCAGTGGAAGGCTTTCCTCGTCCTCCCTTTGCAAGGAAATCCAAAGATGGCTTGGCCGCCTGCCATGTCTCCAGAGCCCCCCAGGCATTGGGATTCTAATAGAGGCAGGGGAAGTGCTTTTCCCAGGTGTGTATTTTAACGATCACTGCAAATTCATGCTGTTAATTCATTTTCGGAATTAACAAAAAGGTGCTGCTCACACTGATCTTTGCGCCCCAGCAAAATAATCAAAAACGTGGCTGCCTTTCCCCCTGCAGTGCTTTTTTCCTTCACAACGCTGTCGTGTCGCAGCGAAATTAATATATGCCTGGGTTCTGATCAGTTGATAAAGCAGCCGCCAAATCAGGACCATGAACTAAAACTCCGTGCTGTCTTATCTTGAACCGAGGCAAGAAGGGCTCAGGGCAGGATTGGGAAGCCCACTTGTTCCAAACCAAATTAAATCCGCCTTCCAGATGAAAATCCCGAGCCTTGTCCACTATCCAAGGCAATTTACGCATTTCTGCACACGCCGTCCCTGACCCTGCGCTTCGCTGCTCTGCCAGACGCTGTGAGGAGGTCGATGCCACGTGGCCTTGTTGCCGCTCTTCCTCCCCTTGACAGGGTCCTTCCAGTTTGTCTGAGGTGTGTGGGAGAAACTCTGCCTGGAGGAAATTGCGCGTGAGTTGCTGGGCACTTCAAGAGCTCCGAGTGCTTGGTTCCTCCACGGCCCCATAATTAACGGTTGGGACTCTTTCCAGCTCCACTGCAGGCGTTGCATCTGGAGGTGCTTCCCGTGGTCAGCAGAAACCAAGAGGTGAACCTCACAGCTCTCATCATGCCAAGGAACCCCAACTTTACTCTCCTTTACTGGTGGATCGGGAACAATCTTCAGGTACCAGTGAGCAAATCTCGCAGACATTTCCATTATTTTTTTACGGTAGGACATGACAAGAAAACTCAAGCATTTCCAGAGAGCAACCAGAAGGACAACGGAACCCATGGTCCAAGGAGGCCCTGGGCTCTCCTTCGCCGGGCATTCAGGATGCGACTGGACAGCCATCTGAGAGGGGTGGCTTGGCTTGGAGTCCCGCACAGAGCAGGGGGCTGGACCCGATGGCCTTCTGGCCCCTTCCAACTCTGCTCTTCTATGAACTCACCTCCACGGTTCGGGTTCCCCAAATCCCCCTTCCACAAATTCGAAGCTGAAAGTTCTACTTTGATAACTTGGTTTCTGCTTTGATTATTTTTCATCTCCTGCTCTTCTCTCTTTGTTTTAGCCACTCCTTTCCCTGGACAATTTCCTGGTAACCAGTTTTGCAGAGGAGGGAAAAGTCAGGGTGACTGTCCAGGCTTCCTGTGGGAACTCCATGCTTCAGGATTCCAAGATCATCCAGGTTCTGGGTAAGGCGCTTTTCTCTTAGCTGCCAGTTTGGTTGGATGACGCTTCTACCATCCCCAGCAAGAGGAGTGATTCCTGCTGTGATCATCTGTATTTCCGCAGCCGGTGCTTTAGTTGTGCAAACGAGAAATCCTGTTGCATGTTAACATACAGATAATGACTTCCACACCTCCAATGGCTGTGGTTGTATTGCATGCAGGGCGCACGATGTGCGATTCCGCCTCTTTCTCTGCCAACAGTTTCAGGTAGAAAGACATGAGGGTCCGGTTTCAGAGACTCTTGTTGGGGTCGAAAAAAGGATGATGCAATCGCATAATTGCAATTTTTACCAAACCTTTAGTCATCTTATTTAGTCTTAATAGTTTTAAATTTAGTCTTACTTTCTCTTTCTGTTTCCAGATCATTTCCAGGTGCTTTCTCTAAAGTTTTCCGAATATCTGGACTTGTACAACCCAAGCATCCCAGCCTGGAGAGAAGACATTGGCCACGTGGTAACACAACGAATCGCAAAGGTGCTCAAATCAGTTTGAATGTTTCTCTTTCCAATCATGGAACTGGATGCTAAAATTGGCACGTCTCAATTTTCATTCCAGATTTTAGACCTTGCACGTCTGGGGGACCCTTTTAGTGACTGGGTACTTCCAGATGAGGGTTTGGATCGGGGCTTGGAATCAGCTAATGTTTTCTGGTAATATTTCTAATAATGATTCTAGTCCCCTTTTTCAAAGATGGAAGTAAGGTCATGTGCGTTTGTTGTGCTTAGCTCCAAGTAAAATGTTTTTGCTGCACCAATGGGATCAGAGTCCAAATGAGTTGAGGCCACTACGGCACAGCTTGCGAAGCCAGTCACCTTCTGAATGTGGTTCCTTCTTTCAGGAAACCAGCATTCCTGAAGAATACCTCGTGACTGTGGTCAAACCCGGGCGACCCACGACAGCAGATTTACACGTGCTTCTCCCCACAAGCCACCCGAAAAAGAAGAGGGCCGTGTCTGCTGATAAGGTGAGTAGGCAAACAAGCGTTTCTTTCGGAGCGGAGCCCCCAGTGGCCTCCCTCTCGCTCCAGGCCCCACGAGGAGCAATCGGCTTGTATTATATCTTGCCAAGCCGAGCATCTTTCTTCCACTTTACCGGCTGATCCACAGCCGTCTAGCAGACACAGTCCACATTCCGGGAGCAGCAGACCCACGTGCAAATACGCTTCTCTTGCAGCTTCTGACAGGTTCTCAGCAGAGCAATTATTTCTGGGTTTGCGGCCTTGCAGGTGCTGCCTTCTCAAACGGGAGTTTTGCCTGCGAGGGAGAAGCAGATTTGCTTCCAAGGCAGGCAGAGCCTCAAACTGAATTTGAGAACAAGACGGTTTCTGATAAGTGCAATACTTTTTTCTGAATTGTACTTGTGGCAGGATTTTAGTAGCATTCAGCTGTGAGCGGTTGCAGTTCCTTCACAGATATAAGCCTTGTTAATTTTGCTGTAAAGCACCAAAAGAGCTTTGGTTACAGGCAGTTTATAAATGAAATAATAAAAATAATTCCTCAGACTCTCAGCCCACCCATTTTTCTCCTCATTCTGGATTTCTTGATACGTGACTGACTTGAGAATTTCTTGATATACTACCCCAGCAATTCCTGCTGTGGGATATAAATAACATTATTTTTTGCTTCTTTCCAGAGAATAGCTGCTATTAAGCAATCTTTGAATGCCCATAACATCAGTTTCTTCATGAGAGGCGGACGATGGGTTTTGGTTACCCTAGATAGCTCCAACTCAGGTAAAACATGAGCATTTTTTAGTTAGTATTTTACAGGATAAAATGTTATTCTGATATTTCAGTTAAGAAAACACCAGTGCTAGATATTAGTTCTGAATTCTGTGGGGTCAGGAGTTGCATTGCTATACAATCACACCACGGAAGCCTAGTCGTTGTGAGTCCAACTGTTCGCTAACCCCCAGAATTGGAAATGTTGTTGTTGTTATTATTAAATTTATATTTTGCAACCAATTAATCCAACAGGACTCTCTAGACGGATTACAGAGAACATATATACCAGTGAAATAGCAATAAAACAACAATATACATAATGTAACAATAAACTAATCACATAAGCAAAAACATAACAATAGACAGTGCACAACAATATACAGTTCACAGCGAAATATGGCCGTGAGTTAGATGGTGACGTAAGAAGTTAAAATGGTATGAATTAAAATGTTCTGGCCCGGTAAAGTTTAATTCGATGAAGTTTGGGGGTGTGGGTTAAATACTCAGGCTGTGCTGCCAAATGCGATGCTCACGCTCGGGATGGAATCAGCCACTTGGCGTCTCTGATTGCAGATTCCCAGCGCACTGGAGGAGGCGGCGGGTACTGGACCATGGTGGTGCTTTTCCTCTTCTCCTTGGTGGCTGCGGGAGCTCTCATCTTCTACAAGTTCAAAAGGCAAGCGACCTTGCAGGTGCTCCGAGCAAGGGTCCCCGGACCTCGCGGCCCCCCGAGGCGCACGGAGCCCTTCGCGGGCCGCCCGCCCCCGTGTGTCTCTCAGTGGTCCGTTTGGAGCCTGGTCAGGGGGCACGTCCGGAGGAGGAGGCGGGGCGAGAGGAGGGGCCTTGTTTGGCTCCTCCCACGCGGGGCCCCGCCCGCCCGCCGCCTGCGGAAGCCCCGCCCACTGCCCCCGAGGCCTCTGAGAGAAGGTGGCTGCGGCAGGGCCAGGGCTGCTCCGGCGATGCTCGTGCTTCCGCAGGCGGGCAGGTCCTCCCCCCGGGAAACGGCTCTTCGGCAGGAAAGAGGCTTCTGGGCAAGAAGGGGCGCCAGGAGCCCGGACACTCCTGGGGGCCGCCCCAAACCTCTGCCGCTGGCCCGGGCATGGAAAAGCCGGAGTGCCCAGGGACGTGTTGCCGCTCGCCCCGGCGCGGCCGGAGGAGGCCGACCCGGCTCTGTGGCGGAGTCTGGTGCAGCCCCTTCCACGTGCCGCTTATCCTGCATGTGGGAGCGGGAGGGGTGTTCCGTGGAATGTAGGGTGGCCCCGAGAGCCGAAGGGCCGGCCGTTGCGCCCGGGGATGCCAGCGTCTGTTCACGGACGGATGGGCTCCGAAGCAGCCTTCCCTTCCCCGCCGTGCCCCCCTAGGACTTAACAAGCAGGAGGGCGCGATCCTGTGCAGCCGCCACCAGCCTCCGAAGCCGAGGTGCGCCCTGCGCCTGGAACGAGGCCAGGCCAGGTGTGGCCTTGCCGCCGCCGTTCCTCGCACTGGGCTTTCCGCCTGCTTTATCCAGCCCTATCCCTGGTGCATCCCTTCCCACGAGGCCCGGCTGCTGCAGACGGGAGGCCTCCAGAAGCAGGGATCCATCCTGTGGGACTTAATTGGCACATATCTTTGGAAGCCCGTGCTCCCGGTACTCTTCCAGCGCCTTTGTTTTGGTTACAGTCTGCGCTGATGCTTTTGTTGTTTTGTTATATTTTGGTATTTCCACTGGAAATGCTTAAAGCTATTTTATATTTTGCACATTTTAATAATGTGGGTGGGAGTAGCTGTAAATCTCTTCTGAGGGAAAAACGGGCTTGGTGGTAGCAGCAGTGGCTGCATGCAGCCGGTTCTCTGCTGGGTGCTCCTCCCTGCCATCCTTAGCAGGTGCTTCCGGCAGGTTCAGCGGCATGAGGACACGTGCGGCCAACATCTGAGGTCCGTGCAGCACCAGCTAAAAGTTCTCTCTTGCGCCCTCAAGGAAATTACCGGGCAGAAACGTCTATGCCCAGATGCAGAATGAAAAGGAGCAAGAGATGACCAGCCCCGTAAACCACCGTGAGGACACCCAGAATATCATCCAGGGGGAAGAATTCATTGACGACGACCTCGAATGCCAAACGCTGGGCAATGCCCGAGGTAAGGACGCACGCCTGCTCTGCCCCGGGCCTTCCAGAGCTTCCCACAGGAGTGAACAAAATGAGCGCCTGCAGTAATGCAGAACCTACATTGGTTTGCACCACTCTCAGAATTGGTTTGCACCGCTCTCAGTGGCACAGAGGTTTAGGATCCAAGACGCCAAGTGTGGGAGGAAGCACGGTAGGAAAACGGGGAGGTGCGTGCCCTCAAAAGGTCCGGCATTATCCCACTCTCTGGAATTTTAAAAAGCAAACGTTCCTTATGGAACCATTTGTGTGGCTCCGTGTCAGAACTATTTAGTTCTGTCGGCAATAATTTTAACTCATGGAAACAGACATTCTTTAATAGGAACTAACTAAAGTAATCTGAGCTTGAATGCATTCATAATTATGGAAATTGGACTTCTGCAGGGGACCAGACGTAAAGGCAGTTTACAGAAGAGATTCTCCTCCTTGTACTTCCAATATAAACTGGGAGAGTGGAAATTGTACCTTTTCCTGAGCCGAGATTGGCTGACCAGGCTGACTAGAATTCTTCTTACGCAGGATTTCAGTGTGCACACAGTAGCTGCGTCTGTGGAGGAAGCGCTGGGTCTTCTGGCTTCTGAACCACAGGAGAATGGGTCTTTCCGTTACCCTGAATGGCCCTACACATTCAGCGAGGCACAAGACGAGATGCGATGCTCTTCACTGGGTTGGGGTGATTCAGGTCATGCCCCATGTGAGACCGTTGTCCCTTCTGGCATTGCTTCTCCTCATGACTCCGGTCAGCTGGTCCATCTTCTGCTTTGTCCTGGGGTCCGCCTCCATTCAATGTGATAGAGTTGCTTAAGCGGTCTACGGCTTAATCTCCATGTATTGATTATTCTTTGTGCCTTTGCTTCTTAGGTTTCCTTCATTCCTTCCCCCCAGCAGTTTGCTTTCTTTTTATAATTTGTGTGCCTGAATACCTTCCATGGCTATAAAGTAGGAGAGCTGGATCTCTCTTTTCTCCTTCCTGAAACTGGGGGCTGTCCTTACACACGAGGTGCAAACTTCCAAATATTCTTCCGTGCTGAATGCTCCTGGGAAGAGAGCCCTGAACAGTGGAAGAATGAGTAGTTACTAAGAGGGATTTTTGGAAGATGTTGTCCACTTTTAATGACCTTTCCCAATTTTACTTTAAAAAGAAATTCCTTTCAAGTAGCAATTGGAGGGAGGCAATAACGGAGCCCCCTGTGATGCAGGGTCAGTTCGACTCTTTGGAGAATAGGAAGAGCCATCTGTACTCCGTGTGAGCTACAAAAAGGGGCAGATCCCAAAAATACCTTTCAGATGGAATTGGGAGGGTTGCTGGGCAGTGTGAAGGAAGTGGGTTTTAATTTCTCAAAGGTCAGTGCCGGTCGTCATGTGTCCCCGTCAAGAAGGTCCAAGGTTGACCAAGTCAGTGCAGCACAGTCTGTTGATGTTCCCCCCAGGTACTTACAGGGGGCAGCTTTCCAGGTTTGCCAAAGACCCAAGGCAAACTAAGTTGGAGGGGAGAGATCTGGGAAGCAGGCCTTCCTGCCTGAGAGTAATGTGGGCCAGCTGCAGCTCTGGAAAGCTCAGCAATGCTCTTTCTGGAAGAGAGAGCCCTTCCTGCCCAGTGCTTCTCAGGACCGCTCCCTCGCAACCGGGTGCGGCTCGGGAAGCCCGCTTCAGCAAGCACTCGAGGAAGAAGTAGGCGCAAAGCTTTACCCATGTTTTGAAGATCTCCCAGACGGGGTAACCGGTGGACCATTTCTCTTGCAACTTTTGGTTGTACTTAAGAGTCCAGGCAGATGGATGGTTTTCCCGGTTCTTTCTCTGGGCTGCTGTAATGTTTATAACAGCTTCTTTTTGGAGGTCCCCTTTGGGCTTGCAGCTATTTATTATGATGTGATAAACAGAGATTGGTACAAAGGTGCTCGATCAACTGTGGTCCAGTTTCATACCCTTCCTGGTGGGGATCCCCTTCCGGCGGTGAGAGCGGTAGAGGGCGCCCCCTTTCATGTCAGATCTGCATTGGTTGAGGAAGGCCCGCTGCACTGATGCCCCCCCGGGCAGTGCCTGCTCCCCCAGAAATGGGGAGGCAGCCATGCAGGTGTGGTGCCTCTGCCTCCATACCCTTCCACAGGAGCCTGTTGTTCGTCTCATGAAGACACCCCCACCTGCGTTTATTCGAGGGTCTGCAGAGGTGTCCAGCGAGTGCAGGTCCTGCCTGCCTGCGAGGGGCAATGAAGAGCATTGGCACCCTGCATTCGGGGATGCGATCCAGGCGAAGGAGAGGCATATACCCATGTGGAGAGAGATGCTGCCCAGACTTTGCGGAGTCTCTCTGCTCATAATTAGGAGCACTTGCCATGGCAATGCTTAGTTGGGAGTAATTTTGAGCACCTCAGAATAGCGGAAGGAGAAGCGTTTCAGGGTTCAGTTACTTCATTTTCTAGCCTAGCTCCTCCCAAAGAGTGGCAGCCGGTAACAAATCATTTAAAGTGGGGAGGGGGGACAGAGCGAGAGCAGAAGATATGCAGAAAGATAAGGCAAGTCTGTGCCCACTCAGCACTTGCTGCTGAATTCCAGCCGTTCAGAAGCCGCTCTGATGCGGCACTCGCCCGAGCCAAGCAACACGGAACGGCTCCCCAGAGCGGGTTGTCCCAGTCGAGAAGTGGGACGCACGCCGCCCCCCGGAGTCGACCCCATTTACCTGGGGGGTTCCATGCTGTACAGAGAGCGACCACGGGGCTGCAGGCATGCCCCAGGCGTGCGCAGCCCCCTCTCCGCGCCCCCAGCCCTGGACGGGGGCAGGCGTGGCCGCGGTGGGCTTGACACTGGCTGGGCGCCGGTGTAGGCCAGCTCTCCCCGTTCATCCTCTCGTTGAGCAGTTCCCTCCGGAGAAGCTCTGCCACGCTGCGGAGGGGGACCCGAGGGGGTTGCGTGAGGCTCCATGTGTGCCCGGAGGGCCTCGTCCTGCGGCCGCGGGCAGGCGGGCCGCTGTGCGTGCAGAGTGGCTCAGCAGAGCCTGGTGCTCTCCCCTCTCTCCTCGTGATGTTGCAAGTTGTGCGATGGCATGTTTCCAGACTCACCCATCCACTTCTTTTGTTTTTGTATATTTTATGTTGCCTCCTTTCTCGTCACCCCGCCTCGGGACTCCACACCATTTCCTTGCAGTGGCTCCTTCGGGGCGAGGCGGAAACCTGAAGTGCTACCGAGTCCCCTTGCTCCTGCTGGCACTCAGTGCCCAGTCCCAGGTCAGTGCCGCCGGGGAAGGACGCCCGCCGTTCCGCTCCCCTCCCTCTCCGGCTCCCCTCGAGCCTCGTAGCGATGCCAGGCTTGTAGGAAGGCCCCACCCCGTGCCTCACGCCCAGGTCTTTCCGCATCGCCCCACGCATGTTGGCCCGCCGCAGTAAGCTCACTCTCTCCTCTGGTGGAGCGATTTCTGGAAGGAAAGCGGGGAGAACGTGGGCGGTCGTCAGGGTGCTAACCTGGGTCCTTCTTTCCTGTCCCCTAGGCAATCTCTCAGGCGTGGTTCTGAGCATTAATTCCAGGGAGACGCACAGTTACAGCTGATGCTCCCAACTGAACACGTAGACAAGACTCTTCCAGTGTTGGGCTCCTCCTCTCCCCCCGGAAGATCCCACCACCAGTGGGAAGGAGATGCTTAGCTTGTCCTGGAAACAGACGCCACCACGTGTTGCTTGGAGAAAAGGGGGATACACTTTGTCTTTATGGCTGTTGACCTTTTTTTTTTACACCTCAAACTAAGCTAGTGGATCTGAAGCCTTTGGCACCCTTTGCAGCCCCTTTCTCTGTCTCCGGTGACCCCGTATTTCTCTACGTTCTTTTAATCAAATGCATCCTGTGCTTCGCTCACGGTGACGGTGCCAAGCGGAAAGCTGCGATTCCTGAACAGTGAAGGCAGGTTTGGCACAAGGGGCTCGTGGGATGAGGAGTCGAGGAGCACGGGGGATTTGTCTGGGCTGAAAGAACTGCTCTCCGCATGGAGAGGGCTGCCGTCGAGAGACCTTCTGGTCGCACCCCGCGGGGCGGCTCGCAGCGTCTGTGTACGAGGACCAGGGTGTGAGAGACGCCTCACCGCTTCCTGCTTCCACCAGGACGAAGACGCCTGCCCTTCCGGACGAGGCCACCGCAAGACCAGCCGGTCACTCACAGCCCGCATAATCACACAGCACGCAGCCCGTGCTGCCTCACCTTCTTTTCGTGTCCAGAACAAGTGTAATTACATTTTTTTAAGTTTCTGTAATCCTTTTTTGTATCTTTTTAAACTTTCTATTTTTATAGCTATGCAAGTATTCCTGTCTCAGGATAGCGCTGTCAACGCGGTGGATTTGGAACTTGCTTTTTTCTTTTTGCCTGTTTCTACCGTGCGGCTGAACAAACGAAAAATGTCACTGCCTTGGATGTGTTTGACAATCTGGGGAATTAAATCAATTCCACTGCAACGGTTGCACTTTCTCACTCTGACCTGACCCCTGGGCCCCACGCCTCCTTCCTCAGACTGGAGCTGAGTGAGAATCGACTCTGTGTAGGCAGGACAATTGTCTCGCATCCGTGTTGATGTTCTTGGAGAGCCGTGTGAGTTTATTTTGGTGTCCGCTTGTGGAACCCCCATAGTTTCACTGAGGAAGAATCGCAGGATTGCAGCCAGACTGGCGGAGTCGCCGTGAGTCGTGCGTCGGGCCCGGACGACAGAGCTCCCTGGCATGGGCGCAGTGCGCAGCCTCGTGACTGCCTTGCCCCGTGGCCCTGATGCTCTCCAGAGAGGGTTGCGGAGCACTGGCAGACGCGCAGGCCCTGAATACGAACCACGGTGGCGACACTCGTTTGCGTTGGACGACCCTGTTGCCGAGGTGCCAACTTATTCTTTCTGCAGAAAGCTCAGTCCGTTTTGTCCCGTTCTTCTTGTCCTCTTCCGAACACTGAAGAATATCCTGCAGAACTACTTCATCAAGCACAAACACGCTGGGGCGTGACTCTCCAAGCGGTCGATGACACGGTGTAGGTGGGCGGCACATGCCGTCTTGGTTGCCTTCTGCTCAGGGTCTCTGCCAGCTTTCCCCCCTGTGGCAAATACCCTGCGGCTTCGCTTGGAGAAGAGCGACGTTCCCAGCTGCCTTTCTGGGGCAGAGGACGAAGAAAACAGCAGTTGAGAAAACATGGACTCCAAGATTTGCCATGCAGCCTCTCCGGTTTGGAATGTCCTGACTCGTTGCACTACAGGACTGGACTCTTCCCGTTCATCGCATCACGACAACATCCGGGATACGTGGCCAAAAACCTGACCTCTGGGCAATTCTGAGAAGCACCCTAGAAACCTGTGGGAGCAGCAGGTCACGTGGCCCAGGGCCCGCCTGCCTGCAAAGAATAAAAGACCGAAGAGTGAAAAAGCGCGCGCTGGTCTGTCCCAGCGTAACGGACCCTCACTGCCCCTTGCCGTTACTCAGAAAGCTTGCTGGCGAAGGGCATTGATGGCCAGCCGAATATTAGGTGCTGAGCCAGTCAGCCTGAGCGTAATTTCTTAGGGTTAGCTCGTCTGTGTCTCGCTTCCAATCTGCAGACTCCCTCTAATCCCCAGGACAGGCACTTCCAGTTCTGCCCCTCCCCGTCCCCCCACCCCGCCGTTTCCAGTCAGAATAGGGAACTGTTAAATGCAGTTTGGTTTTGATGTGGGGCATTGCTGTATTTTTGAGCTGGGTTTGGCAGGAGTGTGGATCGGCCCCGAAATCGCCTGCGCTTTCTGTGCCCACCTCTGTTTCTTCTTGCGAGACTTGCCCCTGGAGGAGGTCCCAGGTAGCTCACTCTTTCCAGCTGTGCTTTCCAGCAGCGGAGCACACATTTACACACGCGAGCCTATTGCCTGCGCTCGCTTCCTCGCAAGAAGCAACTTAGCAGCTGCAGCAGCGTCCGCGGCCCTCGGTTCCAACGAGTGGGCATTCACCTCTCCGCCTTCTGGACCCTCTGGGCTGGTGTCGTCTCGGGGAGAGTTACGCTGTTTGAAAACTCTGTAGGTGTCTCCCATCCCCTCCACCCAAATGCGGGGAACTGCCCCCTCACCACCCACAAGTGGAAAGGGTGGGATTCCTGCTGCAGCAAGGGAAGTCCCATTTTGACAAAATAACCCGGACGTCGGTCTTGCTCTGCTTTGTAAAATGCATCATGGTATGATCCGGAGAGCAAGATGCTGCTTCTGGCCCTGGCTGTGCTGCTGATTTCTGGTGGAGCCCCACTGTGAAGGGCTGCTGGGACCATTTCACTTCCCCATGTGGGGCTGGGCGGGCAAGGACTCAGGCCGCCCTGTGAAACGGGAAGGCTGTGTCCCTTTGCCAAGTCCCACTCCTCAGATGCAGGCGCCTCTTGTACTGACCGGTCAGTCCTTAAGCGAGCGGCGTGCAGCAAGAGGAACTTGCATTCCCACACTCCACACGCTTCCTCTGCACAGAAGTGACTCCGTAGAAAACGTTGGCTTGCTTCTGCTTTTCTGCCCGCCTGCCTCGTTCCCGTCCCTTCCGCGGTCTCCTGCTGTTCATCCATCTTTTTTTCTTACCACAGACAACCTGTCCAGGTGAAAGAGACGGAAGAACTGTACTGTGCCTGCTAAAGACAGGGCAGGTCCATGAGGAATCCGTGCCGTCAGCGGAAGATGCATGCAGCTGAGCCCCAGGGTTTGTTAACATCAGGATATGAGGCCAAGATTTTGAATCCATTTCCTATCATCGGTTTTTCCAGGGAAAATCCCCCTCCAAGTTCCGGAAGCTTGTTTACCTTCTCAATGCTGCTTTCCATTAAAACACAATTCCAAACCATTGGAATTCCATCGCACACTCTTTTGCATAAACTTTACCTTGTTCCCAGACAGAGATGGCATCTCATCCAGGCACGAAACTGGATCTTCCGCCTGCCCAAGGGCAAAGATCTTTCTCAAATTTTATTGTCCAGGAGTTTGCAGATGGGCTGTGCTCCTAATTTCTCATCTCCTCCCCGCCGCACAAGGACCTAATGCCAGGATTTGTGCCTACGCTTTTGGTGTAGAAGGACTTAGTCCATGGCATACGGAAGCAGCATCTTCTGGAGATATGCTTAGAAATGAGCGGCGAGATGCCGTAGGCGCTTTCCATGCGCAGCATTCCACGTGTCTCTCTGCAGGGACCCACAAACTCCCTCGCCCTGCCTTGAAGGGATTCAGGTCTGCACACACGACTTCTGAGCCTCCACATTGGGAGCGAACCTGGAGCTCTCCGGAAGGGGCTGGTGGACAGAGCATCCGTTCCTCCTGGGAGATGGCGGCTGACATTCCAGCCCTCGTTTCCAGCTGAGGGGGCTGCGAACACGTTCTCCGCACTGCCCGAGGAAAGCATGGAAGGAGAGCAAGCGAGGGCCAGACCCGCCTACAAGGTGGACACGCCCCTCCACCTTGGGCGTCTGGACCTCTCCCTGCCTCTGGCTTCCCTCAGCTTTTCCACATCCCCGGGTCTGTCTCCAAACTCTCTCCTCAAGTGGCCCTCCTACCTGTCAGGAGAGAGAGGTCATTCTGGGCTGGAAAACGGCTTTATGGGTGCCTTGCGTGATGGGGAGCTCTTCCCATGGTGCTTTGCTCCTGTGCGCTTCTGCTTGAGTGCTGCTGGCCGCCTCAGGAAGGTGGTGGGGTCCCACCACCTGGCCACCACCTGGCCTTTCCTTGAGACCTGCTCCTGCCTCAGGCTCCTGCCGTCCGTGCTCTCTCCCCTCTGCCCCATTTCTTCACTTTTCTCACTCAGCGCATGGATTGCGACTCCGCCGCGGTCACAGAGCCCCACAAAAGGCCTCTCGATCTCCTCCCTTCCCAGGTCTTGGTGGCCATCTTGGACGCCTCTCTCCCTGCCTGTGCTGGAGTGTGCCACCACTCCCCCCCCATGACCTGGCCCTCACAACCCCCTTTCCATTCCCCCCGACACACGGTGCCTCAGCACTCCAGTCCAGCTTCTCCCGTGGCCCCATTACTGCCCTCACGTTGAACTCGTGGGTGGCTGCTTTGCTGCCCGGCCCCTCCCGCTTCCCTCGTTCCACACTCCGGCTTCCTCTGCCTTCGCTCAGCTGGCCCCCTTCTTGCCCGTTTAACGCCCTGTTTGCTGCTCTCTTCTGCGCTCTCCGTTCTCATACATTTTCACCACATCCACCGATGACCTCAATAGCTGTGCCCCGTCTCTGATGCCAACCTCGCCCCCATTTTTCAGGAGCCTGGCAGCAAGCTCGATGGCTTCTCTCCTTAAAACTTCTTAAAGCCTTGCCCCCCCTCGACCCACCGAGGGGAGACTCTGGCTCGGATCATGGATTGCCCTCCCAGGATCTCTTCCTTGGTTTCCTCTCCGCTCCGTGCCCCTTGCCTCCAGACCCTCCGCAGCGCTGCCTCCCCCGATCTCCCTTCCCTTATATCCCAGTGGGACTGTTCACACAACAGCTCAACACACTATTCAACCACAGTGCAGCCTCAGTAGAAGCCCGGTGCAAATGGCCGCCATCCTGAATGCACCAACACCACGGCCTATTTTAGAGTTGTTCCTCCCATGAGCATTATTCTGAAAAGATTCGTGCCATACGAGCGACACCACCAGGCAGGCGCTGATGCTGTGGGAGAAGCATCTCCTGCTTGCCACCTGGGGCCTCGGAGGTGCGCCAATTCCACCCGCAGCCCAGCCCCCCTCCCCCCCCAGGGGCCAAATCCAGAGGACGAGAAGCAACCGTCTGAGGTGGTGTGTTCCACCTGGTGCCTTCCATGGGGTGCTCAGGGCCTCCAAGTCTGGCGCTTGCAGGCATCTGCTGCAGGGACTCTCGGACCGCACTGCTCTCCATCATGGGCTCCCTGCGTCTCACACGTGGGCTTTGCTGTGGCCACAGCCGTCCGCTTGTCCCTCCCTGGCCATCAGAGGTAAACCTCGCTGACTCCGGCTGGGCCCGCTCCCGGTCACCCCTGGGAACGGCCACCTTTGCCAGGTCGGCATTTCTGGCCCAGCCGTGCCATGAAAATAATGCCCGTCTCCGCTTGGGAAGGTGCTCAGCCGCCAGCGCGCCAAGCTGGATGCCCTCCTCTTCCAGCGAGCTGCCTTCAGAGCCTGCATTTCAGGGGTTCATCCTGCCAGCGCCCTGAGCAAGATGCTTTGCTTGTCGTGAACGGTCGGCGCTGTGGGGCGCTGAGCCCTCTTGGACGTCCCTTCTTACGAAGGACTCCTTAGCGCAGTCGGTGCCTGACAAGGGTTCGGAGGATCACTCTCCAAAGTGGCTGCTTTCCAGGCAGGAGAGTGAAAGGGGGGCTTTTCCCCTCGGACCCCTCCCTTCCCAGGAGCCTAACCTGTTCTCACACGGACATTCGTCATCCTATTTTATTTAAACTACAACATTAATGGCCAATGTTGATAAAAATGGGAGGGGAGAGGGTCCTTTTAATCCGTGCCCTGATATCGGCTGTGGTCTGTGCAGCCCCCTGCATCGCATTGCTACCCTCCCCTTTTCTGCTGTGCCCTTTGGGCCCCCAAGATCCTTGCAGCTGCCTTGCACCCAGGCACGACCCAAAAACCAAACAGCCTGACCTGATCTCGGCCCTTGCTTCACGCTTTTGGAATTCCCCGCCCCGGGAGCTTGGCCAGAACTCTGCCCTGAGCACACTGAGGGGGCTTGGGTGAGGTCCGGGGAGGCTGGGGGGCCTCGTGCTGTTCCTTTCGGTGGGATGGGGGCACACCCAGCTTCTCTGGAGCACATCCACTGCATGTGAATACTCCTTGGCAAGCTTCCGGCATGAGACGGGTGTGTTTGGATGGACGCTGCTTTGCTTCGCTAAGCCTTTTTCCCCACCCTGAGTCTTTGGAGCCTCAGTCATAACTGTGTGATGAGACGAATGAAATGCAGACCTCTAAAAAGAACGTGTAACGGAATCTGAGATGAGAATGGCCAGGCATTCGCTCATTCTGCCTGTCCTGCGAAGTGTTCTCAAAGGTCTTGGGACTTCATGGAAGGAAGGAGCGGGGCGGAGAGGGGATATTTGCAAATTGCTGATCAGGCGTTGCAGCTTCGCTTTTGCTCTTTCGCTTTTTGGTCTTGCCACCAGTGTTACTGAGAAAAGACCCTTCTAGGAGACCCCTTCCTTATACCCAGGTGGCTTCCAGAGGAGGGCCTCTGTCGATTTCCTTAAGGTCTGGCTGGGCAGGTGTGTAGGGGAGGCAATCTCTGGGAAACCCTAAGACCAGTGTTCCCTTTAGCGTTTCTCTCACTGAACTTTTCCGGCTTTTCCCTGTCTAAGGAAAGGAAAGGAAAGGAAAGGAAAGGAAAGGAGAAAGGAAAGGAAAGGAAAGGAAAGGAAAGGAAAGGAAAGGAAAGGAAAGGAAAGGAAAGGAAAGGTGCATCTCTTCTGTAGCACCGACTTCTGCACCAACTCAGAGCTTCCAGGATCAGGCCATGACAGTCTGAGCTGCCATCCCAGAAACCTGTGCTTGGACTTCGGTCTTCTTCAGGTCGCGTGGATTGCCAGCCTGCAGCGCATCAGTGCGGTTACGCTTTCCGTGCCTTTCCTTCATCCAGAGCATTGAGGGTTCAGTGCTTTGTCCGAGGAAGAACATCTGCTCCACCCGGGGAGCCGAGGAGCTTCCCTCCGGCTGCGGAGCGTCGGTTATGTTGAGTGAGTGAGGAGACAGGGCAGATTCTCCAGGAATGGGCGCCCCTGGGGAAGGGCCTCGAAAAGCGCCATTTGCTGCCGGAAAAGAATACACGGTGCAAGCGGTACGGAAGCACCTGGAACCACGGCCACCTTGGTTTTGCCTTCCCGGCCCTCCGCCATCTTAAGGAGAAAGGCTGGTGGGGAGATGAGGATCGCCTCTTGGCCTCTCGCCATCGCCTCCACCTCCTGCCACTCAGGGGGGTCACTTGAGGGGGCCCTGAGCTTCACCGTGAGGGCCCCCCTGAGCCATATCACTGAGGGGAAACTTGGACCCCCGGACACATCTCCATGAAGCCTGCCCAGCGTAGCCAAGGGCGCGAGCTGAAGGACGCCACGGCGGGCCCACTCCTGCCTCTCAGCCCATGGCGAACAAGCCCCCCCCTGCCCCCCCACAGCCGCAATTCCGTCCAGGAGCGCTGCTTTTCCCGGACATGCTCCTGGACCCTTGCAGGAGAGTCTGGCTGCCGTTCCTCTGGCTGGGCTTCCTCCGAGCTGCTCGCCTGGGTGAATGGGTGTGATGCAGATGGATGCCAAGCCTGGCTGCAGGCCGCCCTCAGCCTGGCGTGTCGCCCCGGTGCTTGGCAAGCCCAGCCGGGAGGCCCTCTTCTGCGCCAGCCGCAGTCGCTCAGGGCGAGGGGCCAGTTGGAGCCGCCTGTCCTCGTCCAAGAGGCATTCGGCGCCTCTCACGCCCGTGTCTGCCGAGGAGCAAGGCCTGGGCCCGGAGTTGCGAGTCCGTGGCTGGGCTTGCGTTGGCTGGGGGCTCCCCCCAACGCACCTCCATCTCCTCTGCTGTGTGGCTCGGGCCCCCCAGGCCCTCCGCCTGCACGAGGCCCCGGAGCTCCTGCGCGCTGCCTCTTCCCCCGAGCTGGGGAAGGACGGCTGCCGTCCGAGGGACGGGTGAGTCGGGCTGCCCCCTTCCCTCTGTGGCCCAAGGCCTGGTCTTGCTCTGATGTGATTTATCTGGCACAGGGAATCCCACCTCTTGGGCATGGCTGGGAAGCATTGGTCGGCCCCCTGGCCGGCCAGCATATTCTTGCGGAAAGTTGCGGCCGATTCCTGGCCACGGGTTCCATGCGAACTGCAGCTTCAAAGACCAGAGCCGCGTCCACCTTCCATCAGTGGGTCATTTAAGCCTGCTCTCTCGCACACTCGATTCATCCCCGATTGTCCTTCCACGTGCGCACTGGTGTCGGCTGATGCATCTGGCGTGCCGTTCGCCAAACACAAGGCAGGCGGTGCCACGGGGACGGGCCCATGGGCGGGTCGCCGTGCCCTCTCCGTCGCAGCCAGTGGGATGCTTACTGCAGCAGTGGTGTCGCTCTGGGGGCTGATTCGGGTTGCACTGGCCCCCGCTCTCTCCAAAGCAAGACTTGGCAACTCGGGGGGGCCTACAAGGCCTTTTGGCTGCCTGAGCCACGGCTCACGGGGGTGCAAAAAAATACCACATTCTTCAAAATGGCCTGCAACCCCTGGACCCCAAAAAACCGCCGTGCATTCCCACACGTGGCCAGCGGGCCGTGTGGTCCACACACTCCATGCTCAAGAACATGCTTACACCTCTGCACACTTCATTAAAGGCTTCCCACCTCTGCGCGCAGCCCTCCCGCTCTGGAAACCGTTTCGGAGGCAGGCCACGGAAGTGTAACTTGCTTTGAAGTATCTGATGCTTCTAGGAGCACGAAAACCCCCTTTCTTAGTGTGGATTTTTTCTCGGATCCCAAACCCCACTTGACTCGTTCGAAGGCATTTGTTCCGTCACACTCACAAGCTCCGATCTTTTGTGTCTGCTTTGCCTCGCATTTTTACGTGAAAATGCCCGCTTTCCGATTTCTATTTTAGATAACTCTACCCGAGTCTCTTTGTAAACAAAAGGGGTCATAACGGTCAAAACGAATCGGAGGGTGGTTGGGGTGCAGGAGCCTGTATATTTTTGTATATATATGCAAAGATGAAATGGCAATTTTGTAGTGACGTGGTCTGGTTTTGAAAAACAGCAGCAAATATGTTTGAAGAGGCTTTATGTTAACACTTAACTGTGGTTCAATTGCACAATCCGTAGTTCAGTCTCTAGAACCGAGACGCGGAATTAGTATCCGCTACAGATTTGACAAGGAAGTATTTATAAGCTGCAACATGCAGCTTTTTCTCTTTCAAAATATGTAGCCGGACAACTACTGTACCCAAAGGAATGCGTTTGTTCCGAGAAAACTGTACCACAAAATTTCCTTCATTAAAAATCATTTGACACTCTCCAGATGCAGTCGTTTTTATCTTTGGGGGAAACGGTATCACTGTGAAGGCATCTTGCATCTTCGCTCTTCCTTTCAAAGATCAAGCAGCAAACTATAATGGGAGGATTGTCTGGGAGAGGGTAGGCAAGTCCCCCATTGGGTGATTTACTCCACGCGCGTCTCCCTCAGGATTGCAGAGGCCTCACCTGCGCATTTCTGTTAGTGACGCCTGTTGAAATACCTCATAAGGCAGTTCGAGACAGTGCCCTCCCGCTTTCCTCATAAATGTCGCAGGTGGCGGAGGAAAGCCATGGCAGCGAGGGCGGGAGTCTCGCGCCAGGACCGAAATCCTGGATCATGCTGCTCAGTTCGGAAGCTGGTGTGCGGAGATCAAGTCTTCTTGTTCCACCTGAGCATTGCCTGCTTTCTGAGGAGGGGTCTGGAGAGTGGGCCCAGGGAAGGCAAGCTTTCGGGGATTCCCTGTGGGCCCCCTGACGGACAACAGCCTGGTCCAACAGAGACTTCGTGGATACGCTCACAGCTCACAGCTCACACTGGTCCCTCAGCCATGGGGACATGGGAAGGAGAATGCCCACAGCTCAGGGTCAAGATCCGCATGGCCGCCTTTTCCCAGCCTGTTGACACTGTCCATGACAGAGGCTCCCTCAAGCGCTGTGGGAATGAGGACTCTGCCCTGAGGTCACCAGCGAGCTCAACAAAATGAAGGACGGAAAAGGGACCCCAGAAAGGGGGAAGAGACTGGAGGTGGTGGTGGGCGAGGGAACCAAGAGGAGGTGTAACTCTGCGGTGTGCAAGGAAGGAAAGTATTTAGCTGAGGGTGCAGAGAGAAGAGCATGAAGTGGAGAGAACAGAGGAGGATTAAGAGCCAGTGCTCAGAGACCTCTTCAGTGGTTCACGAAAAAAGGCGTTACAAAGAGAATTCCAAGAAACAAGCATGCTTGGCTTTGTGTGGTGAAAAGATGCAGCTCTCCTGGATCAATCATCTTTTCTTTAATTACTTGCACTACTTACCTATTTTTCTGAGAGAAGCCCAAGGTAGGAAGCGGAGTCAATGATACTTGGGCACCCACAACTACCAAAATGTCTCGACCGTTTGGCTAGTTGCCCCGATTCACGAAGCTGCCAGATGGCCGCCGACGAGTCCAGGTGGCGCGCTCTCGTCGGCTGGTCGCAGTGCCAGCATGTCCAAGGGAGCCCAAGCCGAGGGCGGTGCAGGTCCCCGGGGCACAGCGGCTGCGGGACGGCCTGCGTCGCAAGGAATGGCCGCAGCTGGCGAGCCTCGCTCTGCAGGGGGAACCCAGGGCAGAACCCCAAGCAGGTGGAGCGCCTCTCAGCAGTTCCTCCACCTTGTCCGGGTTAAATCTGAGCTGGCGCTCTGAGCTACTACAAAATGACTCTCTCAGGGATTAGAGCTTCGCATGCCGACTCTTTTATTTATTGACACCGATTGGGTCTCAGGTTGAGTTTTGGATCGGCCGCCCCGTCCTGCCTTCAGGATCTGGTCCCGGGGGTGTTGTAACAGTGGAATTTGTCTTATGCCTTGTCCAAACAAGACTGTGCTTGCATCTATTTCATAACGGTGCCTCTCTCTTCACTGCATCGGGCTCGTGGAGTGCCAAATTCATTTAGAATATATGGAGGAAAACTCATTAAAACTGACCCATCTTCTGACTGGAGCCCACTCATGTCCGGCGTGTTGCACGCAACATGGGAGCGGCACTTGGAAGAATGGCATTTCTGTGTCGACTGACACGCCACCATCACATCATGGATCTCCCAGAATTGGCACGTGCATGTGTGGAGGATGGCAAGCACTGCTATGGCAGGACAGGGACCGGCAGACGTGCCTCGTCAGCTAAGGGGCGGGGGGGGGGGGTTGCTCTCGCCACCAGCCACCAATATGCTAGCCTTGTAGGCTGAATCTGCACTTAGTCACCTCTTCCCACTGCACTCCTCAGCCCCAAATGTACGTCCATGGTCTGTCCCTGCCAGCTCTAAATAAACAATAGATTACAAAATAAAGACAAAAGCAGGCTTCTACGGGGCAAGGAAAACACCACGAAGAATACACATATTCCTGTTCTTCCCTTTCTAGAGAAATGCTATGCAAAGGTCAAACCAAACTCTCATGGAAGGAAGTTGGGAGGAGGAAGAGGGAGAAAGAATGAACTTGTTCTTGGATCTTTTATAAGATTAAAACTGGCAACGTGAGCCAGATACATAAAAGACTTCCTGGCACTTCAAGAAGACACTAAAAAGCTGTGTGTGGCAGGTCAGAACAGAAAACACGAGGACACACTGCCCTTTCACAGGATATCTTTATTAATAATGTGAATTAATGTTACACCAATTAGGTGCCTGTCATAGTACTTTCTGGAACAGAAAGGTAAACATTTAAATCAATGCTAACATTTAAATCAATGCTAACATGAGCCTTTTTTCCCATTTGGGCTTTAAAAACAAAAACCGCAGAGATCAGAAGTTGCAAATTGCGTTGTTGGCAAGGTCCACCAAGTCCAGCAGCAGCTTGGATGGAAAGATACCAAAGAAATAAAATGCAAAATACAATACAGGAAACATTACATGAATGTACCATGAGCTTACAAAACAAAACAGGTGGGAGGTTGTGTCTGTGTTCTTTTTCACTGAAATGTGAAACGTGATCTCGTCTGTGAAAATAAGATAATTAGCCAAGGAGCGTATCTGAGGCCGGACAGCCAAGATTCATTAGTAGGTCTACTAATAGTGAAAGACCGATACAAAACTACTAAAACACTGATTTTTTTTAACCCTCTTGGTGCTCCAAGTAATACGTTGTCACTTGAAAAGGCTATCGGTTTCCCAGGTACATGATACCAAATGCAACATCCGTAAAAAGAACCCCAACATTCCTGACTTGTAGTTTAATGTAGAAACTTGCACCTGTAAAAATTTCCTTCACAAAGGTATAAATGCAATGTCTATAAAACACTTTTTTAAGAAATGGGGAACTGTGTTATCAAAACAACCTGATAAATTGCTTCATAAAAGTCCTCTTATTAGCTAACCAAAGGCATGTTCAAGGCCTGTGAAATGGAAGAGGAAGGGGGACCAAGATGCAGCTTTTCCCACCCCGCTGCTTTGCCCCTTGGCATCTGCCATGGTGCCTGTGAAGGTGATGGGGCTGACTCCTCCAGAAACGGGGAAGGAGCACCCGGCTTCCTTCTCATGGCCGACAAATCAGGAAGGGAGGCAAAGCTTGGTTTTGAAGGGCTGGCAGTCCCCAGAGCAAAACCGAAACCTACTGCAAACCCCAAGCCCCGAAGGGGAGGCAAAGACGGCACGTCCTCCAGTGCGAGCCCGAGATGCATTGCTGCTGCAGTGAGCGCAGATGCCCCTCCTCATCACCTGGACCCAGATTTCTGCCTGGGCCTCATGGAGCAGGTTGCGTGCGGGGCTGGCTCCGTCTTTCCCTCAACCCGCGCCCAAGGCAGAAATGGTCCAGGTGGCAGACGAGGAAGAGGGCCTCCCATTCCCCTTTCCCAAGCCTGCCACCCGAGTGCTCGTTTGGGCAAGGCTTGGGGGAAGGGTCTGGAACCAGGTTCCCTCCATAGCATCCTTGGAGCTGGCCTCAGGCGGAGGAGGGTGGCTTTGCTCCTCTCCACAGCTGTGGCCTTGGCACCCCTGTGCTCTGGAATGCCTTCCCCTCCTCAGGGACGGATGCAGCCAAGCTGCACGGGGACAAGCGGGGGCCGCGGAAGGACGGTGGCACGAGGGCTCGGCACGTCTTCGGCAGTCTCCGTTCACCGGGCACTCGGCCTTCCCCCGTCTGCCCAGCCCCAGCCTGTGCTCCATTTCTTGGGTGTGCAAAAGGACACAGAACGGCGTTTTCCAAAATCCCTTCAGATGATTGTGCAAGCAGCCCATGGTTGTGCAAACCCTTCCCTCAGGCTTAGGTCAAGGAGGTCGCTCACAAGGAGACATGTAAACAAGCTTTCTGGGCGAGGCGGCGCGGTGCCAAAATGCGACAGGCTGAGCACAGATGCAAGCTTTCGCCGCCTTTAATGTGGCCTGTGTGAGCGCTCCTTTCGGGAAGTGTTTGCACGCTCATGCATGCGCACTACCGGCATTATTTGGGTGCTGGCAACATGGATGCAGCTGTCCGGCACGTCTGGGAAAGGCTGGGCTGCAGGAAGGATTCGCGTCACACGGACTCTCAGTTCTGACAGACCCAGGAACGAGCCGTATTCTCTCTGCTGCATCATCCTCTCACTGCTCTTCCCAACTAACACATGCAGTTTCTGTCATCTCAGCATCTTAAAAAAATGCGTGTGCCTATTTATGCAGCCCCCCCTCCCATACGCACACTGCCAAACTCAGGTTTACCCATTTTCAAAGGAAACGCTTGGAGCTGTTCTTAAAAAAGGGGATAATGAGAGGGAGGGAGAAGTACTTTAGTCATTACCAAAAGCACCAGCTAATCAATTGCGGAGGCGACTTGAAGGATGCTGGAAGAGCTCTTCTCTAGCCAGCTGCTTCAGCACGTCGCTCGCTTGTATTTATTCACTGAAAACATTTTTTGCTACTCTTTGATCACCAAGAAGTGGTCCCAGAGCAGTGTACAGAGAATGATAAAAACAATAGGATTGCAAAGTTTAAAAAGAGAGAAAAGTTATAAAGCCAGAAAATAAAACAGCTACTGATTTCTGATTGTAAAGGTACTTCAATTTCAGACTTTAAGATTTTGCCTCAAAGTGCCTGGACAAATAGGAACTTTTTAATTTGATGCTGAAAAGAATGTGGGAGAATATTTTGGATTTCTCCTGAAGGGAGCATCTGCAGACACATGGCAAGCTTATTCCTCTAGCTATGTGCAATCTGTCTTGGACCTGTGTTTACTAGAATTTGCCAGCCTATGGAAAGGGATGAAGAGGTACCAACTCAACTTAAAATATGCCTTTTGCTCAAAATCATTTTCACAAGGAAAAATTAAAATTGCACATAACTGGTAAAGCCATTCTTATCTGTCTGTTCATGGATACATATTGTGTGATCCATTCAAAAGCATAACAGAAACAGCTTCCTCATTAAACATGAATCGACCAAAAGACTAGCATACTTCATAAATACGTACATCGATAAATTAAACATTTAATGAAATATACAAATAAATTAGTTTAAAATAATTTGCCCAAACCAAACAACTTGAGCATAAGCTTCCTTGCAGTGACAGTTTGTAAGATACTGATATTTCTGCACAGCTCAGAAATAACGACAACACCCCTGCGGATCTGCTGTGAAAACCAGGTGACAACGGAAACAAGATGAATATGGCTCTATCGCCACCCCAATTCATACGCCCCAGAGCATCTTGCCTGCCCACGCTTTTCTGAAATGCAGAATAATCGTTCTGGGTTACCAGTCTGCTGCTGGTTCACTTCGCTGCAGAGTTCCTGCCCTCCATCCCATCATATGACTCCGTCTGCAGGGGCCTCTCCATGGACAAATGCTTGTCTCCCCCCCCACCCACTTGGAGGATCTAGGACCGCCCCTCCGCCCCTCTAGACTCGAGTGGAAACAGCCCGTTGCAGTCCAGTGCAGGACATCCCAAGCGTAAGCAGCGAGGGCGAGCGAGCGAGCTCCAGGAGGGGCGGTGTGGGCAGATGCAAGAGCGACAAAAACTCTACATGCCCGGCTCAGCTCGGCGGCACCTTCGCCAGCGATCCTCTCTGGAGGACGTGAGGAAGCAAGACCCGAGGAGGAGCGATGCTCGTCCGGCCGCCGAGCGAGAGGAGCGAATGCGAAGCTCGCCGCTCAGCGTGGGCTTCCCCACATCGCACAACCCAAGACAGCCGGCCCGCACGGAGACGTCCTTCGCTAAAGGGGTGCTGAAGCATTTCCCAAAACTGGACACGCCGGCGCTTGTTGGCTGGTTCTGCAGAACCGCCGTGTTGAGCCCATCCTCTGCGGCCGGCCGACTGGGGGCAGAGCAAGCGGCCACCCTGCCAATGTCCAGCTGAAAAAGCTGAAAGGTGTCCAGCTGAAAAGGTGTCCAGCTGAAAAGGTGTCCAGCTGAAAAGAGGACAGCGACCAGCAGAGGCTGCAAGGCTTGTGAGGGCTGTAGGGCACTGGGGCCTTGGAGGGACTCGAGGCCCCCCTACCAAGCTGCTGCAGAGGGCCACCCTGCAAACTGCGAGCGCTCTCCCGCGCGGAGATCGCTGCGACCAGAGTGCCTCCGACCCGGCTGCCCCGAGCCCAGCTCCAGAGGCCGAAAGCGGCCGGGGGAAGCCGGGACACGCCCTGCCGAGCCGCAGGCGGAGGGAGACGCTCCCACAGCCTTGCCTCTTGAGCTGGGCTCACCCAAGGGTGGCGAGAGGCACGTGTGGTCCAGGAACCGCCGCTCCTGCCATGGGCCCCGGCTCTGCAAGGGAGAGGGCAGAGGATGCAAGAACCTGGCCCGTCCTGATGGACCACGCTGCAGCCCGGTCCCGCTTCTCGGCTCTTGCAAAAGAAGCGGACCTGGGAAGGAGCGATGGAATGGCAGGGAACCGTCCTCCAGCCAGACTCCTCCTGCCCGGCATCGACTCTCTGCCCGTCGGGCAGGATCAGCCCAGGTGCGAGGATGAGCGCCGCCTCTCTGGTGCAGCCATCCAGCCAGCGTCACGGCAACCAAGAGCATCCAATGCTACTTGCCTGCTTCTTCGGGCGCTGCAAAGGGCCGGTGCAGAAACTCTGCAGAGCCTGTTTCAAGCATTCAAGCGCTTCACATACATCATCTCAGTCATCCTCTCAGCGACCCTGCAAGGTAAGCCAGGATTAAGATTATCCCCATACTGCAGTGTGGACGCCGAGGATAAGAGACCGTGGCGTGCCTTCGGCCACCAAAGAGTTCCCAAGCGAGTTTCAACGAGGGACTTCTTTGGCTCACGTTCGCCGCCACTGTGATACAGCAGAAAGAGAAACTTTATAAAAAGTTAGAAAAATAAACATTACAGTGTTCCCTTAAAAATAAAACGAATTAAAAAAATAAACAGGGACACAAATATAATCTTTTAACAGAAATCATGGAAGGCAACAGGCGGAACATCAGCTTCCAGGTGCTCCAGGCATTCATCGTGGATGAAGCAACATTGCCTTCCGGCTGTGAGAGAGACGGCGGGACGTGCAAAACCGGAAGGTGAGACTTCTTGCTTCGATCAGCGTTGCACTCTTCCACTGGAATGTTTCTGAAGGGTGCTTGATTTGATCTTTTTGGCCGTTCCGGATTTTTTTTCCCTCAAGAACTTTGTTATACCGGAGAGTAATCTGAAGGAGACTTATCGTCTGTTTATTGTTCCGTTGCATGTTTCTCTTGTTGCTTTGAAACACGGCGTACCATTTGGGAAAAAAATAAATAAAAGCAACATCTTAAAAAGAAGGGTTTTAAAAAACAACGGCAGCTCCTGCCAGAGACGAGTGGAAGGGATCTTCGCGTAAGCAGCACGGCAAACTCCCGGTTGCGTCGGTTCCTCTCCAGTTCTGCTCCCCGTGGGAAAACGGTGGGGCTTTGACTGAGCCACAGGCACTGCCTCTCGCTCTTCTAGCGGAGGCGTCAAGGGCCGCATGAACGCCAGTCTTGCCAATCCCTACATTTATCCGGCGAGCTCTGCAGGGACCCAGCCTTTGATTTCAGCCCCCAAGATTAAATTTACCTACAACTATTTGGGAACTGAAATATGCCGGTCTCCACTTCCATCTAACACAAGCTCTAGCACTCACTTTTGCCGATCCAGCTACGCGATCATTGAAACGGTTCTGATTATATTTCTAGTATCCCAGATTAAATGCTGCTGTAATAAAAACGACACATTCGAAATGGCCCCTCTCTTGGCTGCATTAAACTTACTGACTATTAACCTTCGTATCACTGTGCAGATGAATGTCTGTCTGTCTTGAGCCACAATCAACGGAGCCTTCAAACGCAGGGCCAACGGTGCTTTGCCGCTCCTATGTCCCATTTTTCATCTCCCATTCCTGGAACAAAATGCAAAAAACCAACATTATATTGAAGGCTAACCGGATTGTATATCTCCGTGTAACAGCCTTTCCGTGGATCACCTTACTTAATCCAACGGAAACGGGGCTAAATCGGAATTCAGGCGAGATAAAAGCTATGCAGGCACACAGTTAGAATCCGAGCTTAATACACAGGAGAAGCAACCTCTTCATTCCTTTGCTTGGACTTGTCTGATGAGAAAGAAACCAGGCTGTCCAGGAAGAAACCCTAAACCCCGAGAGAGAATTTATGGCCTTGAAAATCTACATGCGCTAGAACTTGCAAATGGGGTTTGCCTCAACAATTCACTCTCTGGGAGAGGAGAGGGCAGGAATCCATGCGCCGAGGTGGACATGCAAAGCTCTCGTGACAATGCAAGGCTGGAGCAAAGCTTTGTTCAACTGCACCTGTGGACACATCGCAGGGCTTTATTCTGTGCTTACTGGGACGAGGAAAGATGCCCGAAGGCCGGCTTTGAAATTGCTGCTCTTCTGACCTCAAGAGCAGCATTGATTTAGCTTATTATTCGATTTTACTAAGCAGGTAGTTGAAAAGCACGGTTGGAGAACTTTGCAACTGCTTCACAATGAGCACAGAATTAAACACGGAGCAGCTCATATTCCAGCAATTCGAGAGGCGAGCTTCACTCTCTGCAAAATGCTTGTGCAAAATTCTGTAGCAGGAGCGACGGCTGCTTCTCACGTAGGCACAGGAAGAGCTATTTTCCAATTCTGTTTTGGAAGCTAATTAGCTTTTCAGGCAGGATATACCAAATCACTGCGATACAAAAGAAAAACACCACAATGCTCTTTCATACACCCAGAAAATGGTGTCTACTTTGAGATGAAAACAAAGCAGAATATGTGGTTAGTTATTCAGAACAAAACAAAGATCTAAGGATCAACATTTCTTAGACTTGTATACTCTCGAGAAAGTTGGTGTTTACACTAATTTAGGGTTGCAATAATTTTTCAGTTTCATAATCAAGGAACATTTATATAGAAGAAACTACAAAAACACTGTGGGGTTTCAGTGATTCCTGCCTTCAGCATAAGCCAAAAGAGGAACCGGTTGGATTTTGCTCCCTCAAATGCAACTCGTCTCAAAGCGAGGCGAGCGAGTCTGGTGGACGAGACAAACAAGCCAAGCCAGGTAATAAAAGCAGGAAAACGCCAACGCTGCTACGAGTCTCACCTTGGCCTTCTGGAGCACATGGCCCCTGCATGGGGAACTGTTGACGGAGGAGTGTCTTTTCAGCACAACGGCGCTGTTGATGGGCACAGAGCATTCTGCATCGCTCGTGTCGCAGCTGGAAATGGGAGAGCTCTCCAGCATCGGATGCTTCAGCACTGGAGACTGAGGAAGAACACAAGAGCAGCTGAAATTGAGTCGCTGAGGCCCCAGCGGTGCGGGTGTCCAAGGGTAGGCTGGTGGGCGTGTCGTGAGCGGAGCCGGCTGGTGCCAGAGGTCAGACTAGATGGCCCGGGAGGTCCCTTCTGACTCGCTCTGTTTCTATGTTTCTATGAAATGCAAAGGTCCTTCCTCCTGCGCAACCCATAGAGAGTAGGAGACACCAAAGCTCACTGAAATGCGGGCCCACGACAACTGGAGGTCGAGCGTTAGGTGGCCTCCTGTCGCTTGCACTTTCCAGAGAGAGGGTTGGTGAATTAAATTGGGCAGAATCCATTCTAGGTCCAGCAGCAACTAGTCAAATTGTGTTCGTACAGTTGCATCTTTGCCAAAGAATAACATTATTCAGAGATGCAATGAATCCAACATGACTGCTCCGTTCCGGGCAATGCTGCCAGAAGGCGGCTGGTGGGACCCCTGCCCCAAGCCCTTTCCCTTTTACCATCCGAGTTACAGCTCTCTTTTACATAAGCAGCACGCAGACCTAATGCTAAGCCCCAGTTCAGCGTGTGGGAACAAGTCTGGGCACAGACCCAGTTCACACGTTCCCCATCCTGATCTGACACAATCACAACTAACTAAGGCACGTTCAGCTAATCACAGCTTCTCGTTTACTAATTGGCATCAACTAGGGCTTGGAGCAGTCATGGCGAACCAGCACCCTCCAAACATTCTAGCCCACAAATCCCATCATCCCTCACCATGAGCTATGCTGGCTGGGGCTGATGGGAGTCCTTAAGGTTTATGAAGCCTTAGGGTTTAGTGTTAGGGACAAATCAGGTTTTAGTGGTAAAGAGGGAAGAAACCCCTTGCTTGTAATACACTACAAGAGCTGTTACTTGCTCTCCCAATGACAATATTCAACATCTGATCAGCCAAAATCGGTACAGCAGGCAGGAGACACCCTCCTTAATGAAAATGCTCAACCAATCAGTGTGTACAAATGAAAATCAGGACTTGGGGGCATCAAGAACAGTTTGGGCTCTCCTTATATATCCCGACTTAAATGATGCAGGAAAATAGACCTATTAGAGGACATTCCGCTTCCTTATACAGCAGGCTAAATAATCAATGAGACTCGTCATTCCAAGTGAGTCAAGTGCATTTATTACCTGGATAAAGCAGTGACATCCACCGAGGAGCTAAGTGGGAGCAATCCTGACAACAGTGAGCTGGCTTTCACCACCGGGGCAGCGTGCTGTGGTCAAGCTGGCTGTCCGGATCAGGCACAGGGCCCGGAGCAGCGCTGGGGGGACCTACCTGAGCCGCACAGGTTCCCGGCCTGGGCTCGATGGCCAGTCCCAGGGCGATGCCGCCAGCCAGCGCTGTCTTCAGGTTCCCTTGCACCTCCGTCAGCTCCAGCTCCAGAGCGACACGCTCCGACTCCTTCAGTTTGCATTCGTCTTCCAGCTTCTTTAATTTGTCCTCCAGAACAAGAAGGGGCTTCCTGCCTGAAACCCAGAAGGCTGGGTGAGTGATACTGAATCCAAGGGGAGCCAGCAAGCTTGCTCACTAACCCCAGGCTGCGCCCTGCAGAATATAAACCTAACAAATAAATCACCGCGAGGGCAAGGAGACCCCACTGCTATGCATGTCACCTCTGAAGCGGGTGTCACGGAGGTCAGTGGAATTTCTTCCCAAGCCTTTTCTGGGGACTACGTTTGGGGTAGAAGCCAGAAGGAAAGTGAACCTGAAAGTGGAGATTAAGAAGCGCATACTGGGAAGAAAACAGCCGAAAGGAAGATCACGGGAGAGGTACTGGAATGCTTCACACGAGAGAGAGGACGACCCCTGCAGACAAGGGCTCATTCTATTTATTTGCTTTAGTAATTAATTAATTAAAAGCTCTTCTAACCCGTCCACTACAAGCATCTCAGGACAGTGCACATATTTTCCAGCCATGTGTCACTTCTGGCTACAAGCACATAGTAAACCCTGTGGGAAATTTCCCAGGGATTCTAATCCTGCCCTGGCCTAATCGCTTAGGGATTTTATTCTATTTAGGGGCATCACGGGCAAGTCAATAGCACAATTCGATGCCCGACATACCCGAATTCGCTTCCAGGACTGCTCGAAGGTCCTTCCTTTCCTTTCGGAGCTGAGCCAAGCGATTCCTCAAGGTTTCCTTTTTCCGTAACAGCTCCTCCTCTTTGGTCTGCAACCTCTTTGCATCTGCTTCGACACGGTTTTTGCCATATTTGTACTGGTCCGCATCTGCACAAAAAGGTGAATGATTAAATATTTGAGGCCAAGAACGCCACTCATTTGCAAATCAGCGTGAATGATCAGGCTACAACCCAGGATAGTGGCGACCATTTCCTAAGGCACACAAATCCTTGCTCACTGCTCATCCATCCCAGTACGGGGTCTGCCACAGTCGCTGTTGCGCCAACTTTGGTCCAGGGGTGTAGAGAAATGTGTCCCTGAGTGACCGACCCCACTGGATGGCCTGTGAGGTGTGGTTTGTCAACACACCAAGAACCTGATTGGGGTGCTTCGATACCTGAACCAAAGTAGCCTTAGTAAGCACACTGTCCATCTTTTTTCTGTGTCAGCAAAAGTTTCAATTTCTCCCCGCAATTTCTTAAGCAATTCTTCTGAAACTTGGACTGGGGGAGCCAGAGGGATCATCATTTTCAGGGTGGAGATTCAAGCATGGAGGCCCTGTGTGATTTCCTGTATCAAAGACACACCGTTTCCTTTTCTGTTGTTTTCAGTCTTCAGGAACGATGCCCACAAGGTCTCTGAAGCAACTTGGATGCAGCCCAGGCCTTTTCTGTAGCTCTTCCTACCCCTCCAAAGGCAGATGGGTTCAGATTACAAGTAATTTATATACAACGGGGAAGTGGAATCCACTCGTAATTAAGGTATGACTTTCTCGGGCTTGTTGGGAATTATTAAAATATCACCAGCAAATCAATCAATCAGCTCCGGTCTACCTGTAAGGGGATACCGTAGGCCTAATGACTGGCCTTAAGATGCTCACATTAAGCCGTAAAGAAGAAAGGGCATCCCTGCACTGTGCAGCAGAACGGAGCGGAGGCGGCGGCGTTACTCTCAGCGCTGCATGAGATTCCCAGTAGATTGTGCAAAAAAATCCTCCAAATGATCTCCTTTTGAGGATCGTTTAATGCAAGATCTGCTTCACAAGCATCCAGAGTGTCCAAAAGCACAAATGCCAGGCTTCTATCAGCACTGCCAAGGTGAATTACACCCGGTATGTCAAATCAAGACGGGTAAATACCTCTAAATACCTCTGCCTTTAAAATCAGGTGCACCTGCATCAGTCTAGCTGTGAGTGGCTGGATTCAGCCTGCTCACAAGCATAGAAAAGTGTTGCATTTTGATCTGAAAAGATGTGCTCTGCATGGTACCATTTTCTGGGGCCTGGTTTTTAAAACCAGGCCTGGGTCCCCAGAACTGGTGATGCTGAAGGTGTTGCTGCTAAACGCCAGGGGTCATTCCCGCACACGGATCACGTACATACGTAGCGGTGGTGCATCTTGGCTACAGCCCAATACAGCCTTCCCTGAGAGCACACACTTGCTCATGAGTAAGCGTGTACAGGAGTGCGCTGCTGGGATGGATGTCGTGGACTTAGCTGGCCTGTTTTCCCCAAACGTTCTGGATCAGCACAAGGAAGACTGAGCGACCTTTTCCCTACGGACTTGCGGTGTTGGAATGCGAAGACTGACAGCGCTGCACTCACAAACATCTCTGTGCTAAATCTCCTGGAATAACTCCTTCCTTCCTTCCTTCCTTCCTTCCTTCCTTCCTTCCTTCCTTCCTTCCAAGCTTTTCTATCCAGTCCCCTACGATAAATAGCTTAGGAGCTACAGCACAGGAATAAATTGGTTTGTGGGCCCAGTTTGAGGCTGCAAACTCTATCGGTCCGGTTGGGTCTCTTGGCTCTACCTGTTGAATTGCCTGCATGGGATGGGAATCAGATGTCTGTGTGGCCAAGGAATGCAGAAACTGTTCCAAGAAGGAAAGCTTGCTCATTTCAGGGGCACAAGCTGCTCCTCTGAGACTGGCTTCCAGAGGCACGGCCTTTCACGAATTTCATGCGTTTCAGCAAAAGAGCACTCACTAGATGTGCTGCGTTTCACACTGGAAGCAAATTCTGATTTCTTCTGTGGATTGTTTAGCATTCTGCCTTTTCCCATAACTCCATTGGCAGCAGAGGAGGCCTTCTTTCCTTTAAACTGTTAGGAAAATCAAATATTTATTCAGTGGTAATGGTTAAGTGGCAGTTTTCATACTTTCCCTAGATCAAAGGAACTAAAACTACACAAAGGAAAGGGGATCTTTCTCACAAGTTTAAAACTAGTTCAGTTGGAAAAGATGTTTTTTTCTCAAGCAGCAAAGATAATCGAAAAAAAACAAAATAACAAAAACAATCTGCAGTTATTCTCTAGGAGCAAACAAGAAAGAGAGCACTCGTTTAACTCAAAGGCTGTCAGTGAGCGTTAAAACTGCATGCAACATTTCAAAATGACTTGTTTTAGAACAATGTGTGATAAAATAATCAGAGGCAGATGGAAAATTGGACAAGCTGGGCTTCGTCTGATAAGGCAGGCAAAAACCTGCTAAAAATGTGCTATCAATAATATTGTCAGAGCTGTAAATATTTCAGTTGCAATTTCACACAAGAATGGCACGATTCTTGCAAAAATTTGCACAAATCTTGCAAAAACTGATAAAGTTTCTAATTTTGCTTGCCAACAGCAGAATTCACACAGTTATTTGGGGTTCTGTTGCCCAGCTTAACAAGTCATTTCATTTCAAAGCTGTTCATTTGTAGTTCAAATACGACAGTTTCAAATGTTGCTTTTTGCATCAATATGATATAAAACTGACTAGCAAGAAAAGACCCACAGACCATCTTGTCTTAAGAAAGCAAGATCTGTGTTCCAGTAATTTTACTCAGTCTTTAAAAATACATTATTTCCCAGAGAGTTCTTTGTAAAGTTTGATAAAGGACCTTTTTGGAGCAAGTATTTCAAAGTAGGGCTGTTGTCGTCGTCATTGTTTGCAATGTATCCCACACAGTTTATTAGTAGAAGCATTGCAACCTTGTTCCCAACAGCAATTCATTTAGAAGACAATCTCTTTGGCTGAATTCAAATGAAAATGCAAGTCGATGGAAGCCACCAAAGGGCAATTTTTAAAGAATTGTACAGCCCAGTAGTAAAACAGAAATCAACCCCAGGGGTGGACAAGTACGGCCTTGTCTCTCGGCCATCTTAGTATTGACAAGCCGGCAGCCATCTTGTCAACACTCCCAATTACTTGTAGAGAGTTTCACCCACTCGTGTCTTTCTTTAAAGTTCTACACTGGAGACAGCATTCACACAACACAATGTTAACTTCTGAAAGAACAATGCCAGCGAAGGATCCGAAAAGCGTGCGAAGCACTGAGTGGAACACATGCCCAGATTCACACGCTGCCTTCAAAATTACGATCAAAATTAAATGATGCTTCCTTCAGGTTGGAGGAACCCTTGCCCACGACACCAAATTTACGGCATGTTCTAGAAGGATGTGTGAGTGAGTGCAGTACCGCAAGAGTCAGAGGGCTACGAGGTTATTGCTCTATGGAAAGGAACAATCCAGGGGAGCACGGGCCTAAAACCATGCGCACTTATGCATTAGATTAAGCTAGTACAAACACAAGAAGTCTGGAGGAGGAGAATTAAGCACTGCAGTACCTGTGATACAGAACCCTTCCCCATAGCAGAGGTATTAGTGACAGACTGAGCGGAGGACAGGTTGGAGGAGAGAGGGTGTTTATAATGGTTAGAGGAAGGTTTGTCAGTAGGTAACCTATTGGTTTTTCTGTCTGCCGGTGGGTAGCGGGCAAAGATTTTCGGAGATGGCAAGTTATCGTACAGGCCCATGTTATCATAAAGCCCATCTTCTCCTGCATTTCTGCTACGAGCGGGAAAGCCATCTTCTGATTCCCACTGCAACACACATAACTTAGTAAATTAGCACAAAAGTCATGCACGGAAGAAAGTACGATCATAAGCAAGTTAACCGAGTAATTTAGCTTCATGTTCTCCACATGCGTCGCCCCCATTGCAGCCTGCACATCTCATTCTGAACGTCTGAATGAGCATTTCAGTGGAATTATCTGAATTCCTGGGTAAGAGTTTGAAGGTCTTAAGAACATTGCCAAAGATAGGACCGAAAGGGACAAGCGAAGCTTCCATTTTGGGATAAGCCCTTAACACGACCCCCTCCGCAATAGGATGCCAGCTTCTTTGGATCATAATGGAGTCACTAAGCAAGCCAGGGCTGTCTGAGCACGAGTGAAAGATGTGCTTATACACGCTCTCCTCCTCTTCTCTCACAGGAAGCATCGTGGTTTCTTAAATCTTCCCCCATGACGTCCAGGCCAGGGAACGGTGGTTTAAGAGTTCCCCAGAAATCAGGATATAATCTGGGCTTGCAGCAGGCTCTTAAATCATCATTTCCTGGTTCAAACTGGGGCAACTCTGCTTGAGGAAACCAAACAGCCTCCTTGACAGACTGCGGCGCCAGAGGACGAGGTGGAAGTGAAAGCACTCGAGTTCAGACACGTCTCGAGCCGTTGGATCACCCTCATTACTTGAAGCTGGGCCTCCGTCTCAGAATGATGAATATCCGGCACAGAATCACTTTTGCAAACATTGTAACATAAGGCGGTAGATCAAAGCATTTTCTCAGTAGATCCATCCTCACGCTAAAGAGTTTGTTTCATTTCTTTAATTCTTTCCAACAAAATAAACAGGAAATTCTACTAATAGAAATTCATTGCGTGCGGCAAGAAACCAAAACAAAAACACTCTAGTGTGGTCTAACGCTGGAGCTGGAAGAGCTGGTAACCCTGCTCAGCCACAAGGCTCAGGGAAAGGACTTAGGAAAACCTCCATGGCGTGTGGTGAGGGTAAAATGGGGTAACCCCAGATATTCTGCATAAGCTCCTCAGGGAAAGTGTGGGATGAAAGCACGTCAAATCCTATGCAACAGGCCCTGAAAAGTGGGTGCTTATTGCAAGAAAACATGGTGGGATTGAGCCATCAGGCAGATGCAATTCCCCACACTCCTCTTTTATAATTATCGCACAAGGCAAGGAGTTTGCAAATGTCCGCTGGTTCACCCAGACCCATCAAATAAAGAAGAACGTCTGGCACGGCATCCCTTCCCATCCCCTGATCGGCTATTCTGCAGGGGCGTGGAAGGTCTGGACCTCGCTTTGACCTTTCTCCAGGGAACTGCACTAAGCTTTTGGCTTCGGTAAACCCAGGAATATCACCCTGCACATCTCTGTTGAGTATTGAAACCATACGGCCAAGAAATCTGCAACGGACGCAGAGGAAGGCTCTGCCAAGAGACACTCGGTTAAGCAGTTTCGTAGGGCTTTGGAGAACTCAATGCACATAAATGATTTGACCTACACAAAAATCGATTCTTACTGATCCATTTATGCAAGGAACGTCCTCGTAGTGAAGGGCCATTCCAGTGGGACATGCATAGCCATTGGCAGCGCTTCCTCGGTAGGCATTAGTAGAGAGACCTCGTCTGCTCATGAAACTAAAGCGCAAAAACAAAACAGGATTCACTGATTAATGCTGAGAGTCCATTCAGAGGGTTGTTTCCCGCTCGCTTCCCAAATTCTTCCTTCAGAAGGAATACATTTGAGCAGCTCCCACGTAATGGCATAAAACTAGAAAAAGCCCCGAAATCATGTTCCACTGTAAAATATTTGAAAGAGAAGGGCATATGGAATAATGCACCCTGCATTTCTCTTCGGAAAGCACACATGAATCATTGGAGCTGGTTCTCAGAAGCAGAGCAATGTTTTGCAAGAATGCCTACAAAATATGTCAATTCTGATAGTTTCATTCTAAAATTCTAGGATGGGTATTTTTATTAGTAATTCACAGTTGGCATCCATCATGCTATCAAAGGTTCTTTGCCATTCCTCTAAGAGTTGCTCATAGAAATTTTGAATGCTGTGACCAATTCCTAGTTTATTTAACTCTTGGATTGTGGCATTCTGTGTGGTTATGATATGTTATGGTATAAAACCTAATTTGTAACCATGCACAACTCAGAGAACCTGTGAGTTGCTTCACCAGGCTACAGAGATGGTAGATAAGAGTGGTTAAAACCCCCCCAACAACACTGTAAAGGGAAGGGAAACAAGCTACTGAAAGTATATGCCAAAGTTTGCTTCATTAGCTGCCACACACATCCGGGGTAGGGCAGCAAACACGATTTGGTTAGCATTGTGTGTGAACCAGGTCGTCTCTCAAGAGCAAGTTCAGGGACTTATAGTCATTTCTGTTTGATATCTGAAACATTTTCGTTCTTTCTCCAGATACAGATGGAATCTCCTTCCCTAACTCAGAACCCTAAGCTTAAGTTTCTCCCCCTAGCTGTGCCTTTAGAATGGCAAGCCAAAATTAGGAAAGGCAAATCCACCTGTAACAGATGCTTCTGGCTCCAGAAATTCTCCCTGAGAAATATCCTTCCACCTGGAAGATCTAAGAGAACCTTTTCCATAGCTTTCCACAAATCTTTAGCTCTGCTCCTCAGACCTACTCATCTTTTTTGACTTGGTTATTTTTTCTCAGAGTCAGAGAATGCAGACTAGACTTCATTTGTGCTTTGCTAAGCAACAGCTTCCCATGAATCTTGGATGGGTCTTCTCTGATGTAAAACCCTCCAGAAGACGGTTCCACCACCTTTTGCTTGACAAGTGCCATGGAGGTTACCATCATCCACAGCTACAATTCAACCTATGTTAACAAATGGGGGCAGGGGGCAACCTCATTTGCTGCTTAAATGGGTCATAAGGGTTTCAACATTTGATTTTCTAGCTTGACTGATTTGAAAATTCATAAGCTTCAAACATCAGTGACTAGGAACATGTGCCAGAGATGTAAGGAAACTGCAGAACCCGTGAGAGTCCTTCTCATTCCACTGCCAAAACCTCTCCTGCTTCCTTTCCTGGTGCTCTCTTGCTCCCCTGAGATGCCCCCAAACAATCCTCTAAGGCCGGGGGTCAGACTAGATGGCCCGGGAGACCCCTTCTGACTCGCTCTGTTTCTATGAGCACATCACCCCTGCAGTTGGTGTGGCTCATTCATTCCCACTGGTGCCACAGCACCAGAGAGTAGCAGCCTCAGAAGGGGCCACAGGGTCCAAGTGCAGGCCCCCCAGTTAAACCGTTCCTCCCAGACGGCTCTCCAGTTGCATCTTGAATGCCTCCAGTGCGGGAGAGCCCACCATCTCTGTAGGTTATTGGTTCGGGTTAGGGAACCCAACTGCTCCAAGACTCAGGAAGTTCTTCCTGATGTCCAGCTGGAATCTGGCTTCCTGCAACTGTTATTCCATGACCCTGTACACTGGGATAATGCTATAAGCCGTCCTGAGAGGTTATATTGTACATAAAGGACGGCATATAAAAGTTTTAAAGAAATAAATACTCAAGAAGAGACCATGGCCATTAGGGTGACAGCCGTTCAAGTACGTGTAGAGCACTAGCGTATCTCCTCTCAATCTCCTCTTCTCATAAAATATTGCAGATGGAAAGTGAGTCTTTCTTCTCTCTCACACAAATCCTTCAGATGGCAAACTCTTTAACACACGTGCACCATCTCAAAGCAAAGAGCAAAGCTTCTAGCTATTGAAGTGCCCACAGCAAGATTCGCCAACCGATCAGTGTGACCAATAAACCTTCCAGTCACTGAGCTGCAGTTCTGCTTGACACCAATTTTGGAAGCGTTTTGAGAAAGGCAGAGTTCAGCCATTTACAGCAGGATCCCATGAGAAGCAAACCCCCATTGAATCGAGTGTGTTCAGGACTGCAGCCTTGGTGAATTGTGAATGGGTGCATTTCGCCTCCACTCACAACTTCAAGCTAGCACAGACCGTCCCGCAGCACAGGGAAGAGGCCGGGAGGTCGCTGCAGGCAACACCTTCCACCTCTTGAGATGCTGGATTTTTTGGGCGCCATACACAGCGCAGGAGAGAGGAGGGCTACGCCTTCTTCACCGTAAAACCCAAACACCGAAACCCCCGTGCGCCTGCACATGCTCTCGAGGGACGCGCGCCTCCTACCAGAAGGTCTGCTTGGCAGCTTGGATGACGCTCGCCGTCACGTGCACGTCGATGTAGTCGTAATGCAGCATGCCGGGATCCGCCGAGGAGCCGCTCTCGGCCAGCAGGATCCCAATCCACCTGCCCATGTCTTCCGAAGACGACGCCTGCCAAGGGCGGGAGGACACTGAAGGAAGCCCCGCCGAGTCCCCACCCTCGCTTAGAGCGCAGCCGCATGTCTTGGGACGGTACGGGGTGCTGGCAACAGTGCGGGATCAAAGGGAGACGGCCAGGGAGAGAAACGCTCGAGGGAACGGTGGTTTTAGGGCTATTGCCTCCCACAGACCCTGCCCAGACCTTAAGGAAATCGACAGAGGCCCCCTCTGGAAGCCACCTGGAAAGGATACACAGAAGCGGGCTACGAGGAGGAGGGTCTCCACAGCTGTGTCCCCATTTGTGGAACCAGCTTCCCAGAGAGGCGCACCTGGCACCCAAGCCTTGTGTCATTTAGTGCTGGGCTAAACCCTTTTTATTTAACGGTGTTTCAATTGTTACAACATAAAGTTTCAACTTTTTTATTGTGAAACTGTGGATTGATTGATTGATTAGCTATTGTTATTGGTTTCATATTTTGTCTTTTATTATTACTGGTTGCATCCTTTGTTTTTATTGGTCATTATCATGAATTGTTATAGGTTTTACCTCCTTGTAATATTGTTGGGCTTGTTTAATATTGCAAGCGTTCGTAAACTGTCCAGAGAGCCAACTGGCTACAGGAACAGTACAGAAATGTTTTAAATAAATAAATAAGAAAAGAGGAAACCAGCTTTCCATAAAACCATGAGGCACTTTTGATAATACAAGCTCTGTAATGAACAGCAATGAAAATTAAGTTAGAGTTCCCGACATCGGTAAGAATGGGATCAAAACAGAACTGGCTATTTCCCAGATAGGAAATGTGATCCCTCTCTTGGGGTACCCCTTCGTGTAGGGAGGGGGTCTGAGAGAGGCCAGGGGCGATGCTCGTCTGCTCCAAAAATGGGAGTCTGCTTATCCCCACCATTAAACGGCCTACCTCTAGCACCGCGACCTCCTGTGCATTGCGAAGCAGACGGAACGTCAGGGGATGCTTGGAGTCCAATCCCGGAATAACTTCACAGCCACGGAGAGGAATGGAGACAATGTGGGTCTTTAGATCCGTCCTGTCTTTGTGGAAGATGAGCTTGTTGTCCTTTACTCTGCACCAGCGCTCCCGCCAACGGTTATTGGACAGCACGTTAAGATACCCTGCAAAACATACGCGCAAGCTTCTTTACTCTGCTCCTCGTATGTCTGTTCAGATTGCCTCTTGATGCTTAGCAAAGGAACCTGAAAGTGAAGGATAAAACTGGAGCTCGTCTGGAAAAGGAGTGCTTTTGGCCAACAGGGGCTCCCTCACTCTCAGCAGTCCTGGAGTGACCCCCCCCCCCCCAGTATTTGCCGTGCCACTGCACGGCCAGTCCCAGCACCGAGGAATTCTCGCTGGGGGCGTTCTGGAAGCCTGAGGAACGAGCATCTTCGTCGCTCTGATTCTCTGCTGCATCAGGGCTGGCTTTCTTGCTACGCAGCAACCGGAGAGCCAGCGCGGCGTCGTGGTGAAGAGCGTGGGACTGGGACTCAGGCAATCCGGGTGCGAGTCCCCGCTCAGCCACGGAGCCAACTGGGTGACTCTGGGCCAGTCACAGACTCTCAGCCCAGCCTACCTCACAGGGTGGTTGTTGTGGGGATGAGGAGGAGGAGGAGAATGGTGTAAGCTGCCTTGAGCCCTTTGTAGGAAAAAGGCAGGATATAAATCCAAAAATAAACAAACGCTTCCAGATGGGCGGCACTGCACAGCCGGACCCCTTTCCCTGTCTAGCGCAGCTGTGGGCACCAGCGCAAGAGTCTGCTCACCACACGTTGGGATATCTTCTTCAGCTGATGAGGTCTGCTCATCTGTGGAGGGCTTTTTCTTTCCTAAGCCGATTATCTTCGTTATTTTCTTCCCCGTTACTTTGGAGACAGTGCCCTTGGAGTCCCCCTTCGAGCTTGTTTTCCTCTTCACTGCCAAGAAAAACGGGCACGCGTGAGTCCCCCAAACGAGCCAGTGACGCACCTTCAGGAGGTCTGCCACGTACGGGATCGGCAGCCTGAGCGCGAGCTGCTCAGAGCCCCTGCTGTCCCTGCGGCACGTGGGCGGGCCTTTTCTCAACAAAGGGAGGGAGACTTGCAGAAACCTCGAACGGCTCGCAGGTGGAATCCCACGCGGCTCTATGGAACTGCACCAGCTTCCCCAAGAGCTACTGGAGCACCTGCCTCAAAACGTTTCTTCCCCAGATTTCCTTGGAACTAGAAATTCCACCATGCCAACTGGACTGTGGGCTGGAAGACGGCAGGGGGTGACGCAAGGCCTGATCCAGGCCAGGGTATGTCCTCGCCCAGCCAGTTTCTCATGCTGGCGGAGGTACCTGTGCATGCAGAGGATGCCGCAAGCAGAGGTAGGGCGAAAAGCGCTGCCCACCCGGCCAGTCTCCCAAGGTTTGCCTGCCTTTTCGCCCTCTGGATTACATCTGGCTAATTCAAGCTCGCTTTCATCGGCGAACCACGCCTCTCTGCCTCACTGCTTGGACACAAAGAGGGCCCTTGAGTCCCAGAGAAGTGCAAGAAGGGAGAATTTCTTCAGTGTTGGAGAATTTTCACAGCAGAGTGTTGGGCAGGTAGGAAAGCACCTCCAAAGGTTGCTGCAAGCCACTGCTCAATGGCAGGGAACTCGCTTTGCATGCACAAGGCCCCACGTTTGGTACATGGCGCTCCAGCCACACTAGGACGGTCCGCCTGAAATCCTGGGAAGCCACTGCCCAAGGACAGAGGCCTACTTGGATTTCTGGACCGTGGTCCTGCGACTTCTAAATTTGCCTTCCTGTGAGAGGGCCACCACTCCCTTCTGCTCCTATTTCTGCATCCTCAGCACCAGCTGGACATCATTTCTTGGCTAAGAAAAATTCCAGATGCTTCATCTCTGCATCAGGCTGGGGTTCAGGAAGAGAAACAGAGCCAGGTCGAAAGAGGGCGACCGACTCCTCCGTCCGCAGCACACGGGCCCTTCCCTTCCTGGGTGCTGTGCAGGGCTGCCCACGGAGTGGCTCCTATGCCCTAAAAGCTGAGGGGCAGGAAAGAGTCGGACATCTGCAGCTCAGCTCAGCAAACATAGCAGGAGAAGCTGGGTACGTGCCGTTGCGGAGAGCAGCTTGCTTCAGATGCACGACAGACCCGCAAGCCACTGGTCGCGAGTCTTACCGAGCTCGGTCCCAAGCCCGATTTCCCCTCCGCCTTGCTTCTTCCAGCCTCACAGCATCCCAGCCAGGATCTGCTACTCAATGCATTTTTTTTTTTTTTGTATTCCCACTCCGGGGGTCTTGCACCACCTTCGACATTCCCACAATCCCACCCCTCCTCGACTCCCTCTGTCCTTGCTCATCTCCACTTGATCGTCCCTTGAGTTGCTGCCTCTTCCTGAGTCTTGGGTTTCTGTACCCATTTCGGCCTCCACCCACTTCCCTGGGCCTTCCGTAGAGTCACATCTACTTCACCAACACCCCTCACTAGAGCCAATAAGAGGTTTCGCATCAACAAAACTATCTCTAACTTCCTGCAGAGCAAATTCCAGGCTGCCCACTTTCTCAGCATGCAGAATATTTGTGAATATTCCATGGCCAGCTTCAAGCATGGATCCCCCATCTCACCTTGTTCTTTTCCATTGCAGATGGCAGTGACTCCATTTTCCACAGTACCCTCCCCATCAGAACTCGGTCTTTCCGAGGACAGTTTCTGCATGGACAAAAGAATTAGGTCATTATCCGTGTGGTCAAGCTGGAAATGATTTGTCGTTAACTACGTGATGTGCCAAACACTCATCTAACCATACACAAATGTGAGTCAGCCAAGAATTTGTTTTCAGGAATTGACCTCTTCGCACAAGCATTAAAAACATAATACTTGCCAAAACTGTCGAATGCCTCTGATTCCTCCTCTGTGGGCTTTTTTGCAAAGTTTTACTAAAAAACCAATTAAGCTTCTTTGGCTCTTCTAGATAGAAAGCACAATCTGCCCCTTCAATACTGTACTAACAGACTGAAGACTACCCAGTCCAAGTTTATATTTTCCCTATAATCAGTTCATAAGTCACTTATTAAAGGTGCCCAGTTCTATGGTGTTAATGTATTTGCTAAAATCCTCCAGAAGACAATTTGGGCTGATAAACTTGGCACTCAGTTTCTTCTCAGCATGGCTTCCATCCACAGAAGATGGAAGTTCCTTCGACCTTCTTCACTCCATCTTGTCCTGCGCACAGAGATACCTTTCGGATATTTCTGTTTCTTGTAGCCACTCACTGCTGCCGTGTCCATGGCACTGGCCTTCTGTTCCTTCTCGCATCCAGCGCAAACTCTTCATCCCGACCTTTAACGCCTTCTTCAGTCTTGCCCCATCTCATCTTTCTGTCCCATCACTACTTGCCCGCTTAATTCCTTCGGCTCCATCCTCCTTGGCTAATTCTCCTCTGGGCTTTATGCTTATCTTCTTACCAGCTAGAGTAACACTGCACAAGTCTTCCTGGGGTGTCGTCTCTCCCATGTCCTTCCAATTCTGTTTCGAAACTACCTCTTTTGCAAGGCCTGCTTTGGCGTAGCCCGTTCATCCTCAGCACAGCTGGAAAAATGGCTAAGGTTACACGCCCAGCTGGTGTGGACGTCTTATAGGGCAGAAGCTTATGTGCAAGAAGCCACACGCAACTGGGATTCCCAGAGGGGCATTGCTGAAAACCTCTCGAAATCCATCTGGGCCAGTGAACGAGTGGCTTCACACGGCGAATATGGGTTCTTCCCAGCGCGGCTTCTCCCCGCCGACCACGGTTCGTGCCCCTCTCTCTCGGAGGCAACCCAGTGGCGGGACTCACACCCCTCTCCTGTTGTCCTTGCCCCTCCAGTGGATCGAAGCCTTTCCACCTTCGCGGTCCGTATTCCCGCTTTCCGCTAATTGCTCTGCGCTCGTTCCTCCCTGCAGTGCTAGTGTGGGAGTACGATGAGAGATTTACGGGGAACGTCGGCGGATGAACTCTGCTCTGTGGTCTCCTTTATGGTCTGCCTTACAAATCTGGCCTGAGCCCAGAGAAATTACGTTTGCGCATGGACATGAGCAAAAATATACTACATAAAAATGATCTAATGACAAAGATGGAAAGAATCTCAGGGAACTAAAGCACTTTGTTACGGTTTTTCAAGAAGGCTTTCCAGCTATGTTTCATTGCTGAGTTTGCACATCAATCTAAACAAAGAATCCTTATTTACTAAATCAAACTGTGAACAAGATTCATGGCATTCATTCTTCATTCCACCTTTCACAGAAGTTGGTAAGCGAACAGCAGGTGTGACATCCAAACTGGGATTACACAGATCACACCCAAAGAAGCCTAGGTGTGAATAGGCCATATTCAACATTGTTCTGTCCTGTCTTGTATAGTTACATAAATATAAATGTATGGAAATATATATGAACTATATTTATGAAAACAAGAACAAGCGGCTGGGGTTTGCAAACCAGCCCCAAATCATGGTGTAACACCATTTTATAATCCTGATTTGTCTGGGCAAAAGAAACCCTGATCCCAAATTGGGAAGTCACGGGAATCGATCCCCGCTGGTTAGAAGGAAGGGTGAGCGGAGCGAGCAAGCACGCCGGTTGCTCACGCTGCGGCTTCCTAGGCCAGGCTTCCCAGCTCGGAGCATCGTGCGTGCTCAGCCGCGGCTTGGCTCAGCTGTCTTTTGGGGCACCCTCACCTTTTCCACCTCCGCCTTGTGCACGGGAGGATTCGATGAGGCCCCGTCCAAATCGGGAGTCCCAACACAGTTGCTGCACACTTCCTTGACGACCTGCGGAGAAATGAGGAAAAAGCCCACACTCGTTTATGCATGGCTGGAAGCTCAGGACAGGGGAGGGAGAAGAATGTGTGGAAACTAAGACCCCGGGCCACGTTCTCTGGAATGCCGGAGATGGAAGAGAACTAATTCTGAAAGTGCTCTGCGGCCAGCCGTTCTTCTTCCCCTTCTGCTCTGTCAGCACCTCTAGCCAAGACGTCAGGAGGTGAAACGGATCCGTTTCCCGAAGACGAAGCCGCAGCCTGAGGACCTTCGTTCTGGGTAGTGCAAGCCATGCGCGCTGGGGACAGTCTTTCCCTGCTCCCCACCCCGTTAATCAGGAGGCTTCATCAGAGTCACCCTGCAGCCTCTGCTCTGCTCCCCCTCCATCCCCGCTTATCCGTCCCGCCCTTCAGCGCTCACCGGCGTCCGGTGCGACCTCTGCCCTCCAACGAGCCCTATTCCCCAGCCAACAGTCGCACCCCAGCCGCCCGAGGAAGGGGCACGACCTTGAGCCAGGGCTGCAGCCGGTCCCTGCGTCTGACTCGGTGACCTGCTGGCTCGGTTCTCGCTGCAACCGCTGAATACCTGTGCAGCGTTGCGGTGAGCCAGTTTGTCCGAGGGAGGAGGAGCGCGGGGGAGGAAAGGGGCTGGGAACCATGCCAGCACCCAGCTGCGGCTCGTCTTCCTTTGGGGGGAGGCGTCAGAACCGCGCGCGACAGTCTCCGGGGAGAGGGGAGGGCTGGCAGAGGCAGCCCACCCGGCTTCTCCCACCAGTGGAGAGCACCGGCGTGGGCCTTGCCTCTCCTGCCCCCGGAACAGAATCTGAGTGTGCCAGTCGCTTTGCAGGGCAACTGGTTCTCTTCACCACTTGCTCCCTCCCGTTTCTGTTTGTTTGTCCTCTCCTATTTCTGCCAGGACCATTAACGCAGCTTTCGAAAGCTGGGGGAAGCAGGAAGGCCATTCTGACTCGCAAGGCTTTTAAAGGCTCCAAATGCGGCTCTCCGGCGTTCCGAGGCTGCCCGACTCTTGCAAAATTGCGTCCTTCTGCGCCTGCCTCTTTGATGACCCTGACAAGACGGCTCATATTTTCAGCATCTGCTCATACCACACAGGCAATTACTTCTAGTGAGGCAGGATAATGGAAGTCAGAGAGAGGACACGAGGCGTAATTTGGCAGTGATCGCAGAGCTGTGTCTGTGAAGCCCATGCGCTGTTTCCAAAGGCCGATTTCATCATCGCAGCTGGAAACAATCACCGCTATCAAGGCACCGCTCCCATCCAAGACAGATTGCTGCAGGATGCAGTGCCCACGAATGAAGCCTCGGTGAGGTGGACACAGAGGCGGGCCTGGTCTGCAACCCCCTCCAGGCACGACTGCAAATATTTCTTTAATGTCAGTTCATCTTGCTCTTCAAACCCGAAGGTTCTCAGAACAGCTCACAACTCAACGAATTAAAAGTAGCAATGAAGCTGCCAACTTGCGGAAAATCTCCAAATGGCAGGACCCCCTCGGTTGCTCGTGGTCTTACGAATTCAACTCGTAAGTCCTGCTTCTGACCTGCAAAGGCCTAAAGGATTTGGGTCCTGCAGGTAGAACTTCTCCACTATGTTGCACCATGATCTTAAGATCAGTCTGAGGCACGCTTTTTGACCATGCTGCCTCCCCATAGTCTCTGCAGACCAAAGCCCTGCTCTCTCGGAAGCTCCTCTGCAACTCTAGAACTACCTTTTCTGTCCTGGAGACTAACCAAAGACAAAACAACATCTAGCCGCACTGCAAAATGCTTTATTTGGGCTGTTTTTTAATAGCTGAAATGAAACAGGCATTGAGTAATCTTAATTCCGGTACTCTGTTCATTCAGTCTGAGAGGGTATGTGTTTCCTGCCCCAAGGCCATGGGATGGGACAAGCTAAAGAGCAACGTAAACAGACTAACGGCAAGCTCATTTCTTTCAGTGGCTAAACTGGTAAAATACTGGATTCATTCTTGGACATAGTCTTCCCCTTGAAGATTTCTTTGAGGGTTGCATGCAAAAGAAAGACTTTACTGCTTGGTTCCAGGAAATTTTCCAAGGATTCTTTTCAGAACCTTTTCGGAAACATCTTTTCCTAAGCAGGTGGGGGAAATGGATCCAACTTGGAGAGTGGCCACCATCCAGCTTCCAGTGGGGATGATCCCTGTCCTCCCAGATACAATTATTATTAACAATAGCAACGATAATTAACTTTATTTCCAGACTGCCCCAAACCCAATGGACTCTGGCCTTGAAGGTTACCTCCAGAAGGCCTCAGTTTGCCCTGTGGGGATGGAGAAAAGATACGCTTGACCTTAAAAGAGGAAGAATAAATTTGCAGGAGAAGAAAAGAAAGAACAGGCTCAGCAGGAAAAATGAGTGCAGGACAAGCCCGATGGCTGCGGATTCCAGAATATTTCCCTCTGTCCGGGCAGCTGGATCAAGCCTCACCAGCACGCCACCCCTTCACTGCACAACATGCCGCCTGAGATTGCGCTCTGGGAGTCATCTGGCTGAGGGCCAGGATAAAAAGGCTTTGAATTAACGGAGGAAATAGGCTTGTCATGGGCCACCGTTGAAGAAGACGTATATTCTGGAAGCAGCACCGAACCTCAAGGCATCCAGTCACAGGGGTGGCTCAACAAGCGAGGCAAGCACTGGGGCTGCGGTGGCGGCGGTTGAGGGCCCCTTCCCATCTTTAAACTCGAGATCAATTTGCTGGCCTTAAAATATGTTTGTCATCTGACAGCTTTGGCATTCACAGCACCGGAGAACTGTGGTCACAATCTGTCTCTCCCTCTCTTTCCCGGTCCTTATTTTGCTGAAAGCTAAATAAAACTTTGAGATGTGAAATCATAGCCAGAATGACTTGCGTTTGCTATTTTTGAACCTGCTAGTTTTATGCCCTTTCTCTATAATGTTGTGATATACAAAAATACCTCTTTCTCCAATGGAATCATCTTTCTATGTAAACAAGTTAACTTAAAATACAACTTGTACTTGCTAGCTGCCTACTCCGATGGCTACAAATGGAGCAGATGAATCTGTAGAGAAATGTGAGTTTTCCTGAGACGATTTATTGCTCTAAAGGTACACTTGATTATTTCATACTTCACCCAGCCAGACTGCACCTGGAGTCCTGTGTCCAGTTCTGGACTCCACAGTTTTAAAAAGATGCTGAAAAGCTAGAGGGGGTTCAGAGGAGGGCAACAGGGACGATTCAGCGACTGGAAGCAAAGCCCAGTGAGGAAAGAGTGAAAGAACCGGGCATGTTCAGCCTTGAGAAGAGAAGACTGAGGGGGGATGCGGTATAAGTACCCCAAAGGCTGTCACAAAGAGAAAGGTCAAGGTCTCTTCTTGCTGATACCACAGCATAGGACACAGCTACCCAGGTTCAGGCTGGACATCAGGAAAAGCTTCCTCACTGTCAGAGCAAGACGGCAGTGGGACCAGCTGCCTGGAGAGGTGGAGGGCTCTCCCCCACTGGAGGCATTCAAGGAGAAACTGGGCAGCCCTCTGGGTGGGGTGGTATCACGTGCTGTCCTGCAACAGCAGGGGGTGGACTTGATGGCCTTCTGGCCCCTCCAGCTCTACTATTCTATGATGATTCATATTGCCCACCATTTTTCTATATATCATACACTGCCATTTAAACATGTTGTCTCGACCAATAGCTTCCGCAAGAGACACAGTAAACCGAAATCAAGCGGCTCGCTACTGAAATGTAATAAAGCAAATACGTGTGTCTCCTACTCAAGTTAGGAAGCCTGCAAGATGTGAAGTGCTGCCCAGGATGCCAGGGATGAGGGAAGAGAGGACCTTTCTAGGAGAAGGGGCAAGACTGTTAGTCCTCCAGAAGAACTGCCTTCCCTACCAGCCCTCCTGACCGTACGTCCAAGAAAGCGGATGAAGTGCCCAGTTGGTGGGAACCTTCCAGTGTGCCCAAGAGAGGACAAGACGCACGTAAAGGGCCAAGGAAGCATGCGTGGAAAAGCAGTCGCTAGTCCCAGTTGTGGCACAGTGTAGTCTTGCTGCAAATTAGTCAGCAGCTTCTTCCCCAAAATTAAAATGAGGACAACGGACAAATCCGAAAGTTCCACACTGATGCCCCAGACTGAAGCGAAGTGCAGTGTAGAGATAAAGGAGGGCTCTGCGTCCGTCGTCGGAAGCGCCAAGGACAAATGGTTCAGCTGCAAAGGCAGGGCGTGACGCTCTCGATAAAGATGCAACTGGCCTGGGAAAGGCCTCCTTCCAGTCCAGTCGCTTGCCCCGTTTAGGGCTGCAAAGGCAGCAAGCGATAAGACGTGGTCAAGCTCGGAGTTCACGAGGCGTGTGAGCGGAGGGTTTTTCTGGGCTGGAGAAGAAGGTGAGGCAGGAATCAAGCATGGACAAGCAAGCACAGGGCTTCTGTGCACACAGGGAAACCCAGACGTGGTTAGAGCTGAAGTGGGCCGAGCATCCAGGCCAGGCCAGAAAGCCAGGATCAGCAGTACAGCGAAGGTTCAGAGGAAGCCAGGGAAAAGGGCGGATGCAGCGGGAGACCCCAGGAGAGCCCCCAAAAACACCCATTTGGGATTCCACCTTGAAAAGGTGGGTGGGAGCCTGGCAGCTGTTCTCATCAAAGGGTGATTCCAGATAGATGAGCAACACAAGCCAGGGAAGACCAGAAATGGAGAATAAAGGGCTCCACCGGCCAGATCTATGCATGGTCCATGGGAAACCTTCTGCTAGAAACACACAGCTTTGCAGGCCAGCTTGTATCCTGGGAAAGGGGCTGCAACTTCAGCCTGCAAGCCAGAAGGTCCTTGGCAGCTTGACTGTGACATTTCCTGGAGCGTTTGATTGCCCAATTCTGGGAAGTTCCTGGCACTCAGAAATGGCTCCTTCCCAAGGATGGTATGGAGCTCCGTTAGTGGGTGGGAAAAAATCCACTCCACACATTTGACACACGCCCTAATGGGAGGGCTATCTTGTCTCTGCTAGTGCAAAAGGTAATTCGTGAATAGCCCCTTTGTCCCTGTAATATAGTGACTGCATTGTGCAAACTGGCGTGACTTGGTGTGTTGCTTTGCAAACGAAGGGCATGCAGAAGCGACAGGGAAAGAATTATTCAAGGGCTGCTCCAGCAAGCTTCAAACAAGCCACTGGGAAAAGCTTTACTTGGCCTGAGAACCATTCTGAGAATGGATTAGCCTTGATGCCTCAAAAGGAATTAGGGAAAACAAAACTTTGGCGATGGCACCGACTGACTGCTAGAGCGGGCCAGGCCCATGCTTCACCCAGGAAGCATCCCTGGATTATTCCTTCAGTGTCAGTGTCGGGGCATCTACATTAACTTGCTGTTTTGAGACAATGCATTGTTGGCACGGAATTCAGTTTCAAAATCAGACACTGCAGGAATGCATGAGGTGCTACAGCAACTAAAACAGATTATAGTATTTCCTACATTTGTTCTTTTCCCCTAAAATGCTATTGTTTCTCCCTACAGAAAACGGTGTTAACATTTTGCAACAGATCCACTGACAAAGATGTGTAACCAAGCCCCATTTAAAAGCAATGCAGCTGTGACCAGCTGAAACCCCACGTCTGGATGAGCGGACTCAGCGTGGCAACAGAGCGCCGCAGGACCTGGCCGTAAGTCCACTTAAAAGGGAAGTGAAATTGAACGTAGAGCAGGGACCTGCGGCAGGTGGCTTGCATTCCCCAAATCAGGAAGAGCTTGGAGGCTTCCCTGTGGGGCTGCAGTGCCAAGGCGTGCTGGCCGCTTCGGGGTCCAGCCAGCATTAAGTGAAGGTTCAAGCCACAGGGTTTCGAAGGCCCATTCGGGGTGTTTTTTCCTGGCATAACGAACAGCAAGCCTCTAGCTAAGCACTGGCAAGCCTGGGGCTTGTGCCCAAAAAGGGGACCCAAAAATGTGCAAACAGCGACTATTTTGATAGCTTTTGCTTTGCCCTGAAATCATAGCCTTTTAGGTGTACAAAAGGAGATAAAGAACAAACGATTTTGCCTCTTTTGCTGATCCCCCTACTCCAAAACAAAAAACCCACGTCTCTCTGGGCATACTGTCATGTAACTAAACTACAAATGCAGAAACACAGAAACAGTGTGAGTCAGAAGGGGTCTCCTGGGCCACCTAGTCTGACCCCCGGCTCCAGCCGGCTCCGCTCACGACATGCCCACCATGTGCCTGTCCAGCCTGTCCTTGAACACCCACATCGATGGGGTGAAACCACCCCACGGAACCACCACCTCCCATGGAAACCCATTCCATGCCGTAGGGGTTCTAACTGTCAGGAAGTGCTTCCTGGCACCCACCTTGAATCTTGGTTCCCTGAGCTTTGCTCCATAGGAACATGCCCTACCCTCCTCCGCAGGGGAAAACAGGTCTCAACCCGCCTCCATGTGGCACTCGCTCATGTACCTGTATGTCGCTAACAGGTCCCATCTGAGTCACCTCCTCTCCGGGCTGAAAAGACCCAGTTCCCTCAGTCTCTCCTCGTATGGCTCACCCTGCAAACCAGCCACCAGCCAGGGGCCCTTCGCTGCACTGGTTCCAACCTTGTTCCATCTCTCTTGTAATGAGGGGCCCAGAACTGAGCACAATACTCCAGTTGCAGGCGCACCAGAGTCGCGTAGAGTGGCAGTAACACCTCTCTTGATCTAGAAGCCACGCTTCTGGCTATGCAGCCAAGGGTGGCGTTCGCCCTCTTGGCCACCGCATCGCACTGCTGGCTCATGTTCAGCCTGCAGCTGACCAGCACCCCGAGGTCCCTTTCACGAGTGCTGCTCTCCAGCCACGTGTCCCCTCACCTGTACTCATGACCCCCATTCCTATGCCCCAAGTGCAAGACCTTGCACTTATCCGCACTGAACGCCATCCACTAGGGAGTCAGGAAACGCTTTGTAAGGAAATGCATTTTCATCCACCAGCGCTCGACGACGGCACTCTTCTCACTCCACGAACGTCGAGAAATAAAACTTGGTACCTTCAGCCACTGATCAGCCTGCGCCTTGCTCTGCACGGCGAGAACGAGAGCATCCTGGCCTTGCTGGGCGATTTTCAGCTCGTGCTTCTTCTTCTTACCGTCTTTGGGGACGTAGGTGATGCTGCAGCCCGTCAACAGCAACTCCATCAGGGGCTGCTGGTCCTTGGAACTTTTATAGCACTGGAAGTAAAAGCAGAAAGTTAGTGGGACGAGGTTTCCTCCTGAGCAGAAATGGCGAAAACACACCCACCACTTACGGACCACACATCACCAAAAACCCCGACCTTCTTCCAGTTTCAAGCGTTGTGATTTTAACATGCCAACAATTTTTCTTTCAAAGAACGATGAATGAGATAGGAGCCCGACTGTTCTTAAAGGCTGGTGATCTGAACGTGGGAGTCTGCAGTCGGGGAACTCTCCTCTCAGTGCCTCTCCGCCTGGCCACTATTTCAATGCCAGGTGAATCGAGACCTCTTGTGAAACAGAAGTGTGTCTGCACCAGCTCAAAGCAACACGGATGCGCATCTCCTCCAAAGTAGAAACTGTATAGCAGAGCATAAGGTGGCAGGGTCAATATTTTGGGCTGTTTTTCTGGAGTTTGTCTTATGTTGCGCATATAAGACGACTCAATTTTCGCTTTGCTATTTTGGATTTCAAGGTTCATCTTAAATGGCTCTATATACAAGGGTTCCTCAAAAAGTTTCTGCACTTTTTAAAACTCTGTTTATTAAGAATTTCAAAAACAAGCCACATCACTTTTCTACATAACTACCTTCCTTTGCGATGCATTTTTTCCTAGCGTCATACCAACTTTTAACGCCATCAGCAAAAAATATATATTTATAAAATATAAAAGACTGTGTGTGTGTGTGATATAGATACACACACATATATATAGTATTTGTATGGTAATATAAAAGACTGTGTGTGTGTGTGATATAGATACACACACATATATATAGTATTTGTATGGTATGGTACCTTACAGAATATATGCTGGGTGGAAGCGTAGCACTGTCCCCAGTGAATGTTTAGAAGCTGGAAGAGCTTTACTGGAAGGTCCTAGGAAGCTTTTTTACCCTCCACTTTAGCTCTTTGCACTTTGTTTTTTAGTGCAACCGAAAGCTAGTTCCTCCAAGGTCACCGGCTTCCTCAGGTCCCGCCTTGCAACATTTAATTTCTGGCAAGATTCAATCTAGGCGAGAGCTGCCAACACTGGCCGGCAGCTGCTCTGCAAGGCTTCCTGGAGGAACGCTCCCACCCTCTGCGGCCAGGCGGGACCTCCTGCGCGCGACACACGAGAGCACAGAAGCTCTCGGAAACACAGAGGCGCGTGGCCGAGCCAGTGTGTCGACGAGACCGGAGCCGTTCCTCTCTCTGTCGGGGAAGGCAGTCGATCCGTGACCGGAAGCCGCCTGGCGAGCATGGCAGGAGCAAGTCCCGCAGGGAAGCCGCTCCGGTGGCCCAGGCCTCGCCAGCCGTCTTCCGGCACAGCCCTGAGCCAACCCCATGAGAACCGCCTCCTGCAGTCACCCATCAGCCACGTTCGATTACCAGGAGCTTGTTTTCCTTGATCACACAGAGGACTTTGCTCCACTGTCCAAATCGCTTCTTTCTCAGAAGGAAGGCACAGATCTTGGCGTCCTTGACGAGGTCCATGGAAGCTTCCTCGGAAGGCCACTGATGCCGCATTTTCTTCCCTTTCCCATCCTCATCCTCTTCATCGTAAGATTCGTAAGAACTGCTCATGGCATCAGAATCGTAATCTTAAGACAAGAAAGGGAAGACAAAGCAATGCTTCGAACTGAATGGCCTGTTCTGAGAGATCCCATGTTAACTCAGAAGCAAAAGTGCGCAGATTAAGCATCAATGGATTTAAATCTCTTAAATTCTTATAGAAATGCCTTTTCCTGCTGACCCACCATGCTTTTACAATTATTTTGTTTTTAATGTTCCAATGTATTGTGTTTATCCTTTTATTCATTTGCCCTTTGGTTGTCCACCACTCCCTGTGTTTGAAAACAGACTGGTAGAGAAACAGCATTCAGTTAATGCAGCGACTACACTGCATGGATTTTGCCATTTTTCTTAGGCCTGATGCTGTTTCTACTGTAAAAGAAAACATATTTGCACCCTTTTAGGTGCATTATTCACTTACTGGATGTAATATATTCGGGCGCCTTTCCAGGACTGAGAGGCACGGCCTCTTCATAATAGCCTTCTGGAAGAGAAGAGGAAGGCAGTGGCGGAGCACTGTTATCCGGTGGCTAAACGGAAGAAAAATTCCCAAGTCAGTTCAGCAGCCAATGATGGTGTCAGCAAGAATACATTCATACCTTACCATTTCTTCATCAATCTCTAATAGAAATCGAACAATGAGGCTCATTATCTCCAGGAAGGCTCTGGCAGTTGTAAGCAGCCTATAAACACTTGTATAAATAAATAAATAAATAAATAATCGCGATCATTAAATTTCACTCTCCTCCCAATAGGCTGAGCTGTTTCTTCTTGGTAGCAGCAGCATTTAAAAGCGAAATGAGCTCTCGCTTCTCCACCAACGGTTTAGCTGCACGGATCGTGTGACAAATAGGATACATGCCTTGGTCAAGGGCCCCGTGAATTCAGCAGAAATCCGGCTACTTTAATTGAGTTCAGAGACCCGTTTGGCTCTTAGCAAAAATCAAACTCACAATTTAAGGGCAAGAATTCAAAACCTTGTGTAAAAATAATATTACAAAAGTGTGTCAAGCTAAATAGAAGGAGAGAAATGTTAAGTACTAGGGAATGACATTATCCAAAGACTTGTCTAATTAAGATGTAATCTGCACTAATTGAGAACTAACATGCAATGGGATTTCTGGAGATGGTCTACAGCAAAAACATTACTGGATAAATCTGATAGGTACAATACCAAATTATGCTTTTGCTAATGACATTATTTTAAACATTGATGATGTATGATCAGGAATGAAATAGAACTGGGCCCAAATATTCTGAACACATTCACTGGGAATAATAAAATCACCAGGATAAGAAAGACTGTACAGAAACAAGCATTATTAGAAAAACTGATGAGAGTCATACGGTTATTTTACAGCTATGGCAAAAATAAATAAAAATCAACCCATATTGAGAATCGGAATAAACAAGCGGAGAAAGAAAGATCCAATATGGATTCAGGTGCAGGTTCCAGCAATCCCATCTTTCAAGTTGTTGACTCTGTTGTCATGTGCCATCAAGTCATCCCTAACTTATGGTGATGTCCTGGATGAGAGTCCTCCGGAATGCCATGTCCTTCACAGCCCTGCTCAGCTCTTGGAAACTCAAGGCTGTGCCTTCTTTTATGGAAACTGGTCCATCTCAGAGTGGCTTTCCCTCTTCTTCTGCCACATGACTGCTTTCTCCAGGGGATCTTCTCTTCTTGTGATGTGCCTGCAGTACGACACCCTGAGTTTCATCATTTTTTGCTTCTGGGAGAAGTTCTGGAATCCCCGTATTCATCTTTCTGTTGATCCAGGGTATTCCCAAAGCTCTCCTCCAGCACCGTGTTTTGAATGCATCAATTTTCTTCCGGTTGACTTTCTTCACCGTCCAGGTTTCTCATCATACAATAGCGTAGAAGATCTTGGACCTTGGTCTCCAGTGAAACATCCTTTCACATGATTACCATTTCTAGTTCCTTCATTGCTTTCCTTCCACGATACTACATTCCATCTCCCCTCCCACCAGATTTTTATCCACCACCTCAATCAACCAGTATTTCATGGTCACTATGCATCCTCAGTCGGTCGGTTAGTCAGTCTGTCTGTCTGTCTTTCACTAAAGCATTTTTGTTGTAATTCTGCAAAGCTTTCAATTCCCCCAAGTCTGTCAGTACCTCACTTTTCTTTGAGGTTTTTTGCTGTTTTGTCTAGATAAGGATGTGTACTGAGGGAGTAAGTTTCCCATTAATATATAGGGTTGTGTGGACATTCTTTATTGAGCACGTAAATTATACTAATGGGCTAGGACCAAAAAAGTATATGTAAAAAAACCAAAGTGGAGTGTTTTTACAATGACTTCTCAATTCCAGACTAACCATCTGTAAGTCTTAGGTTGGGTACAGATATTCTGTCAATAGAGCCATGAATAAAAACAATCACAAAGTATAGAACAGGAATGTAAAAGTGCAATCATTCCTTAAGAAAGAACAGGAAATTTCAAGGAGAAAATGGAGATTTCAACCAATATCTAGTGGCAATGAAACTAAAGCTTGTTTTGCCATATTAAATTAAAACTGTATTTCTGCATCTCCAGGAGACTTATTTGCAAGTCTACTTAAAATATGGCATTAAGCACAGAAAAGAACTGTCAACACTCCAAGTCGTTGGATTTTTTCCATTTCCAAGCAAATTGACACTCACACTTCAAATATGTAATGTTCGCTCACAGAACTGTAAATCCAAATATTTCGGACCAGCTAAGAGCAAAAACACTTTAATTCTTTTAGGAGACCTCAAGTATAGCATTTAATATATTAGCAACAACCAAATACTAGTTAGGAATTCATGATTATCACGTGCTGTCAATTGCAAAATACCATTGATTTGTCTGTCAAACACTATACTGGTCAAGTATGATTTTAAAAAATCAAATCACACCTAGATATTCCAACCCAGCAAATGGATTGGGCATCTCCAATCAGCTGGATCCAATTTTACTCCAACGTAGGTCTCATTCATTTCCACGCCTCCACATTACATAGGGTGCCCCTTGGAGAAGAGCCTAATGCTGGGAGCAATTGACGGCAAAAGAAGAAGGGGGCGGCAGAGGATGAGGTGGCTGGATGGAGTCACTGGGGCAGTGGGTGTGAGCTTGAGTAGACTCCGGGGGATGGTGAAGGACAGGAATGCCTGGAGAAGTGTTGTCCATGGAGTCGCAATGGGTCGGGCATGACTTCGCGACTAACAAGAACCCCTCGATAGAACCGCCAATCAGAGCAGTTTTCACACTCCGTTCTCTGGCAACTTCCAGGCATTTCTCAATGAGAAGAGCAACCAAAGGCAGCCTGTCCTTGCGACGGGTCCTTGCCTGCCTTGTGTAGCCACAGGAATGTTTGCTGTGGACCAGGAACGACAGTGAGCGCATGCCCTGGATTCCACAGCAATGTTCGGGGCATCCGTGGAAGGCACGCCCAGATTCCTTGGCATGCGGCATAGAAATGTGCTCCCTGAGAGCAGAATATCTGGACATAAATGGCTGGGAATCAACCAGCAAGCACGGCAAAAGATCGACTGATCAAATAACCAAATACAGAAGTGTAATGCACGTGGGTGTGGCAGATGCAGGTAGGAATATTCACAGCGTCCTCAAACATCCTGCGGAACACGCACAGATTGCGTATTCTTTCCGTGGTCGTCAGAGGTGAGAGGATCTGATGGTTGATCTGCTAAGGATATTATTGGTTGTAACAGGAAAAGACCAACGGTATGATCAACAGGGGGGAGGAGGAGAAAGGCATGCGGAAAGCCTGAGGTGCCTGCTATTGGGGGCACAGGTGACAATCCCCCACTTAGCCGGCCTCCGATAGTTTGTCCCCTCCGTGGGGCGCAAGGCAAAATGCCGATGCAAATGCCCTGCGGACGCCCAGGATGTTCTTGCGGGGATGACTGGCCTCTTTCATCCGTGCTCTCTGGCTGCGAAGGACTCGCCTTCTCTCCCTGCATCCATCTCACGGCTACTGGGCAAAGGGGCAGCCGCCATTTGCAACCCAGACACTCGTGGGACTGCCCCCTCCCAACCCGCACCTTCCCCACGTCAGGAGCCAAGAGCATCATAGAGAGCAGGACCCACAGCTGTTTCTCTCTCGCACGTTGTCCGAGCTAACACGTCCGAGGTGGTCCCGTTATCCGGGAAGGATTTCTCCGCCTCCAAAAGCCCCAAGCAAGTGCTGGCGGCTGCATCCGGCACCGGTCCAGGGGGACCATTATTCCAGGAGGAGAAGAGAAGGGAGGAAAACCATGAGAGGCATGCTTGTTGAAGAAGATGGGCCTTGGCCCACTATGTATGCAGCTCCTCTGATCCACGAAGCACCTAAAGCTTCGCCTCATGGCAGCTGAGAAGGCTCCCCCGCCCCCCGACTTCCTGAAAAGAATCTTCCCCAGGGAAGGTCGAAATGAATGCAAAAGAGCACTTTAAAATAACATCTCCTTTTTAAAGAAACTTGCTTCTTTAGAAAGAGTCCTGAAACACGCATTATAATAACACAGTTGGCGGTTTAAAGGAACGTGGCATTTAAAAGCGAACTAAAAATGTCCCACAACCGCTGCCCACACACACCTGCGTTCAACTTTGCTCCCGGGAACAGGCTGCCGAGGAGAAGACGAGCAGCGCGCCTGGACCACCGCTTATGTTCGGGCCTATTCAGAACCATGTTTCGGTGTGCATTAACGGACTGTGCTGTCACCCTTGGTTGTGTGTCAGCCACTGACTGACCACGCATGGCCACAAAACCTTTCAGCTTGTGTGGAAGAGTTGCAGCTGCTGCGAGAAGTTTTCGCACAATGCCGGAGTTTCTGGGCAAGAGCCCTGGAGAAGGCGGCCAACCTTCTGATTCAAGGCCATATAGAAGACGGCGCACAAGAGAAACTCCCGGCCTGTGTTCACACGTTTCATTGGCACATGCATCCTCTTTCCCTGGGAAAATCCACAGTACCACATGTGTCTTCACAATCTGTGGGAGCAGCTGAATTAAAAGTAGATCTTGGACAGCAGGAAGTAGGGGATCACTGATGCCTGGTCAATGTGAAGGCATCTGCTGAAGAAAATTCTGCTACTGGCATAGGCAATTTAACTTGGGTATTAATTACAACTTGTTAATTATAAGCCTTTTGCTTTTAATGGGACTGCCAATGTTAAATCTGGACTTTGGTTCGTGTTTCCCAGGGAAAGGTCCTTCTTCATTAAGTATAACTTTCTGATTTCTGAATTAGTAGGATAAGAATACCCCTTTATATATCTGAAGCATCTTGTGTAAGTTTTGTTGCCAAATTTGCTTATCATCCCATACTTAGAAAACTACGGCCTTCTATTTTTTTTCTTTTCTGTCATCCATCTCCTCAAGGCCTTTGCAGCTGAGGTGCTGCATAATCCTTACATGAAAACTCTGTGCTAGATTGTGTGAGATTTTCTGAGCTGTGCAATTCCGACTATCCCAACCACGTAGCCATCCTCAGCGATTCCATGGATGGTGCCTCCTATCAAAATCCAGACAGGTTCATTCTTTCCTTTCCGTCTCAATTCACAGCTGTCAAATGGAGAACTGCCACGTCAGCAACCAATCAAGAAGAGGCCTTGATTGGCAAAAACTCTGATCGGGTCCTTCCCTGTGAAATCCCCGGTTCTGATCCCGGTTGTTCTCTGTTTCTCCCACCTTTTCCACCCTTTCCTGAGACTCCAGGTACCTGGGGAAGCAGCAAAGCATGTGCCACACCATCTGCAGCACTGCTGGCGGATGTCAAAACCCCGGCTCACTTTCAAAACAGGGTTCTGACAATGCAGAGAAGGGTTTTTTGCTTGCTTGCTTGCTTGTTTTGACAAGGACACAGGCAGGCCCGAATCCTTCTTGACTGATGGACAGGTAGGTAACACTCACCAGCCACTGCTGAGGGATTTCGGGCAGAGGCATCTGGGGTGGAGCAGGCAAGCCACTGGCAGCGTCCTGTTTCTGAGCATTTTCTTTGATCTCGAAGTCTATGGAGAGAAAAAGACTTTTGAAGACAGAAGGCACTCGGTAGCAAGGACGGTATTTCGTGGCATCTGCCCACCACTCACTCGGAGGAAACCAGGCTTTTAAACTGAGGCGTTTGCTGGTCTGGGACGAGAGGAAGGGCTACCCGCATCGCCTCAAGCACCACAAGGACAAGAAATCGGAAGCTAGTGTTGATGCCACCAAGGTCCCACGTGATCAGTGGAGCCACGTAAGCCACACTGGGTTCCTCACAAGAAGGAATAAGGAAGGCTATAAACCCAGTATAGCAAGTATAACGACGACTGAGAAAACAAAGAAGCATAAAAAGCATAGAAAACAAAGCAATGTATCAACCCCAACTTTGTGGTCTGTGGGCTGCCCACAATACAACTTCTGCACGTGGACGGGGCACTTTTAAAAATGATTGGGTTATGGGTGCTCCCATGGTCACCTGTTTCTCCAAGGAAGAGGCGGGCCGGTTGTGGCCCTCCAGGTGTGTTGGTCCACAGTTCCAATTATCCTTCCCCATTGGTCAAGCTCATGCGAGTTGTAGGCCAAAACTTCTAAGGGGGCACAGGTTGCCCATCACTATCCCAAGGTGAAAACCTGCTGTTGGCTTTACCTCTGTGGACTGATTATGTCCCAAAAGGCACAAGGCAAGCGGTCGGGAGAAACACACCACCTGCTACCTGGCTGTGAGATGGTTTGCAGAACCATCAATGGCCCAGAATGTTCCAAGCAGGTGCCACAGCCGAAGGAGGAGGAAATGTGTGTGCAACTGCTAGAACTGAGGACTGGCTGGACGGAGAAGACTCTGGGCATGCTGCGCATCCAAAAAAGAATGGAGATTATTTTCAGTGGGGCCGAATCCCTTGCTGGGGAGCTGTCCTCCATGCACAAGTGGTGGGACCCACTTCTGGACACTGGAGCCCCACAAAGGAGAAAATTCAGCCTTGCTTTAGTTTTCTTGTGCACTGGGTTATTCTCCTTCCACATGCAAACACTATCAATCTGGTACTGACCTTTTGAGGACTGGATTCTCAGAAGAATGTTATTTAAAACTGCCTTTTTCTCCCTGACTGTGGTTGTCAGGTACTCATGATCCAGGAGCTGAAGAAACAGCTGCAGTTCGACTATTAATTCTTCCATGGCTGAAATGAAAGACGGTCCTTTTAAATAATCGAGTTACAGTTTAAGAAGTTCAGAACAGACAACCAGGCAGAACTATAGACACAAGTTTTTACTATGGGTCACGCAGGTTGTACTTAGCAACCATCTGGCCAACTGGTGGATCCAACAACCAAAGCAATTTTAACTGGCCACGGTTGCCCCACCAACATTGAACTGAGAAGTGCTTAACTCTTGCAGAAAAGAATATTTTTACTTTGCACCACTGGGGAGTTCCACCCATGAGTGCTGCTTCTCTTTGGATCACTGAGCAGATGGGCCGTAGAGCCATATTCCCTTGTTCCATGCCACAGTTTGAGTTACAGCCTCCTTTTGTTTGCTGAAAAATGTCCGCAAGAAGCTCTGTTTCTCTGACACACCGCACTTCCTGTCCCTAGGTTACTCTCGAAAGGGTCCCTTGAGAATGCAGAAACTGGAGCCCTGGAAAAGGCAGTAATGCTTTGTGGCCAAATCCCTGCCCACAAGTCACTCCTGTTTCCTGTGTCAACAGAACTATCTGGAAGGACAGAGATAAGCAGGAAGAGGGTTACTTCCAGGGGAAAGCAGTCCACTTGCTGGCGGACACTGAAAGAAGATGCTATAAACATCTGGAGGTGAGTGTGAAGCAGGAAACATTTGGATAATGCCACTTGCGTCCAGAACCGTTTTTGAGGAAAAGCTTTCTCTCTGCTCTGCACGAGGCAGGTAACATTTGGACTAACTCATATGCAGAAGGTGCAGGAAGTGGGAGACGTCTTAGACGCCACATCTTCTCAAGTCCCTTTGTTCTGTCCAAAGAGATCTCTCATATACTGACACTGCATGGCAAGATGAATTCATCTTCTCTCTTGAAATGGGACCATTGAAAATGTTACCATTTTCCAGAAATATTCTGCTGCAAGAGAAACAATAAAGAGGCTCGTTTCCCCTTAAAAGCTAACATGTTTATTCTGGCATAATGTTTCAAGGATTCGGGATTAGAGCTCATTGTTGCCACACATTTTCAGGGAGAGATTCTGTTTCCCGTTTCCCAGGCCCGGAGGAAATTTCAGGGCAAACTTTTCACAGGGTCTGTTTGTTTGTAGTTGGTACAGGTGCGGGTGTGGATGCCAGGCTTTTGGCATTTTTTAAAATCCCCAGCCACCCATAAAGTGTGTGATAGGCACAATCTTTCAGCAGTATCCAGGGTAGCTTCCTCCTTTCAAGGAAAGTATATCTGAAGCATGAGGGAAGGTCTGGATGGGTAACTCGAAACTGGGAGACACAGAGCAAACATTTAACAAGCAGTCCTGTGGCACTTCAGACACTAATACACTTTGAGGCTTTTCAACTTAAATAATCTGGAATTAGGCGTACGGGGTGAAGGAGCAAAGGCAGTGCAGTATCAGCAAGGGTGAAGTCATGCCAGTTGGGGCAAAAAAATCCAACTGCAGGTGTTTGTTGATGAGAGCTGAGCTAGCGGTGACTGAGCAAGGAAGCTCTTGGGGTGCTAGCGGACACCCCAATGAAAGGGAAGAAGGCAACCTCCGTGCCAGGCCTAATAGGAACAGCACAGAAAGCGGGACTGCCAGATCTTCCCAGATGCAAAGCTTTGATGCGACCACACGTGCAGTCTCTCGCTTATTATTATTTATTTACTTAAAACTTTGCTATACTGCCCCACACTTAGACGTCTCGGGATGGCTTACAGCCAGTTAATCCTAAAAACAGAAATAAGAATAACATTTGCCCAGCATCTCATAAAATATAAGCCCACTAAATGAAACAAGTTAACAATGAAAATGATGGGAGAATAAAAAGGGTTTTGCCTGACGCCGAGAGGAAAGACGTGTCGGCGCCAGGAGGGCCTCTCGATGCTCTGCTCTGGTCTCCTTACCTGGAAAAGGAGACGGTTGAGCTGGAAAAGGACAGAGAAGGGCAACCAAAATGACTGGGCGGCTAAAGCAGCCCCCCTTTGGGAAATGGGCAGAAGAACTAGGACTGTCTGGCTTAGAAAAAAGGCGAGCAAGGGGAGACAGGATAAGGGGCGAAACGTAATGAATGGCGTGGAGAAAGTGGAGGGGGAGACACCTTTTCCCTCTCTGATAACACTTGAACCCGGGCTCATCCCATGAGGCTGATTGGTGGGAGGTTCTAGGCAGAGGAAGGCCGGGATTCTTCACACCAGATAAAGTAAATTTGTGGAATTTGCTGCAATGGCCACCAATCTGGACAGCTTTAAAAGAGGACTGGGCAGGTGCATGACGGAGGAAGTGCTCTGTGGCCACTGGCCCTGCTGGCCATGGGCTGCCTCCTGCACCTTCACGGCTGAGGGGCTTGGCCAGGTGGACTCCGGCCCCCATCCTGCTGGACGGATCCTGCGGGGGATCTGCCACCGTCCGCATGAAGTGCCGGGTGAGACAGAGCTTGGGCGATCCAGTAGGGCTTCTCTCACATTCCTAAGTTCTAAGCGGAACATAGAATTTATCCCTCGAAAATGTGCGGCCACAATAGGACTCAGTCGAACGAAAGATGTATTCTGGATCTTTCCATGCTTAATTGGTTTCTGCAAGGCCACTGACGGCAGTAACTGAATAAACGGGGCTTTCATGGCTGGCTATTTATGCAAACGTCCCTTTTGCATATTTAGGAGCAAACCTGCCATGGAATTCATGACAGATGAGAAATTAGAACTTTGTCGACTGCAGCTCCCCCTTACTTAGACAGAAATGCGTCCACTTGCTATTATGAACACCCCTTTTCATTGATCCCATGCGGTGTATTTCTCTTCCACCCTTTAACCAAAGCTCTCCAGGAGGTTTACCAAATGAAACCTTAAAAATGTAGCATAATCACATCATTTAAAACCAGAAGTACACCAATGCTAAATAATCCACAGTAGACCCTGAAACTCATTAAAAGCCTCATCCTATGTTGCCTGGTGGAAGTCGTAACCTGGCACCAAGATCTCATCTCACCTTCCCATACTCTGTAAGCGCAGAATCCACATGCCTCGGGCTCTGCTTGCTAGCATCTAACATGTGCACCCTTCTATTCTCTCCCTACCATCTGGAAAAACCCCCAGAGACCTCCCAGCTTTTGCTTTTTAAGCTAAAAGCAGTCAAGGGAAATAAATAGGAGCAAGGCCATGTGTTCACTCTTCCTTTTCCATGCCACTTCCCAAATTTAAAGTCCCCAACCCTCTGCCAAGCGGTGGTTTGAACCAGCAGTAGCTTTCCGGTGGGAGGAGTGACACAGAGAGTCAGCTGAGATGGCCCTGCCCCACTTCCTGGCCCTGCCCTCCGTCCCCACTGTTTTTAATGTTAGGAAGCGGGGAACAAAAGCAGAACCGATCCTGCCCTGTCCTGGATTCCGCCATGATGTTAGGGTGTGTCCACAGGCTAAACCTCCCCGCGAATAGGCTATATTGTGTTGGTTGTTCAATCCTCCAATGGGTATCCTGGTGCCCTTAGAAACTGAGTGTCAGAAGGGGCCTCCCGGGCCATCTAGTCCGACCTCTGGCACCAGCCGGCTCCGCTCATGACATGCCTACCATGTGCTTATCCAGCCTGTCCTTGAACACCCGCACCGATGGGGCCTCAACGACCTCTCGTGGAAGCCCATTCCACACCCTCGGGGTCCGAACTGTCAGGAAGTGCTTCCTGGCATCCAAATGGAACCTGGGTTCCCTCAGCTTTGCTCCGTTGGAGCACGTCCTGCCTTCCTCTGCGGGGGAGAACAGGTCTCTCCCCACCTCCTCTGACACCTTGCATGTTTGAGAACTATGACATAGAAAACATAGAAACATAGAAAACAGAGTAAGTCAGAAGGGGTCTCCCAGGCCATCTAGTCTGACCTCCGGCACCAGCCGGTTCCGCTCACGACATGCCCACCATGTGCACGTCCAGCCTGTCCTTGAACACCCACACCGATGGGGCCTCAACGACCTCCCAGGGAAGCCCATTCCACACCCTCGGGGTCCTGACTGTCAGGAAGCGCTTCCTGGCATCCTGGCATCCAAATGGAACCGTGGCTCCCTGAGCTTGGCTCCATTGCGGCGCGTCCTGCCTTCCTCTGCAGGGGAGAACAGGTCTCTGCCCATCTCCGTGTGGCACCCCTTCATGTTGTCTATCTTTCCCGTCCTTCACACATACTGTCTTGCCTCTCCCTCCATATTCTGCTCACAACCCCTGCTCACTTTCCACTCTTTAAAGGAGCTTCAAAAAGAGCTCAACTGGGACAGGTCTCTCTTAACTCCCCTGAAAATTGCACAACTCTGTTCCCCATTTTTTATTTTTTAATGCTTTTTTGCAGGAGCCCAAGAGGCCACTTACAATCTGTCGGCAAGCTTTGGACTGCACAAATGGACTGTTCAAACACCTCTCCCCAAAGAGACGGCATTGGGTTCCCAATATACTAAAACGGATCATGTATTTCCCACAGTGATGGCAGTGAGAACTTTTAGTGTCACACAGGTTACATTTTCACACCTAAAATGGACTCAGTTGGGAGATGCAGATTTTAAAATCAGCAGCCAAAATGTGCTTGGTGGACTTGGACAGGAAAATCGATTTTTCCTCTGGAAAAACCACCCGTGGTCCCCGTGACAATGTCCTGCCATGCTCTGCTTCATGTGCTACCCATGAGAGGTCAGCGATGACTGAATGGCACCATGTGAAGCTGACGTTTTTGCTAAAATCTAGGCTCGGGCCTCAGGCTTTGGAGTCCCATTGGCCAGTGGAAGCACTGACTGAGTTGGACCCAAATTTACAGATATATACATTTGGTGAATAAATACGATACACAGGGTCTTCAAGGAGGAGGAAAGCTGAGCAGGGATTCCAGAGTTGGCAGTTCCTAACTCTTCTGAAGGTTCGCCTTCTTTCTGCGTAGGCTGCCTTCCAACAGCATAAAGCATCACGGTGGGGAAACAGTGATTCTTCTCCATTAGACATGTGAATCTGTGGACTTAGCGTTGCTTACGCTTCACCTCCTGACCCACTTGGCTACAATGCGCACCCAAACACAGAGAGGCAATTCAGCGGGTCTGCAGGTCACGAAGCAGAGCAAGTTGTGAGCATGTACAGAGTTGCTCCAAGACATCCTACATTCCAGGTGCTGCTTGCAAAGGAGTTTCCAAGGGAATCTGGCCAGTCCATGTTGCAAAAACAGGCACGGCGAGCTGGCTCTCGGCTCTCTTCCACAAAGACCGTCCTCATGTTACGAAGAGAAGACGGAGCGTTCATGAATGCAGCAATGGTTGAAAGGGCTGATTTCCCCACCTGCCTGGGCAACCCTCAAACCCAAATGTCTGCCGTAGAGCCAGGATCTCATTTGTTTGCTAACCGGGCCGTCCCCAGCCGAGTCCTTGGGTTGAGGCGACCACAGTCACGAACCGCACCGGACAAAGATAAAGCAATCGTCTGCGAGAGCTGGAATGCTTGCCGGCCGCTTCTCTGAGTGCTTGAAAGTTCAGAAGGCTCATATCAGAATTAAAAAGCCACGGCTGCCATCTGTCTTCCTTAAAACAAAATCCCTCCGGAATGGCTTGACATCACAAACAACACCTATTCCCCCTGTTTAGGGTTGTGAAATGAGCTTAGAGCCAACAGAACCCTTCATGGAGGGGAGGGGAATGCCACAAGGGTTTGGTTGCGGTTTTCGTTTGTCAAGTTGAAATCTTGCGTATTTAAGTACTTTTACATCTCGGCCTAACGAAGTCTAAAACTTCCACAAGATGCACAACTGAAACATTAGCAATGCAAGCCTGGTGGTTGTTCTTGGCACGAAAGGTGTGGAAGAGGGATGGGGGAATTCTCGCATTAAGGCTCCCCGTTACCATCAATATTATCGAGGTTTCATCAACATATGGCTGGCCGTGGCCACACTGGGATTTGCCACATTCTGTCTGAGGGTGCAGCTGCCAACAATCTGTGGGAAAACAGCTGCGACAAACACAAGCGACTGGCAGGGAGCGCTTGTGCGAGATCTCACGTTACAATTTATTTCACAATTCCCTTCCCTTTGCCTGCAAAACGGGTGAGAGGTTCAACATGGTATTTGACCCTCTGAGAGAGAATTATGTCATAAGCAACAAACCAGGTTTTATTCTGTTATCTCCCTGCTTGGGGCAATATTAAATTATGCGATGCTGAACGTCTTTCTGTCAATCCCTCAAACGAGTGCAGAACTCAAGGAGGCACTGATGTGGACTAATTAGATCCCACACATGCCTGGTGGATATGCAAAGCATTTATCACAGAACAGTGTTGCACAACATTGAAGAGAGACTGAGAGACAGAGAGAGCTGGGCCTGTCCAGCCTTGAGAAAAGAAGGCTGCGGGGGACACGGTATCCCTCTAGAAGTGCCTCCAAGGCTGTCACAAAGAGGAAAGATCTATTCTTGCTGATGCCAGAGGGCAGGACACGGAAGAATCAAGTCAAGCTGCGACAACCCAGATTCAGGCTGGACATCAGCAAGAGCTTCCTCACGGTCAGAGCAATGGGACAGTGGGACCAGCTGCCTGGAGAGGTGGGGGGCTCTCCCACACTGGGAAACCGGCCGGCCCTCTGAGTGGGGTGGTGCAATGTGGTGCCCTGCACCAGCTGGGGGTTGGTGGCCTTCATGGCCCTTTCCAACTCTGCTCTTCTAGGATTCCGTGATTCTAGGAACACGGTATTTTCCCCCTAGTCCTGCAAATGCAGATACGGTGCAGGGGGCTGGATTTATGCTCTCTTGCTCCAAGCTCCAAATTCAAGGGTAAGTGTGGACAGGCACATGCAACTGAAGACTTAGGCCAAGGAAGGGCAACTTGTGGCCCTCCAGATGGTTTGCCTACATTTCCCATTATCCCTGGCCATTGGCTATGCTAGCTAGATCAGATGGGAACTGTAGGTCAAAACAGCTGAAACACCAGAAGTTGCCCACTGCAGCTTTAGGTCAAACCTCCGTTAGGTTCACTTAACATGTGAAGACCAAGACAAGAATCTTGCTCCAGACAGTTGACCATAACAAAAAGGCAGTGAAAGCCAGACTACAGACAGGCGCCCAACATTTCAGAAAGTTCAGCTTTCCACGGTGAAGCTCATGCCGACATTCTCACCCGAAACTTTCCTCCTTGCCCCACTTGCCTTCCACCTAGGCTGCTGGCAGAGAGCGGCCTTTTTGGTAAGGGCACCTCACATGCCCTTTTGCAAGATGGTCTTTTGGCACAAGTCTGATTCCTCGTAGCAACCGGCAAAGTACCGCTATTTCAGATGTGCGTGCGTCTGAAGCACGCTCCCCTGCTCTTCAATTAAAAATCCTCCCAAAGCAACTTAGAAAGATCAATGAGACTGCATCTGTCTCGAGACACTGAATTCCACAGATACCTGAAACTGAGCTCCACTGTTCGGTTTTAGTTTATACTGTACTAGAAGGGCCTGAATGCCTTTATTCTTCTATACTATTTCTCGGTCATGCACACACCCATAATCTACGTTCACTCACAGGGGTCAAAAGGAAGTCTGTCCCGTTGCGGCTGGAGACACCAGGGACTGAAACCAGAACTACATGCCCAGAAACACAACGTCATGTGCCTAAAATCCAGAAAGCTGCTCCCAGGCACTCAGTGACGGGTCCATTTCACCCCAAATTCTCATTTCAGACGTTGTCCACAGAGAACTTCTTTTGTATGTAAGAAACGACTTTGGGATGCATTCAGTGGACCGTGGAAATGCCACGCTTTGGAGTTCAGCCGGTTCTTCTAAATGCCGCACGCGACTCCTGGGCTGCACTCATTTGCCACAAACAGAAGAAGTCAGATGCTGAGAGTTTCTCTGGCCCGGCACCCTAAACATAAGGACCACGCCTTAGTGGAGAAAGCGGAGCAGCGGCTGCCAAGCACAAAGGGGTGTAGCTAGAGAGACGATAAACCTCAGCAGAGCATGACCTCAGTCACCAGGTTGCCAGAAGTGAGGAGGCCAAGCACCACCACCCCCATTCTCCACTGCAGAAATATTTGGGAAAGGGCCGATATCGCCACATGCCTGTTTTTGTTAACAAAGATTTCTTTATCATGTAACTGGAGGAAAACCTCAAAGAGTTTGGGATTGGTTTCACTAAAATTCTCCTTCAAACTGTCTTGCTGTGACAGACTTGCCTGTGCCACAGAACAAATGCCTTATTATATGCTTTTAGACCATATACGGAGAGACGATTCTTATTTAACTCTCCTTAAATCACTTCATAGAAAATGAAGCCGAAATCAACAGTGTTAAACCATCAACCAAGCGATGCAGTATTTAGTCATGTATTTAAGTTAATACAGTTAAGTAAATTTTAACCCACTGCTAGCTGGGGTACAAGATAAGAACCATACAAAGGTGGTTCAATAAAATTCAATCCAATTTTGAAATTCAGCCTAAGCAGGTAAAAGCAAAGGTTACTGATCAATAAAAACAAAAACACAGCTATCCCCACTACCTACCTAGAGTCACCAGTCTAGGAAAAAGTGGTGGGACTTCAGAGCGTTCCTGAAATCTTGCAGTAAAGAAGTCTGAAGAACCTCAGATGGAACTCGATCCCAGGAATGTGGGGAGA